GCCTGAAGAATGAATGAATCCCAAGTCCAATGCAATGCAACCAAGATCGAGACAACCTGATTCCTTCCTGTCTATCATCAACTGAACCCCAGTGGAACCTTCAACCAAAAACAGACCCTCGTCGTTATACATTCAATTCAATTCAATACAAGTACAGTCATGGACGCAAAGCCAGCCGCCAAGAAAGGATATCAAGTTCCTTGGATTGAAAAATTCCGTCCACAATTGCTCAAGGATGTGGTTGGAAATGAGGAAACCTTGATTCGATTGCAAGCAATTGCCGAAGATGGAAACCTTCCAAATCTAATTCTCTGTGGTCCACCTGGAACTGGAAAGGTGAGATTATTGTGTTGAATGTTGAGTGTTTGAATGAATGAATCAAGCTTCTTGATCCACCCACTGTTTTTTTGTCCTTTTCTGACAATGCGTTCGTTTTTCATCCATTTTTCTCTTTTACTTTACCCAAAACGGATCTTTTTTGCGCTGCATATATTATTACCATTGTCAACAAAAAATCTCAGACTACCAGTGTCCATGCGTTGGCTCGACAATTGCTCGGAAGTGCCTACAAGGAAGGAGTTTTGGAATTGAATGCTTCGGATGCCCGTGGAATTGATGTTGTGCGCAACCGCATCAAGTCCTTTGCCATGAACAAGGTCACACTCCCACCAGGTCGACACAAGATCATCATCCTAGATGAGGCAGATAGTATGACCACCAGCGCCCAACAGGCCCTCCGACGTACCATGGAAATTTACTCCAATTCGACTCGCTTTTGTTTGGCCTGCAACATTAGTACCAAACTCATTGAGGCCATTCAATCGCGGGCAGCCATTTTGCGGTACAGCAAGCTATCGCACGAACAAATCTTGGCCAATTTACTCAAGGTGTGCGAAGCCGAAGAGGTGGCCTACACGGACGATGGATTGGAGGCCATTCTATTCACTGCCGAAGGCGATATGCGTCACGCCCTTAACAATTTACAGGCTGCCCACTCCTTGGCCAAGGGTGGTGGTACTGCTAGTGCCTCCACGTCGCTAGTGAATCAAAAATTGGTCTTTCAAGTGTGCGATCAGCCTCATCCAACCGTGGTGCGAGAAATGATTGATGCTTGTCAAAAGAGCGATTTGCCCCTGGCCATTGAGAGCCTCAACAAATTGTATGGATCGGGATATTCCGCCAGCGATATCATTGGAACCATTTTTAAGGTGACCAAGGTTCATGATAGTTTGCCAGAAGGTGAAAAGTTGGGGTACCTAAGGGAAATCGGGTTTACGCACATGCGCATATCCAATGGGGTTAATACACTCTTGCAACTATTGGGATTGATATCGAGATTATGTCAAATGTCGGAGAGCAAGCAATAAAAATAGACTAGGATGATGCATTAAAGGCGGGCAGCAGCATTTTCTCTCTCGTGGCTGTCTACTACTACATTAGAAAAGAACAGGTTTCATTCATTCATTGTTTATTCATTTCCTTAGTTACATGATATTCTCCATACAAACTGACTTGCCACTGGCATCATCAGCTATTTTCCCTATTTACATGATATAATATTCTCCACATAATACAAACTGACTTGCGCCACTACTGACTGGCAGCATCAGCTAGGAGCAAGAATTCTTGCTTGACTCAAGCCGTTTGATGATGATATTTGGTAATGGCTTGGTCCGTCTCGTGGGTGACATGTTCCAATTTGTCGAGTAGGTGCAAGAATTGAAACTGATCCTGCAAGAGGACCGAATAGGCAATGGCCAAGTTGGATTCCATGGAAAGGAGTCGGTCCGCATTGACATCTTGGGTATCCTCCAAGTCCCGAATGTCGCTGAGAAATTGAGCGTGCAAATCGTTGAAATCGGGTGTCGAGTCTGGTGGAGGTGGAGACGAATCGTTATCATCCGTTGTGGCAGCTTGAGTAGTAGTAGTAGCAGCAGCAGCAGCAGCTTGAGTAGCAGGAGCTGGAGTAGCAGCTTGAGTAGCAGGAGCTTGAGTAGCAGCAGCTGGAGGAGGTACAACGGTACCATTTCCTTGCTGGTTTGGATGAGGACTAGCACGGGGTTTGCTCGATGGCAACACCACATTTTTCATCTTGTTGTTGTTGTTGTTGTTGTTGTTGTTGTTGTTGTTGTTGTTGTTTCTTCGCATTGGGTTGGGACGATTGGTGTTGGTTGGCGAAGGAGTCACGGCCGAAAATGGAGCATGATGATGTTTCAATACTAGACCCGCAGCAGGATTGGCATTCATCTGCTGCTGGCGGTTGATAGTCCTTGGGGTTTGTAGATGATTCGCTGGACGTGGCATTTGAGTTTGGTGCGGAGTAGTCTTGGCCATCGCATTGGATTGTCGAGCAATTCGAAGTGGCTGCTTTGGTGTGGTTTGGCCTTCTTGAGGAATGCTGCGATTGGCGGCGAATTGAGGAATCACACCTTGTCTTGCTTGTTGATTGGTTGGTGGAACCAATGGTGGTGCCATCTTGGCAGGCAATGGAAGAACGCGAGTGGGTGCTCCCATGGGAGGCAAAACTTGGGCGGTTCCTGCTTCCGTGGCTGTTGGTGTGAAGTTTGGAATAGTGCGAGCGTTGGAAGGAGTACTGCCTTCGGAAGTTTTCTCGTTGCCTCCAGTTACATTGTCAGTACTAGCACGAGCGAGTAAGGAGAATTCAGGTCTGGCAGAGTTCGCATTGCCACTATTGGCCGTTTGTTGTTGGCCCACCCGAGCAGCAGCTGGAGCTCGTGCATTTCCTCCAGCTGAAGCAAACATGGCAAGACCAGTACTTGAACCACCCAATGAATTGGATGTGTCATTAGCTTGTTCAGCTGGATGCAATGCGGCAAGAGAAGAATCATGAGATTCCGTCATTAGAGTGTCTTGGTCTTGGTGTTCTTGAGCATATCCAGTAGCAACCGGGTTTTGGAGATCATTTTCTTCAGATGCAGCAGCAGCATTGGGCTCAGTAGTGTTAGTTTGCATGACAGTGTCTTCAGTATTGTCAGTGGCCGTGGTAGCTGTAGGCAATTCATTTGTAGCAGTGCTATTGCTTGCCTTGTTCTTGAACATGCTCAGTCCGAGCCCCTTCGTGGATGTTGCTTGGTTCGTTGCTGCATTGGCTGGCAGTGGCAAGACTTGTTCTTCTTCCTCGTCATCTTGAGCATTCGTGTCGAGGTATCCAAAGGATGCTGCATCATTATTATCTCCTCCAAAGCTGTCAAAGTCCATGCCCGAGACGTCAAACTGCAACCAATTTCCTTCTTCCTCTGGCATAGCTTCGGGTGTCGCTCCCGTGGTTTGGGCAATGTTTGGAATGCCGGAAGGTGTTTGTGGCTTGCCTTTTGAAAATCGTCCTAGTCCTGGCATTGTTCTACTAGTTGCTTGTAACTGCGGTCTTGTTCGTCTGGTCGTTGTCTATCTTGCACCGCCAAAGCAAAAGTGTCACAGAATGTTTGATTCCTTCCTTCTGCTGCAAAAATAGAGATCCAACAATAATAATCAATGAAATACTTGAAATTTGAAATCCATCTTTCAGTCGCGTCGATCGATCGCGATCATGGCGCGAAAAAATATACGACCCATTCGATTGTATAACCGATTGGTTCGATTCATTTGCAACTACTGACTTCTGACACCAACATATTGAATATCTTCGACAAACTCCCAAGCAATACTGCAAAACACCAATACAATATAATCGAGAATTGGTAACTGTGGTCTTTATTGAAAATATCATACGATAGAAAGATTGTCTGCCATGATGATGTCAAATTCCAACTTTCAGGCTGCAACAATATGGCTGATGATGCTCCTCACGACGTCATTCCTTCCCAACGAGTACAACTGGATGGTGCATGGATTTTCCTCGTCTAACTTCTACAACAAGGTGGTGGAATCATCATCATCATCATCATCATCATTTACAAGATCAAGATCAAAGACAAGTTTATTTTCTAGCAACAGCAACAACAATAACAATCTGAGCGACAGCCAAAGTAAAGGAAAATTACTCGTCTTGGGTGGCACTGGATTCTTGGGACAGACCATTTGCAAACGAGCCACCTTGGAGGGATACGCGGTCACGAGTATATCCAGAAGAGGCAAACCATCGCCCACTGAAGCTTCTGAAGCAACCCTGGGGTCTTACTTTCGAAAGGTGGATTATCGACAAGGGGATGCTCGACAATTCGATACCATTGCCAACATTTTGAAAGAGGGAGGATATGTGGGTGTGATTCATTGCATTGGTCTACTCTTTGATGATGACTCCGGTTTGGGAACTTACAATCGATTCGTATCGGGATCTGGATCCATACCTGATGGGAGTTCTTCTTACGATGACATTACTCGACTGACGGCCTTCAATGCCATTGATGCAACCTTGGCCTATGTTAAAGAATCAAAAGAAGGAGGACGGCTCGATTCTTCGAACTTTCCCTTCGTCTTTTCGTCGGCGGCCGAAGCCGGCTGGCCTGATGTTTCAGGAGGCCAACAAATAGAGAAGTTCTTGGCACCCGACTGGTTGAAACGATACCTCAAAGCAAAACGAGAAGTAGAAGCCAAATTGAACGAAGCATCGCCTCCATTACGACCAGTCATTGTCCGACCTTCTCTCATTTACAGTCTGGATCGACCGGCCAGTTACGTACCAGTGGGAGCCTTTTTCGTGGGCAACCGAATAGGACTTCCCTTTGTGGATCGACCTGTCACTGTGCAGTCCTTGGCCAATGCCATGGTCCGATCCATTTCTCGAACTTCGGTGCGAGGAGTCCAACGATATAAGGAGATTGATGCTCTGAATCAATAAAAATAGTTAGTGGTAAGCATTTTTGCTTGACCAAGTGATAATATTATTGATTGATCAAAGTTAAAAGTTGCGTCCATCATGCTTCATTTGTCCATTTATATCTCTGCTTCAAGGGTTCATATTCTTAAGAGTATTTCTCTTCGAATACTTCTCAATCTCTTATCTCTGAAAATAGCTACTACTATAAGTTTCTGGATATCATTTCCTTCACGGTTGTCCCATCTCTTGTCATGGGTTTGGTTGTGAATGAAGAGTCGACATGGTCTCACCTATCATGGGTGACAGAAGACACCTGCCAGCGGGAGGTGCTACAGGGATGTGTAGACTAGTGGTATCCCAACTTAGCGCTGGGTTCGTCTTCTCGTGTCATCGTTCTAACAGCAATGTTTGGCTGTAAATGAACATTTGAAAGGGGTTCACCGGTCATGGGTGACAGAATACATCCGGATCCTTGATTCCGTTCAAACCACTCTTCGATCACCACTCTTTCATATATGTCATTCCATCCGCAGCTAGCACAGTGGCTGAAAGGAGATTGGACAAGTCAACCCATCTGGAGTCGCTGCAACGTATGCAGGCGGATGGTTGGGATTGGGAATCATGGACGCTTTCAAAGTCTCGATTGTAAGAACGGCTTTGACGAACGAGCCTTTCTTGAATTTCTTAAGACCATTCTCATGGAACCGGCCATCACATCATCATCCTCGACCGCTTCCGCCAAGTCTCGTATGCTTTCAATATCCATCGATGTCAAATAATCAGAGAAGGCATTGGGCGGTGTTTTGAAAAAGCCAACGTTTTTGGTTAGAAATTCCATCAATCCAGGGATAGTAGACGTTCTTCCAATTTGCAATGGAGAAGGTACAACAACACGCTTCGCAGCATGCGGAATTTTGGACTTGGAGGGAGGACCAATAGGACGGATCCCAGCGGAAGTATTGATGTGTTGAATGACAGGATCGAAATTTCCTTCTGCGGTCAAATTATATCTTGTCGTTTCTTCCAAAGGTTCCATTGTTGATGTCGGACTGGGGGCGGCACTACGAGGAGAAGATTTGGCCATTCTTTCGACATTTTGTGTCAGATTCCTGCATGATTTCGCTTGGGAACTGGTTGAAGCAGCAGCCTTGGATGGGGCTTCAATCATAATCTTCAAAGCAGCAGTATTGCCGCTGCTGCCTTTCGTCGTTTCATCCAGAATTGGCTGCGCTGCGTTGTCAGAGTCTCCTTCTTCGACTCATTTGTTGATCGCATTGGTGGCATTCAAAGTGTTTTAAATTTTGCCTCCAATTTTGACAAAGGCCCACTTACGACCATCGCTCGTTGTGTGGACCTCCTCTTCCATCACTTTAATACACTGTACCTTGGTCTGTGAACTTAGTCTTCTGACATTGGTGCCCCGAGATCCGATAAATTCCGCAACCCGACCCTTTGGGATCCACGTGCCGTGCTTGCGATGAGGAGGCAAAAGATTTGTACTTTCCTTTGCAGCTTTGCAGCTACGCGTCCTGGGTCTTGGCATTGGTGGATTGAGTTATCAAGCCTGGGCGCTTCTTTCATGTTCTCGTGCCATCGTTTTGACAGCGATATTTGGTTGTAAATGAAGGTTCGGTAACGGTTCACCGGTCATGGGTGACAGAATACATCCGGATCCTTGATTACGTTCAAACCACTGTTCGATCACCGCTCTTTCATATGTCATTCCATCCGCAGCTAGCACAGGGTCATTGATCATGAGCTGAAAGGAGATAGGACAAGTCAACCCATCTGGAGTCGCTGCATCGTATACAGGCGGATGGTTGGGATTCGGAATCATGGAGGCTTTCAAGGTCTCGATAGCCAGGACAGCTTTCTTGAAGGAGCCTTTCTTGAACTTTTTCAGACCATTCTCAATGAAGTCAGCTATCACATCATCGTCTTCGACCGCTTCCGCCAAGTCTCGCATTCCTTCGATATCCATCGACGTCAAATAATCAGAGAAGGCCTTGGGCGATGTTTTGAAAGAACCAGCGTGCTGGGATAAAAATTCCTTCAGTCCAGGGATACTTGCTGCCATCATCATGGGCGAAATTGATTCTTTCAAGGGCTCGATTGCCACAACGGCCTTTTTGAACGAGCCTTTTTTGAATTTCTTGAGACCATTCTCAATGAAATCGGCCATCAAATCGTTGTCCGCGGTTGCTTCTGCTAAGTCTCGCATGCTTTTGATATCCATCGATACCAAGTAATCGAAAAAGGCCTTGGAGGATGATTTGAAACACCCAACGTTTTCGGTGAGAAATTCCAGCATTCCTGGGAAAGTAGATTTTTGACCAACTTCTAATGCAGAAGGGGCCAATACAGGGCTTACAGCATGCGGAATTTTAGTCGTTGACGGAGGACCAATGGGACGGACCCCGGCCGAAGATTTGATATTTTGAGTGGTAGGATCATTGTTGCCCTCTGTAGTTGAGTAATATCTCGTCATTTCATCCATAGGCTCCATTGTTGATGTTGGACTGGGAGTGGCATTGCGAGGAGGGGATTTGGCTCCTTTTATATCATTTTGTTTCGGCTTCTTGGAGGACTTCACTTGGGTACCATTCTTTTTAGCAGAAGCCTGGGATGGCGCGTCATCCTTAATATTCGAAGGAGTAGTAATGCTGCCCTTTCTCGCTTCATCCGGAATTGATTGTGCTGTATTTTCGGATTCACTTTCTTCGACCCATCTGTTAATTGCCTTGACGGCATTCAAAGTGTTTTGAATTTTGCCTCCAATTTTGACAAAAAGCCACTTGCGACCATCGCTAGTCATATAGACCTCCTCTTTCATCACTTTGATATAATTTACCTTGGTCTGTAAACTTAGTCTTCTGACATTGGTGCCCCGAGGTCCAATGAATGCTGAGAACCGATCCTTCGGGATCCATGTAGCGTGCTTGCGATGGGGCGGTGAAATGGCATTTGGACTGGATGTGCTTGCCTCTTCCTTCAGAGCCACAGAATTGGAAGATGTCTTGCCTGCACGTGCGGGTTTGGGCGCCTTCGGGAGCACGGCTCCCTTCGTGGTCTTGTTTTTCCTGGTTGGCGAAGCGGTGCTAGAGGAGCCGGAAGGCCCAGCCGTTGATGACGTATTCGAAGTAGCAGTCGTCATCGACTCGATGCCGACTTTGTTTCTCCTTTCGTAAAGACTGAAATTTGTCTTCTTTATAGAGACTTCAGATCCATCAAACAGCTTGACAATATATCGATCTTCTGTAGTGGTAGCAATCCCCATGTACAAGCCCACACTCCCATTCAAGTCAGCACGTTTCTGTAGGCCAAATAGTTCCACCTCCGATCCCCTTAGTGGCATTCCTTTCGCCCTGGCTTCTAGTCTCGCACGCTGGGTTTCTTCCTTTTTCTTGGCATGCTCTTCCTTGACGAGCCGATCTGTTTCAATAGCCATTTGTTCGTCGGTTTGAACAGCTCGCTCCAAAAGTGTCTGGCACTGCTTTTCCGAGAACAAGTCAAGACGATCTGCCGCCTTGCGCAAGGCTGTGGAATCCACCAATAGTGAATTGGCCTTTTTGCCTTCCACCAACAATTGAAAGAGCCGATTTGCTTCCCCTCCATGATTTTTTAGCTGGTCCATTTGGACTTTATCGAGCCAGTCGGAAAGTTCTCCACTTTCAATCATAGTCGCCACAGACTGTTTGAAGCTCTTCAGAGCATTCTTTTTCTGCCCAGCAAAGACATGCTGATCGAGTATAGACTTGGCGTGGACTCCCTCGTCGCAAGCTTTCAACAGCAATACCAACGGTTCGCAGCGATCAATGGAATATTCCAAAATTTCCAGACACGTGTGCAATCGTCGGCCTGTGGAACGTCCCTTGGAAAGGAGGCGATGCAATTTCCAGCTCTCTGTCTCAAGTGCTTCTGGTTTCATTTTCTCTTGAGCCGCAAGCTTCTGACAAAACTTGGAAAGAGCTGTGGCATCGATTTTAGCAAAGTTGAGCAAGATAGGATATTCGTGTATGGAGCGCTTCCAGGCGGGATGGCGCAAATCAAAAGCCAAGCGACGGGTGCTCGCAGTAGAGACATAAGGTTCAGGCAACTCTGGAATGTGCAAGATGACAGTCCATTGAATGCACCATTTACAATGTTCATCAAACTCGAGTGGGACTCGAAAGAATCGATGACTCCCCTCATCTTCTTCTTTTTCGTGAAGGATTGATTTGAGATCTTCCCGATTCAACCTTTTCACTTCGTTCCTATCTTCTTCGTCTTCGACAGGCCAGGCTTCAATGACAACTTCGTGCAAAGAGAACAAGAGCTCCTCGGAATTTCGAATATGCAAGCCTAGAACAATTGTTCGGTTCACAGCACTGCTCTTACAAATAGAAGAATGACCCGGTTGCCTTGTACGCTCAGAAGTATCAATGAAATAATGTTGTTGACCAACATTGCGAAGGTCATTGTAGTTTCTTGACTGCTGTTGCTGCTGCTGTTGATATCGAGCATGGGCAGTATCTTGTTCTTGACTCTTCTTGTATTTTTCATGCCACTGGTCATGCATAGCCTGAAAGAAGTTATGGATGGTCCGTGCGCGTGGATCTGTTTGATGGATCAGCACTTGATGGAGCATGTGGTCCAAATAGTCTTTTCTGACTTCAACATCTTTCATAATCTGGTAGGCGCTCTTCAGCCGATCAAATTCTTTCCAGTACAAGTCACCATGTCGATCTGGATGCACGTGAATCGAAGCCTTGCGAAACTGCCTAGATATTCCCGACGTAGCTTGTGTTTGTGCTTCGTCCAATGCTTCTTGAAGCTTCTTATTGTAAAGATCGCTGGTGTTGTTTTCAAGAATGATCATGGCGCCTCGTTCCTTTACCAACAATTCGATAATATTGTGCGCTGGCTGAAGCCCTCCGGCCGACGGAATTCCCAAACTCTCTACAGCTGGAATGTCTTTATAGCTCATCGGAACCAACCAGTGATCCCGAGATGGTTTCGTTTTTTCATCTCTCTCAATGGGAGCGGAAGCTTCCTTAGCCTCCTTCTTTTTAGCAGCTATTTTCTCTTTGCGGGCGGCATCTCTCTGTTTTTTGGGAGCCATGTTATGGATGAAAACAGTCTTTTACAAGTTCAAGTTCCGGTTGAACCTACTGAGTAAACCAGGTTGAACGTTGCAGAAGACCTTGTTGTAAATCAGTTGATATCTCTGAATGGAACTGATGTAGTGGAGCTATTTGGAATATCGTAGGCTCGGAGAGCTCAATTTAGGTCCACAAGGGGGATTGTGTAGGTGTTGAATGATACGATGTTTGGTTGTTCGCAATAAAATGATACGGTATGATTGATTGTAGGGATTGGTTTTTTAAATCGCATGGGTCGTTTTACGACTTCAGTTGTGGCGGCGCGGCATGGTGGGAGGACGGACATGTTCATTCTTCGTCGTTCGCTGTTTTCGTGGATTGTCCGATGATAGACCTCGACTCAAAAGTGTACCGCAACGATGAAGTTGGTCGTCCTTGCGTTCCTTATCCCTCTAGTAATAGCGGAGAACTTCTCGAGTGAAGGATGGAATCCCAAACTGTGGGAGGATTTCCTGGAAGCCATGCTGAACGGAGGACACTCTCCTAAACCAAAGAATGCTCGCAAGCGAAATCTTCAAACGGAGGTATCCGAGCCCATTTTGGCGGATAGCTTTGGAGGAGAACCAGGATTCTATCACGGTGTCGCCTCAGGAGATCCATTGGAGGATCGAGTGATCCTGTGGACCAAGTATACCCCAATTTCAGCCAACGAAACTGTTTTTCTTGAGCTCCGAATGGCTGAAGTCACTACCACTATCCCCTTAGAGGATCATTTGGATCCGGATAAGAATGACTACCTGTGGACAAAGACGATTCGTGCGGAACCCGGGACGGACTACATTGCCAAAATTGATGTAACTGGACTCGATAGCAACAAGCACTACGTGTATGCCTTCACTGATTTCAACATTGCATCTGACGTTGGTCAAACGCGCACTGCGCCATCGGCAGATGATGATGAGCAAGAAATGAATTATTGCTTCTTTTCTTGTTCGAATTTTGCCAGTGGATACTTCCATCCGTACGATATCTGCTCCACCATGGAAGATCTAGACTTTTGGATTCACGTTGGAGATTACATTTACGAAAGTGGTTACGGAAATGGTGGATTTGGAGGTGGATTTGGAGGTGGACTTGCCGAACGAGAAGAAGTTGCTCTTGTAAGTGGTAATATGCCCGGCATTTGATTGACTTCTACAACAATTCTCTAACTCCTGCTGCAGCCCCAATGGGAGGTTTTGAACCTTCAAGACTACCGGAATCGCTACGCAACTCATCACCGATACGACGAGGGCTTGCGAAATATTCGTCGTCGAGCACCGGTCATTGCTATCTGGGACGACCATGAAGTAAGTCCCACTCATCAACATGACATACAAACCTTTCTGATTTTGACGGATGCTAATTTCTTTGCTTAGTTTGCAAACAATGCATACGGTAAAGATTCCGATGTTGGAGCATCAAATCACCAAGAAGTATGTGATGAAGTTGAGGATGAGGAGGAACCTTGTAGGCCCGAAGGAGATGCAGTAGACAGGTTCAATATGGCGTCTCAGGCGTATTTGGAGTGGATGCCAATTCGTTTGAGCGAAACAGTGGATCATCCAACACTAAATATTTCATCTATCACGCAAATCATTGAATGGGGTTCCTTGGCAACGGTTGTGGCGGTGGACACACGGATGACAGAAAGATCGAAAGAGGCGACACTTTACTCCACTCTGACTCCCTTTCAAGAGTTGCTAGTCAACGAGACCGATGTCGACTCTTATTACAATGAAAGCTCCCCGTCAAGGCAAAAGATCGACGAGGTGGCTGAAGCTGTAATGGCGAATTTGTCAAATCCTGAACACACGATGCTCGGTGATACTCTGAGAAACTTGGTACGTTCTATTTTTTCATTAAAATATCTGCCGATGAACGATATCCGTTTTCATCTATCTCGTTTACGACCCTCAGGTTTTGGACACATTTCAAAATTCGAAAGATGCAGGGAAGCCTTGGCAAATCTTTGCCCAACAAGTGGTGATGGGAAATCAGCTCCCACCAAACTTTCACAAATTGGCTGATTATGCTCCTGAAGAGAATAAGGTATTGCTTCAGAACTTTGTAGGAGCTGGCCTCCAAAATCCTCAGTTTGGCACTCTCCTGCGCGGACTTGTTGCCATGTCGATCAAGAAAATATCACTGAATTCCGACGCTTGGGATGGATTTGCGCATGAGCGTGCTTTGCTGCTGGAAGGCCTTCGCACAAAAACAAACAACCCCATAGTGTTGGGTGGAGATAGTCATGATAGTTGGGCCTACAGTTTGGTCGAAGACGGCGGCTTTGAGGGCGAAAAGATTGCGGTGAACATAAATGCTCCTGCTGTTACTTCAGGAGGGTACGGTCGCGTTGTCGGAGCTTTGTTTGGATTTATTGCTGGAGCGATAGGTGGCATTGAGAACCTTCTGAAAATCGTTCAAGATTCTTTGCTTGCTGACAACAGTGGGTTGTTGTACGCAGACATCAACCTTAAAGGCTTCGTAGCAGTAACTGCAACAAAGGTACGTTATGTTCGTGTATTGAATAGAACTACAACGCTCAAAATCGCTGCTCACTTCCTTTCCATCCTCTCAATTGAAACACAGGAGAAGCATGTCTCCGAGTATATTCTTGTGGAAACTGATACCATGGAAATTGATTATGCTGCTGCCAGAGGGGCTAGTGACAATATTACCGCTTCTTTCAAATGTGATGCAAGTCTCGTCACAGCCGCTGGGGAACCGGGGTCTCTATCTGCGCAGGATGGCTGCGAGATTGCATTTGACTCGAAGCGTCCTGAGGAATGGTCCATTCCAGTTCCTGTGTCGGGTGGGTCGTCCCGTTGTGATACGAGCGAAAGGCTATCCGGTTGTGACTTTACTGCATGCGAACTCGATGCTAGTGAGTTTGAAAGACCACCAGAAGTCAAATCCGATGCTAGTCTTCGAAGCGCTACCTCGGCTGCTGTTATTGCGTTCTGCATGTCTCTCTTCATGGTCTAGGCTCTCGTCATAGTAACGAATACTGGGATCTCAAAATGTAACTGTGAAGTCTAAAAGTTATCCTTGGCTTTCCTTATCTTTCCAAATGCCTCTGCTGGAGAGTCAGTGGCGGTAATCCCCACATTTTGTTGAATTTCTTCACTGATATCACCTCGCAGAAAAGGATTTGCCTTCTTTTCTTCACCCAAAACCGTTGGGACAGTCGCAGCCCCTCGCGCTCGTTTTTGTTTGACAACAGCCATTCGGTCTATGAGGACTTGATTATTGGGTTCTACACTTAGTGCAAACTTGCCATTGCTCTCGGTGTACTCGTGGGCGCTGAAGAGAAAATCAATGCAGAAAGAACATTTGTGAGACAACCAATTGGTATCTGACGAGGTACAGTACATACAAGCGAATTCCTCACCAGTATACCATAGTCTCATCCGGTAAACTACGCATGGTTTCAAGTGACGACCAAAATTGTGTCGGTGTGCCCTCGAACATTTTGCCACAACCGAGTGAGAACAAACAATCTCCAGCAAAAATGACGGAAAGCTCTGGAAAATAGAAAGCAACATGTCCATCGGTGTGCCCTCCTGCCTCCAGTACTTGAGCCTTGAAACTTCCAAGTTCAAGTTCCTCTCCCCCACCAACCTTGGTGTCGATCCCAGGTATTTCCTTTCGTTCGTTCTTGGGTCCGATGATTGTAACGCCCTCTGTTTTCAGTTCCAGGTTGCCGTCTACATGATCGTAGTGACGATGCGTATTGAGAATGTGCGTCAATTTCCAGCCCTTTTCATCTAGAACCTTCTTATAACTTGTAGCACATGGTGTGTCAATCGCACATGTATTTCCAGTAGCTGGGTCGTGGAGCAGAAATCCATAGTTGTCGCTTCGACACGGAAACTGAGCAATTTCGAATTTGGGTACTCTCGTGGAAGACATTCTTGAGCCAAAAGAGTGATTGCTTAAAGCAGGTTGAAAAGCCCAAGCAGTTGGACTCTGTGTAGTCGAGAGGACGGTAAATGCAGCTGAAAATCGAGATGCAAGCTGTCGACTCTTCATCTCATTGTTGATTTTGTAATCTTTTCTTTCAAGCAGATCAGAATTGTTTGTTGAGTTGGCTTGGTTGACGTGACTTGGATGAGATGCTGACGTTTTTGGTCGCGAGACATACTTAGTCTCAAATCGGAAAACTGACCTCACCCCAAAAACCAAAGCACAATTACTATCACTTGCACACATCATGTTAGCCTTTGCAATCTTGGATAGAGTTGCCCACGGCCTCGTCCGTATCCTGCCCACAGTGTGGAGCGATAGAATCAGATACAATGCGTCTGATCTGACTGTCTTCGTCCCCAAGACCCAAGCGATAAAAACAAAGCCTCGAATGACCATGGTCGAAGCTGTCTTTGCAACAATGCTCTTCGATTTGGCCTTGTTTGGAACTGACAATTTCTTCATTAACTTTATCATTCGCGCCTTTACCAAGTTCCAGAATAGCTGGGATAAGTCCTTCGCTTCACCTGAGGAAGCGGAGAAAGAAATCACTGACTTTTGCGAGCGTTTACAGATTCAGCAAGAGCCTTGGATTTGGGAAAAGCCCATTACCGAATACAAGTGCTTGAATGACTTTTTCTCTCGTCGGTACACCAATCCTCCTCCCATGGGTGAAAGCGTCATTATTTCACCAGCATGCTCCACCATTACAGTTCATGGTGATAATGAAGAATTCACTAGATTGGTAGTGAAAGGTTGCGACTATGCTCTGAAAGATGTTGGATTGTTCCCGACCGAAGACTTGGATGCTTACTCCAAGAACCACGTGTTTTTGGGATACCTCTCACCAAAAGATTATCACCGATTCCATGCCCCCTTTTCCGGAAAATGCATCCACTGCTCGATGGAAGATGCCGAAGTTGACTCTGCCTCGGTGAAGTTCTTTGGCGGCCGCTTCAACATTTTGAACAAGAACAAACGCTTGATTGTGGTCTTAGAAGACAAGCAAAAGAGAAGAGTAGCCATGGTTATTATTGGTGGTATTGGAGTAAATACCATTGAATACGACAGTACCATTCAAGATAAATGGGTGGAGAAGGGAACTGATTTGGGAACCTTCCGTGCCGGTGGAAGTGCCTTCTGCTTATTCTCAAACACTCCTCTATCAATTGACTCAAAGTTGTTGCAAGCCAAGACAGAAGACGGAGAAGATCTTCCAATGGAGCTCTTGTTTGGAGAAAATTTGGCCAATTTTGCAAGTTAATCACATTTGTAGATTTCGATTGAACCTACAAGTAAACTTCTCGTGGAAGTGCTCTTTTTCAAGAAGGATTTACACATATTTTTTAATCGTTGTCACGACATCATTTCGAATTTCTTCTACTCGATTGAGCTCTTTTCACCTAGCCTTTACGCATTATACTACGATATGATACAGGTCGGGATGATGACAACAGGAAACCGCGTGGACAAACTTTTGTATTAATCCTTACCATGCGTACCATACGATACCTATTTTATATAATGCAGGTAGTATAATGGCCATATTTTTCGTGCAAGACCCAAGTCGTCCCCCGTTTGGGTCGTTATGGGGGAAATTTTCTGAATGACGAAACCAACCCAAATTCATACAACCGCATTTTTGTCACAAAAAAACAAAAAAACAAAAAAGCAAAAGCTATCATTATCCACCTGAACAATGACATCGACCGAAGTGCAAACCCAGACCAACGCCATCATATCCAAGATATTCTCACCGTTCTATGACATGTTGGCATACTTTCGATCCAAGGTGTATGATACTTTGATCCTTCACATGACTACCAAGTGGTACGAAGTCGTCCTTTCCCAATTGCCAGAAAACTCGACCCTATTGGATGTCGGAGTTGGAACTGCGGGTGCCTTGATCAATTGTTCGGCGATTGTGAAGAACCGTGGATTGAAGATTGTTGGAGTAGACTACGATAAAGATTATGTCATTCAAGCCCAAGTAGCTTTGGAAAAGGCAGGCCTTCAAGATTCTGTGCAAGTTTTTCACAAGAGTGTGTACGATTTGAACAAGGATACGGACGGTGTGTTTGATGCTGTCTACTTTTCGGGTTCTTTCACTCTCTTGCCAGATCCTATCGAGGCCCTTCGTGTTGTCATTCCCTTGACGAAATTCAAAATTTACGTCACTCAAACCTACCAACGCAAGAGTCCACCATTGCTGGGATACATCAAGCCTTTGCTCAAGTATCTGACTACCATTGACTTTGGTCAATTGACATATGAAGCGGACATTGCTGAATTCTTCACCAATAAGGTACCCAAGGAATGCAGTCTTACGTTGGAGTCACATGAAATCATCAAGGGTAGTTTGGACACGAGTCTGCAAGCTGCCTACCTGACCATTCTGGATGTTAGTAAATAGCTAAGCAAGATATATAATAAATAAATAAACAAGCAATGATGGGACCTTCAGGTTTCCCTTTCGTCCGATTACAGATAGTCCCAAGCTGACGTTCTTTTTTACATTTAGTCACTAGTCAACCACATATCATAGCATCATCGATGATATACTGTTTGATTTGATTTGATTTCACTTGACTTGATTTTTACTGTTAGGTAGTTGTTACAATGCTGATGATGATGATAATTTGTTGGATAATAATAAAATGAAAGTGATGATGATGTTAATGACATTCCACGCGGCCAACCAACCATTTCTTGCTTTTCCGTAAGCAAAAAATAGAAATGGCAATCGTCTTTTCTGTTTTGCTTTACTCAAAGAATGTCGTCTTGATAAAGTATCGTAATGACATTCCACCTAGAGCTGTGCGAATCAACGACAGCAGGTAGACATAATTTGCCGCCAAAATGGTGCACATGATCCAGATTGGCAAGATGAACATGGTTCGTTTTCGTAACCTCAACTCATCTTGTTGCGTTCTGGCCACGTTGACGGCCACTTGATAATCCTTTTTGAGTTCGGCACAGGCATCTTCCCAGGAACGCAATTTGTTGGCGTCTGGTCGTCCAATGTCCGAATCTTCTTGGAGACGTTTCAATTGGAGTTCAATGGCTTGGACCATGGATTGGCGATTCATGGGTTCCCAAAAGGCATCGGCAGGAATGTGTTCTCCAAAAGCTTCCGTAAAGACCTTGACAGTGGGTAGAGCCACACGGACTTCGGAAGCAATGGCTTCGTTGACAGTTTGACCAAAGGTTTCGGTTGTGGAAGGGCAGACAAAGACATCGGCCATGGTGTAGACCGAATGCAAGGATTCTCCCTTTTGGTATCCCAGGAATTGGACTGGAATGCCGAGTTCTTGTGCCAGAGCTTCATACTTGGGACGATCTGGGCCGTCACCGACCAACCATAGAGCACAGTCCTTCAACGCGGACATGCACTTGATCAGTTCGTCCACTCCCTTTTCTGGACTCAAGCGTCCCACGCACAAAAGGAGGTATTTGGTGTTTGTTTCTCGCAAGTATCGGTCCTTTCTTGCTTGCCAGATCTTGCCAGCTTCCGTGTGCTTGTTGGCAGGTGTAAAGTTACACTTATCCAATCCGGTGTAGCAGACTCCAGTGCGGTTGCTTCCGTGTTCGTTCCACTTCTTGGTGAGCACCGTTTCAGTGGCTCTGGTGGGAGTGAGGATCCGATCCGAGATCTCTGGCAAGACCGACATGAAGACATCAAAGAAGGCCCACTTGAGGAATCTCCCGAGGACCTTTGGAAAGTGGTGTTCGGCATAATCAAACAAATTGCAGTGCCACGAGATGACCAAGGCAGGCTTCTGAGTTTGAGTAAAGAGTCGCAACAGCTTGTATCCAATCAGCAACCAGATTCCAGAAAAGTTCATCGGCATGACTACGTGAACAACGTCGTAGGTTTCGTTCATCAATTGCAAAAAGTAGCCAGGGAAAATGCACATCATGGCAGCCGTAAAGTTCCAAGGATTGGCGTGACTCCAAACGCCTTTGCTATCGGGACTTAGCAGATCCACTTCGCATCCCATGTTGGTCAATCCTTCCACGTAATGTCCTACGCGACGAGCAATCCCATTGACTTGTGGGGGAACGTTTTCGGAACAGACTAGAACCTTCATGGGTTGCCTTGAACCAGTATCCTCCATGATACTGGTTGGCATGTTATCTTGTGATTGGCACATTCTTCTTCTCCTTGTTGGTCTTGCTGTTGTTAATAATAGTGATGGTGATAATGATAATACTGGTTGCGGGAAAAGCAATACCGTCAGTGAAACCGTGGGTTTGAAGATGTGTATCGTGGTTGGTTGGTGGTAACACCGAGAGTATCCTTTCTTTTCTTTCTTTCTTGCTGGACCTCGGCCGATCGGAGCGAGAGCGGGTTGGAGCATTGGCCTCATTTGCGCGTAAAACAAACGTACGACCTCTACCAGATTGGTCATCTCCTCATTCGTTCATTCCTCCTCCTCCAATCGAATCCTTTCCTTCGCATCTTGCCACGCGGTTCAAACCGCGCGAGAATCTTCGAATCTTGCGTAGGCCTTTGAGTAAAACGATGACGTGTTGTGTGGACGGCGCGCAGAGCCAAAATTTCAGACGACTTTTTTTTCACGGTTCCTTCGCCACGCGTTAGTTTCGATTAGTGGGACTCAAATGAAAGGTCCTCCGTGAAGCAGCGACGGAAGGACACGTCAGCAAAGGCAAAGGATCCCACCAACCAGAACTCCAAATTTGGGCGCGTGGCGCTAAACGGAGCGCAATTTTTGATTCAAACGACCATCTAGCTTGCACGGTTTTTTCTTGCCTCCGTTGTCCAACCAAAACCCGAATCGGATCCATTGCAGCAGCGCATCGTCGAAACCTGAGGTGTAGCATTGGTGTAGTGTTGGTTCTCATTCGTAACCCTCCGTATCTTTGTCCACTTTGAAGTATATTTTCACTTTTTATCCTCCTACGACTTTTTCAACAAGCAAACAAACTAGCAACACAAGCAGCTTCAGCTACAATATCATGAGTCTTGTGGAAACCTACCCCGTCTTGTCCGTGACGTTTGCCTTCATGGCCTTCATGTTGGTCTGGTCTCATTTGCGTGAATGGATGGACTTTGCGAGCCATTCCAATTTGAAATACAAAGTCTTGGATTTCTTGGGTTCCTTTATTTATTACGGACCCGACATTGGAGTCGAGGCTACCTTGACACTAGATGACCCAGCTCCGGGAGTCTTGGAAAAACGTTTGAAAGGACAAGACTACTTGGCTTCCAAATTGGGCGGTGGTGCCACTCACAACAAGCGTGGACAAGAGTTGCAACCTAAATTGGTCGACTGCCGTTTTGCCCTGGCCAAGGTCTGCATGCCCTTGTTGCGGGAATTGGAATTCTCTCCCGCCAAGCGCAACTTTGTCACTGGGGTCGACACGGACAGTGGCATGCACCTGGTCACGGTCGATACGGGCGACGAGAAAACCGATCCCCTCTTGTATTGTGGATCAGATGCAGTCCATACATTAAGTTGCAAGGACTTTCATGCTCCCATTCAAACGGAAATTAACAAGCGCATGGATTTGGAAAACAACAAGGAATCCAGCTTGAGATTTGCTCCCATTGCCTTGAACACGGAATTGGAAAAGAATGCCAATGCCATTTTGGAATTGACTGGATTTGATCAGGTAAGAAGAATCTATGAAGAATGTGGAATGGAATGTTTGCCATTGTTGGTTTGTAACAAACGATCATCATCATCATCATCTGACAAACGCAATTTTTTTGGTCATTTTTTCCACGACACAACAAAAACGACTCGATTCATTTCACTTCAATTCAGGTTCGTTATTCTCTTTCTGGTTCCGAAGCCATGGATGCTGCCTTTAAGGATGTTCGTGCTTCCACTCGTGGAGTTGGGGACTTTATTGTGCGATTCTCGTCTGCCTACCATGGACACGTTTCGGGAGTGGACTTTTTGAATTCCCAAAAGGTCATTTACCTCAAGGAATGCTCCCAAGAGTCGTTGGATTTTATTGAAAAGTACCACTTCCGCATTGCTGGTGTCGTTGTCAACCCCATGCAACACTTTACTGGAATCAACAAGCCTAGTCCTCCCGGTGAAAAACTAAACATGGGAACACGTGTCCGTCAAGCTACTTCTCGGGAAGAATATGCCCAATGGTTGCATTCTCTTCAAGAAAAGTGCCGTTACTGCACCAAGTACTTGACCAAGATGGCTTTTATCGTGGATGATATCTACTTTGCCTTTCGTACTCCCGAACTATTCTCCAAGGACTACTTTACTTACCAAGGAAAGGCACTGGAACCTGATGTCATGGTCTTGGGCAAGGGTGTGGCTGCTGGATATCCCTTGAGTATGGTCCTCGGACGTCGGGGATACCTCAACACTTACGACAAGAAGTTCTTGCTTCAAGTCAACAAGACTGTCGGAACTCTTGCCGCCTGGCATGGTGGTTTGGTTGCCTCTAACGTCTTTCTAGAGGCAATCAACAAGGACAGTTTCATCAAGGAGCCCGTCAAGAAAACTTTGACGTCCATGGTGGAAAGATTCGATGCCTTCTCCACCAAGTTGAATGGTATGTACGAAAAGGAAAACTTGCCTGTTCGAATCCACAACTTTAGCAACACTTTCAGCATCAACTACTTGGTTGGAAGTTTGTTCAACAGCCGATACCCACAATACCTCATGGCAGAGGGTGTCTTCCTTGGTAACTATTCGACTGGAAAATTCAACTTGAATGCTGACACTACAGTAGCCGATTTGGACAAGGTTGCCCAAAAGTTTGTCGAAGCTGCCAAGAAGATGAAAAACGATGGATATTTTGAGCCACAAAAGAACAAAAAGTCCATGATTATGAAATTGGCTGGACGTTTCACTCTCAACTACTTGAAGCTGTTTTACGATCAAATCATGTTGGACAAGAAGATTGATATTGATGTCAGTCACAATCATCCCGTCAACAAGTGTGGCCACTTTTGGAGTTCGGTGTTTATGATCTTGGTTGCCTACCCAATGATCTATATGGGACACCCAGTCGAAGGATGCTTGTGGTTCTTTTTGACTCACGTTGTCCGTCAATCTGGTCACTTTTTTTACGAACACCAAGATAAAGATATCGAAAAGCTCAAGTTCGGACACAAGGATGCTTCCAAGAAGGAAGCTGTTGTCTTTTTGGCTTTTGCTGCTATTGTCTACCACAACCGCGCGGCATTCTGGGAAAAGATCTCACAATACGTCACAATTGAATTTGGGTTGGATCAGTACGTGAGCATCGTGGCTCTCTTCACGATCGCACCCCACGCAGTTCAAATCACCTACGAGTATGGCTTCATCCGAGGAATGTCCTGGCTATTGAAGATCTTGACTGATCCTTTCACAGATATTCTTGATTTCTGGCAATACGCCGTTATCAATCCCAAGTGTTTCATGGATGTCAAAGACCACAAGGCTATTTACAAGCTTGACTTGTATACCAAGAAGGTGACGAAAGTAGACTAAACTATTGTACAAGAAGAAATATTAATATCTAAAACATGCATAGTTGCATTATACAGGAAGGATACGATGGTAGAGAGAGATTGGAAGTTGGCCCCAAATGCCCACGGATTTTTGAGAAGTGTGTTGTTGGATCCTCAAGACAAAAAGTCATAGCAGGTAGAAAGACAGAAGTGAGGTTGTCACACGCGGTGCAGTTGATACCATAAAAAAGAAGGCTCTACAACCGCGAGTATTCCTATTTTGCTGCATTTGAATTTGAATTGCAAACCCAGATGCTTTACAATAGTTTAGATGCTCTCATAAAATCGCAATAGTCGATTCTCGAGATTGGTACAGTGCTGGAAAAGACACCAACCAAACTGTATGTCGTGGCTCCCCAGAGATTGGATATAATTGTTGCGGTTATTGTGTAACATATGCCTGCTCCAGTCGACAAGACGGAAACTTCAACATAAATTTTCTCATAATTGTACAGCTTCTATTTTCTATCCCATGTTCGTGAAGCCCAAAAACTCCAAGATCTTCTTGCCTCTTGGGCTTTCAATCACCTTCATGGACATAATGTACCAGAAGGTTTCAATCCATGCCGTTTGCATTGATGATGCACCTAGAGCGATGTAGACACCCCAAATAGTGGAGAGGACTCCCCAGTATTGTGGGTCGCTGATTCCGGTGTTGTACGGGAAGGCGGTGACACGTTCCACCTTGTAGCCTAGCTCCCATCCATAATATACACCGATGCCTCCCAATGCCTTGAACACGGAATAATTCAAGAATTGTCCAACACCAATGAGGCCCAATCCTGCCCAAAAGTTCTTGCCTTGAGAAGATGTAACCTGATCGAGAAAAACACTCGAATCACCCGCATTTGCTGCATCCCAAATAGGATTCGTCAAGGTACAGCGTTTCAGAAGATCGTAGGAGCAGACCGAGTATTGGAAGACTTTAACGTATATTCCCAATTGCATAAAGCACTTCCAGTACAGCGGTTCCTCTTGGATTGCCTTTCCGAAGGTACCCTTTTTTACTTCCGTCTTGAAATGCGATGGGAAGTGGTATACGTATCCATAAAGCAATCTTTCGATTCCCAGCAAACCGAAGGCGGCCACGGGGTAGACACCCATGGATGAAATGCTCTTAATTCCCTCCATTGTTGCCTCAGCTGGGACATGTATCTTCAGCAAAAATGAGGGGCGGGCTGGAGGCCACAAAATGCGACTGACATCATTCCTGGCCATTGGAAATGTCTCTCAGAATTTGCGTAGAAAGTTACGGGAAAAAAATGCGCTTGTGACGTCATGATAGACATTCGACTAGGCCGAATGCAATTGATTACTACCGCTTTTTTGAAAAAGCATTACTACCACGTTTCTTTTTGCCTTGGCACTTGGCATCCGAGATAATTCGGTCAAGTCTCGTTGGATCATATTCCTGATACGAGTCCACTCGATGGAAAGTGCTGGGCTCCAACTCATGCATGGACAAGTGGACTGATATGTCTCTTGAATTTTGGCTTTCGCTATCAGTGTGGTGCTGCTCGGTTGGACTTGTTGTGGAAGTGTTCTGTCGGAGCTTTGGAAGGATACTTCGGTACTTGACAGAGGACCCAGTGCCATAGTTTTGGCGATAAAAGTAAATGGAACAAGTGACGAATAATACATTGACTGCTCCCACGAGAATGGCAAACAATCCGGTTCGTGTAAAAGGCACATCATCATTGTTGTCTCGAGTTCTTGCAGCTGTTGCAGTCTCACCATCTTCCTTGTATAGGAAAGCAACAATACCATCAACATAAAGCTCCCCGACACTTGCCGACGCAATCGACTTTCCATGGAGGAATGTCTCCAGATCATCGACTCCACTTGCTGAAAAGTATTCTACAACTTTCTCTCGTACACTTTCTTTCGTTGCCATACCACGCGTATTTTGCATCATGCCTTCAATCTTTATGCTGAAACCGGATTCGATCTTCTGCCGCATGAATGTCGAGGGAACAACATCAAGTTCTAGAGAGACCATATCAACTGCTTCAATCCCAGTCTTCGTTTCCAACAAGACAGTGATGAAGCTTGATATGTGATTTTGGAGGCTATCGGAAGCAACATCTGTCATGTCGTCTGCGCTCAAAATCAATGCCATTTGTATTCTTGGTACAGGAATGTTCAGACCGTTAGACGGTTCTGAAAGGTGACTTGTGGGACTCGGAGTGTTAGTTGTTTCAGCAGTAGGTTGTACCGTTGGGATTCCGCTGGAAGGAAATTGTGATGAGTCCCACGTTGGTGCCAAAGTGGGGAGTTCTGTCCGTACTGATATCGGTGATTCTGTTGGCTTGGATGTTGGCTTCCTAGTTGTTGGCTTACTTGTTGGTAGTTCTGTTGGCTGTTCTGTTGGTAGCCCTGATGGCAGCTTAGTTGGCGACGAGGTTGGTCCTAATGTCGGACGCTTGGTTGGCTCGGTAGACGGCCACAGTGTAGGCGGTGAAGATGGCAACCCCGACGGATAAGATGTGGATGGAGCAAAAGATGGCGCAAGTGTCGGATCTTTTGTCTTTTTCTCCTTTTTGGACTCAACACCATGTATTGAGCATACACCAACAATCAGGAATACATACAAAACATTGAAGGCATGTCTTTGCTGCATCATCATTGTCGTATCTATAGCGGTCAGCGGCGGTTGCTTTGAAACCTCGTTCCGAAAATTTGGGATACACGAGTTGTTTCGTGTGAATACACGGTTCAACACGTCCGGCTCGCGAAAGAACGCGATCGCGCGCTATCAAATGTGACAAAAATACCGCGTCTTCCCGATGTACGGCTGATGATGTTTGAATGGTGATGGTGACAGAAACATAGCAATGCTTCCATGACTGAAATAGAATGCCCTTCAGGCAGTAATTTCCCTCCTGCAATGTCCGATGAAAGCGAAAAGATCGGGACAGAGACGGCTGACCAAGCTGACAAACCATCGCATTCTACGGACTTGGTCTACAACTCAAAGAAACCACGATGGTGGAAGAGTGTAGCTGGAAATGCAACGAAAGGACAAAAGCGAGCAATGGAAACAATATTGGCGAACCACCGTCTCCCTTCTGTACCGTATGGAACATTTCTAGACTGGAGTCAAATATTTCCTGAAAACCCTGATATATGGCTCGAGATTGGTTTTGGGCAAGGAGAGAATTTGCTAGCATTAGCACATCGGAAACGTCATGAAAACGTGGTGTTTGTTGGGGCAGAGATTCACAAGTCAGGGACTGGCACAGCATGTCGACGAATGCAAGAAGGGAAAGAGATCAATCGCTTTTGGATTGATTATACCGTATTTTCAAAGGATTCAACCACAAGCAATAATCCGAACGAGGAGGGGTCGGATGGTACAGAGAAACACGACGATCCATATCGTAACCTTCGACTGCACCCAGGCGATGGTGTGAAACTACTGCCATACATTCCCTCATCTTCGCTATCAGCTGTCCTGATAACTTTCCCAGATCCTTTCCCGAAAGAATGCCAACGGCAGTGGCGTGTCATCCAAAAGCATACTATTTGTGAAATCTATCGTGTGTTGAAAGACTCTGGACATTTCTTTTTGGCTACCGACCACGATGGCTTCAACCAATGGGCTCATCTAATACTCAACGAAGTGAATGAAGATTCACCTATCTTTCTCGAGGTGAATCCATGTCCAGGTAGAATGGACTGGCTTCCGGTTGTTAGCAAGTATGAAAAAAAGGGCTGGGATGAGGGTCGAAGCACGAATCTAAACTGTTGGGAGAAGATCTAGATTTATTGGTTGACACATTGGTAGATGTCCCCTCCCGGAGTACTTTTTCATCCAAATGAACTGGTAGACTAACTCACAGCCATGTACTTCAAAGTTCCTACTTCACTGTATCGACAAGGCTGCTGTGGGTACAGCTACAGGTACTGCAAAAAGATCGTCAGACGTAGTCCGTGCTACCATCCGTAAGTTGAACTTGGTCATTTTTCCCTCTGATTTTGATTTTTGATTCTTCAAGATATCATCGTACTGTACCAGGTACCGTACGAAGAACAAGAAGCTGAACCTTTCATCATGGAACTTCACCTGGCTGCTCATAGCGGTGATTTCGAGCGTGTACAAGAGTTATTCGACAACGGAGCGGGGGAATCCATAAATGCAAAGGTGTTCATGCACACACACAATCCATTCCATTCTACCGGTAGGCTTCACACCATTGCATTTTGCATCTGATGGAAACTTGGAAATAGCTCGGCTACTTTTGGATCGAGGTGCTGACTTGGAACCATCTGTTAACAAGTACGAAATATTTTTTTTGCCCCACTGCACTTGGTTTGTCAGCTTAATCATTTGGAGATGGCTCGACTCTTTTTGGACCGTGGAACCGATGTGGACGTGAGGTCAGATAAGGTTGCAACACCATTGCATTATGCTTGTGATGAGGGGCACATCGATATGGTAGCCCTATTATTGGATCGAGGCGCCGATGTGAACGCAATAATGGTAGAGGCAAAGAATCAGGAAATGAGGGAAGAGCACCGCTGCATATGGCATGCGACAAGGGACGTTTGGAGATGAATTAAGTTGCTACTGGATGGAGGGGCCGATGTTAACTGCGTGGATCACACGTTCAAAAGGAAAAGACCATTGCATTTAGCATGCGAGCGAAGTCGGATCGACGTTGTCCAGCTGCTGTTGGATCGAGGAGCCGATGTGGGCACAAAGGATTTCTGTGGATACACACCATTGCATCATACACGTCAGCAAGGTAATTTGAAAAGAGCCCAAATGTTCCTGGACTCGGGTGCATATATAGAATCAGTTGATGACGAGGATCGTACACCCCTTATTTTGGCATGTACCTCTAGCCATTTTGAGACTGCAAAGCTGCTGTTTGATCGAGGAGCTTGTTACGAAGAAGTCGAGGATTCACCGAGAACTCTATTGCATTCCGCATGTGAACAGGGTGTGTTGGAGATTGTTCGCCTGCTGGTGGACCAACTTGCCAATCTGGAAGCACGGAGTGAAAGTGACGGTTCACCCTTGCAAATTGCATGTGACCAAGGCTCGTCGGATATTTGTCGACTGTTCATAGATCGCGGGGCTGTTATAGAAGTGCCAAATGAATGCAACTTGTCTACCCTACTTTCTGTATGCATGGATAAGGGGCAAAATGATTTGGGACTCGCTCAGCTGCTTTTGGATCGGGGTGCGAATATAGAAGCAAAGACAGAAGATGGCGTAACACAACTGCACATCGCTTGTGGGAGGGTAGCTCGGAGATAAGTCGGCTGCTCCTAGTTCGGGGTGCTGATTTATAATCGCTAAGTTTAAGGCAATCGACTGCCTTGCATTCTGCATGTGGTAGACATGAAGGGGGGGATAGTTTGGAGCTTGTTCAGCTGCTTTTGGATCGAGGTGCCAATATGGAATCAAAGATAGATGGTGGCCAAACACAACTTCACTTCGCTTGTGATATTGGTAATTTGGAGATCACTCGACTGCTCCTAGGTCGAGGTGCCGACGCTAGAGCACCAGCGGGGATGAAATATACTGCCCTACACTTCGCATGCAACAGGAGCAGTCGTGTAGAGGTTGTTCGGTTGCTATTGGATCGAGGGGTATACATGGATGCAAATACTATGGGTGGTAGAACGCCACTATACATGGCATGTAGGAAAGGTAGTTTAGATATTGCTCAATTGCTGCTGGATCGCGGCGCTTGGGTGAATGTCAAAGGCAGTGGCGAGTCGACTCTTCTGCACGAAGCATGTAAATCAAGCTTGCTCGGCTCTTGGTGGATTTTGGTTCCGATGTGGATGCCAGGGATTGCAAAGGATGCACACCATTGCACAAAACATGTGGCAGGGATCCTGTCACGATTCAGCAACCCAATGTGTTTAAAATTTTAAAGCTCCTGTTGGACCATGGTGCTAAAGTGAACACCAAGAATGAGGACGGCAAAAGCTCCGTTGCATCTTTCAAGCTGGCGTCTCCAATAGAACGTTGCTCAGCTCTTGTTAAACCGAGGCGCCGAACTTGATGCAAAGGACAATGATGGATGTACGTCACTGCACCTATCATGTCAAGAGGATCCCTGCGGCAGATTTAGACAATGGGGCATTGATGATGTTGACAACATTTATGATGCTGATTGGAAATTTTTTGAGATGTTACTGGATCGAGGTGTAGACGTCGGGGCAAAGACAAATAAGAATATGACACCACTAGAAATGGCGTGTGAGAGCAATCAATTCCAGAAGGTATGCTTTTGGCCCGCAGAAATCTTGGCTGCTTCTGAAGCGAACATACAAGGAGGAAACGCCAGAAAAGGGACAGCGAGTATCATGAAGTTACTAGGATTGAACTATATTGGCATGAAAGTAGTGCATGACAATAAATAGCTTGTCCTGAATTCCCGAGACTTTGTAGATCCCACATCAAGCTTGTTGAAGAAAATATTGTTCATTGGTCTTTATCTCAAAATTAGCGCAGGTGTGGCACCATTGTCGACCTGGTGGTCTAGGGGTGATGACGTCCCGCTTACACCGGGAAGATCGGGGGTTCGATTCCCCCCCGGGTTACACTTTTGTTTTGTTGGATGTGTGGGCTGTGTGAAGTTTTGATGTAATGTTGTTGCCTTTGTTTATTCGATATTTTATTTTGACGGATTCGATTGCTTCATAGTGCCATGGTTGCATTCTTGCTATTTCTCCCATTTCCACAGTATCAGATGAAAAGCTGATGGTGCAAAAGTTGAAACTACAAGGTACATGAATAGACCTCAAACCATCTGTTAAGAATTCGGAGAACCCGGAGTTCTATTCTTTTTCTCACCTGTATTCTTCAACATCGAAAGTCACATTTTCAATGCGCCAAAGATTGTCACGTCAAAAAACATGTGGAGGAGTATCCTGTTACCATGTTTAAGCATCACAATGCTAATGATTTCAAGGTGTCATGGATTCCTATCACCTTCACCTCTCAAAGAAGCGAGATCGTTGGCACAATCAACGATCGTGTTGAAACAATCATTTTCATCGTTGAACACCGAAACGATCGGTCCAACTGTTGAATTCACTGATCCCGAGACAGGTTGCGAAGTAGTTCTGGTAGGATGTTTTCATGGAACGGCTTCTTCAGCAGAGGATGTATCACAGGCTGTGACTCCAGAGACAGACATTGTAATACTTGAGCTTTGTGCAGCACGATTCAAAGATTTGCAGCGGGCCGCCGAACAAGATGTGAAACTTCAGTCCTCTGGACTCGGAGGATATCTGAACCTCGTATCAAATGCGATAAAGACAAAAGGATTGGCAACAGGTTTGGTTACGGCTGTCTTGGTTGGATTCAGTGACTTTCAATCATCGCTCAGTGGTTTTGAACCAGGCATTGAGTTTAGGACTGCCCTTGACAAGTCCATCTTGCATGAGTGCGATATAGTTTTGGCAGATCAAGTAGTAGACGAGACCCTTCGCCGTATTGGAAGCCTCCCACAAGTTAGCTGGGAGATGAACAATTTGTCGAAGAATGTGACTAGAGTAGTGGAGAATTGGACCTTGAATTCGCAATCATTGAAACAGGCTATCGTTGGCGATGAAAGCCTCCCTCGAGTAGAACTTGGAAAATTTCTTTTTCGCAATTCTGCAGCTGTGAAGGACTTCCTAAGATTTGCAGCCGCGCCACTCCTCCTGATGGCTGTATCGCTATCGGCGGGATCCTCGTATGCTTCGGACGAAAGCATAATGTTGAGCGATCCTTCCATCGCAGAGCAAATGTTACATTATTCTGCGAGCGCAGCACTATTCATGTCGACTTATCTTGGATTTTTCCTTCCAGCAGTAAAAGTAATCCTCTTCGAACGCGATCAGGTGCTCACCAACGGAATCAAAGCTTCCTGTAAGCGAGCTGGCAAAGGTGGACGAGTTGTGGCTGTTCTTGGCTTTCTGCATGTGAACGGGGTAGCGAAGAAGATGTTACAAGACACGATATGATTGGTGATTATTAGATACAGATTTTCCTTCAAATTGTCATTTCTACCTTTGATAGTTTAGTTCTTTGTAACAATCGAGTTGGGTTTGGAAGATTGTAAACAAGTCCTGGTCAATTATTGCTGGATTCCAGGGGGCAAATCATATGCAGCGAATCGAGGAGTATTGTGCTGTCGATGCATGCGTCTTCAAGTCGAATTTGAATGGCGGAAAGCTCATCGAGCATTTCGGAACTCTTTTGCAACAGAGGATCATCGTCACTGTGTGAATCATTTTTATTGTCTTGGAGGATCTGCTGAGGAGCTTTGCCCTGTTTTTGAGAAGGTTGGGGATCGCTCATTCTATTTTCAGTTGGTGGAAAATGAGGCTCTTGCTGCGTCTGCCACTGACTGAAGTGAAAGTGTGATTTTGTTGTTGACCGATAGATTTGCCTCCGACGAAAAGTGAAATCGACTAATATGATCGAACATCAAATAGAAAAAGATAACCCGGGGGGGAATCGAACCCCCGATCTTCCCGGTGTAAGCGGGACGTCATCACCCCTAGACCACCAGGTCGACAAATAAATGATGTGTAATTTTGCTCAAATTTGGCATATAGCACTATTGTATAACATTTCTCAAACTTTTTCTCGTCCATCAATAATGATCACCTCTCACATACCGGTAGCTTCATTTTCTTATTTCTACCCCAACATGTCAAAATCTCAACACAAAACCACTGACCACACAAATAGCTTGGAAAAAGCAAAAACCGCAATAAACACTATCAAGGAACGTCTCCAGCCGGTTGTTGACAAAGTGAATGACCATGACTTTGGTGTATACTCTGCCCAAGCTCATGCAACAGTCGCCTTGTCAATAGGAATGTTGAAGTACATGGCGGCAAGGTTGCAGGGAAAAGATCGAGGTCGCAAGGCAGATGATCCACTTCGAGCTGAACTGAATAACATGAAACGAATCCTAGCTGAAGTAAAAAAGAAGACGACCGAGAAGGTCAAGAAAACAGACGATTCGACGGCACAGAAAACAACAGAACAAACGAAACCTGATTCAGAGTCTGAAAAGGGCAAAAGTACAGCTCCATCATCAAATGTCGACTCGTCAATAGCCGAGAAAAAGAAGGCCGAAGAAGTAAAGACGAAGAAGGACAAGAAGAGAAAGAGTTCAGACTTCAATGAACGTGGTCGCAGCAAGAGCCCCAAGTCAAGGAAAAAGAGATAAACTGCGGGAAGAAATACAATTTCTCTGAATCATCGTTAGGGCTGCTCTTTTGTCTCTGGCATCTTTGATCCGCAGGCTCAAGCAGGAAAGCAACAGTATATATTTTTTGAAATATTCCTCATCGTATAACATTGAAACACCAGCAACTGAGTCTTCTTAAAATATATTTGGTATCTAGGTGTATACATGTGTTACTATCTCTCCTGCTCGCTTACAATCTGTACCAGAGTGGAGTGGTGGAGTGTTCATCCAAAGTCAGTTAGTGGTCGAAAATTTCAAACGAGTCCTGATTTGAATCCCGAGTTGGTAAAACGAACTTCTCATCTCAAAATTTTCGTTTTGACACAACGCTCACATACCCAACACAACAAACACTCATCCAAATGGAACAGCAAGAAGAGGAACTAAACCACAGCAGACATGCGCACTTCGCAATATCACTCACAAAGAGAAATAGCAGAGATTTTGCCAAAGAGGATGCACGGAAAGCGGTACATGACGCAATCAACAGGGCATATGAAAATGCTCTAGCAACTTCTGATCACAGTGGCTCGGCGATGGAGGATGATTCAATTGGGTCTTTTTTGGTCAACTTGGATTCAACTAATAACTCTCACGAGAAAGCGATTGATCGTGGTGTGAGACTCGGGTCTGTAGCGGTGAATGAGTCGGAACGATTAGAATTTCTAAGTTCAAGGCGTCAACTCTTTTTGGAGGATCCTGAACAGACTCCAGATAGAACGGGGACCACAGTGTTGTCAGGAAGCACGACCAAATCCTCATTGAAGTGGTTTCGTCGTCGAAAAAAGAAGAGGGAGAAGGAGGAATTGGAAAAGCCAGAAGAAGCCTGGATGTGCGGAGTATGTTCCAAGATGTTTTCATCATACAATGCTGCCGAAAAGCATGAGGACTATCATATTAAAGAAGTTCTTACTGATTTGGGTTGGACTGGTGAGGGGAACAACGTATCACCGAATTTCTTTGGAAGCAATGGTATGTCTTCTCTGAATGAAATGAAAAATTCAGGAGCAAGGAAACGTTCACCCAAGGAGGACAGGAATCAGAGAAAACAACAGCGAGGCCCTGATGTCTTACGCCTCTCATCTCCTATACGACCTCACAAGAGGGCTACTAGCGTCCAACCATTTACTCCTGCGCTCAAGCGAAATAAAGGAGTGGCTCAACGTCGCTATTCAAACGGCAGCTTCATCGATGAAGAGTTGGAAGATGACGAATACAAGGTGGCGGCCGGAATTGGTGTCCCACGAGCAATGACCCCCATCCGCGAGGCGGAAGATCACCGTTTCTTGGAAAACATCGGTGGACATGATGTTGTCCCACTGCTTCTTGCCGATGAAGCTCTGGTAGATGTTTGTCGCAAAGCAGAGTCGCTCGGGCTGTTGACCAATTCGGAACAGGATGCTGAGTTCGAGATTGAATGCCTGGCCAAAGATAAGGCGTATTATGATCTACTTTTCGAACGACAAACCAAGCGCAAGCGAGATAGAACCTACCGATTTCGTAGAGAAGGTACAAGTGCAATCAGTGTTGTGCAAAATAAGTTTGTTGATGCGTATCAATTGATGAAAGAAGGGAAAACAAAACGTGGCAACACTACACTTGACTACTACACCAGAAAACTAAAGGGAAACGACCCAACAGAGCTTGTAATTGATCATACAAGAAACACGCTGTATGTGAATGTCATGGTGAAGGAATCCATTAAGGTGGTTCGGCATGAACTTGAGAGGCTTGCAAAGAAACGATGGGAAGAGAAGCAAAAAAAGAACGGTGAAGAGACTGACATTCAGAGAAAACGATTTCAAAAGTTTCGTGCTGCAGCACAGGATAATCTTGTGAAATTGGCCGGTTATGCTCTGGCTTCTGATTTCACACCAAGACGGGTGAGTACACTGTATATGTATTGATGATTATGTTTTCGCTCCCTGTATTCTCTCACGACGTCCTGTCGTTTCTGTTGTACAGATTGCTGTTCAATTGTCGAATGATCTCTATCGGTAAGTGGCAATCCCTCGATTCTTATTCGAGCAAGTATCACAACTGGGCCTCATTTCTTTCTTTTGTCGAGGTCAGGCTCTTGACACCTAGACTCAAGCGTCGTGGTGTTGTCATTGAAACTGAAATCGAATATCGCGTCGGTCCATATTTTGTTCTGGCTGTCAATATCCTCAATGTGCACTGGAGAAGACTTGTGAGAGTCGCATATAGGGACGTCGCAGAGAGACGCGCAAAATGGAAGAGAGAACAAGAGAGTGAGGATCCAAAGGAGAAAAAGAAAACAAGAACTGCTGGAATTGTTGAAACTTGTGTCCGATTGACGCGATTGACTAGGATCGAAGTGCTGGCTCAGGTTCTCGCTTGGATGTATCACCTACACTGGGTAGTATTCACACCTATTTGCTTTATCCTGTATCAGCTCTTTCCGAAGACATTCCGCACGTACTTTCTATCCAGCGTCGCAGATGGTAAGTAGACTTTGGTACATGTTGACTCCATGATTGTTTCGGTTCTTCTCACCCTTCCCCTGTAGAGATCTTCTACTATGTTGAACAGAAAGGAATGCAGATGGACATCGGTATTCGTGGAGCTTCGACGCAGGCGGCGTTCATGCTTTCTGCGTTGCGTGAGATGAGAGCCGACGGACGAGAGCAAAAGAAAAAACTGCAAGAGGGCGACTCTGGTGCTGCGGGTATCATCCTTGGGCCGTTATTGGGACCTGCAATAAAAGGTGATAGTGGTGCAGCTCCTCCAAAGCCAGCTGGTTTTGAGATTCCGAGTAACTTTGAAAATGTTGGCCTCGAATTGGACGTTCCTGTTGGATTCAAGCGTCTTCGATGGGCACTGATGTCGAGCACTTCAACCTTTATGGAAGAAGCAGTCTTTCGAACAGAGTCAAAGTATGAGAAGTAAGCAACATTCGATTGATCCAACAATGCAAGACAAGACAGAAATTCTCACCACCCTTTTCTTGTAGCATTACATTTGGTACTTGGTCGAAACATGACGACGCTATTGGACTTCCAACTCCTCCAAAGGAAGTGTCCGAAAGTGATTTCATTGGGGCTGAAAAGGAGTTTAGGTGCGTGTTGAAGATCATTGGTCACTCGGAAAGCTTGGAACAAAACTCACACCGATTTACCCCATCGTAGCTATTTGATGCCCAAATCAGCATTCGTCAAAGCAAATATGGCCTACGAAACGGCATATATTGAAGCGTACAATGATTATTGTTTCTGTCTGAAAAAGAAAGCATTGACGCCAGAAGTGCCATATGGTTCCAGTTTTGTTGCATGGACCAAGATTATCGTTATCAACAATGGCAACGGTAGCTCCAGACTTATTTGTTCTGTCGAACCCGAGTTCCCCAATGGTACGTTTCGTCTTTGCAATTCGAAAAAAACGTATGCCGCATGATCCTTGTACTAACACTTGCAATTGCATTAGGCCCACCCTTGATCGCCCGGCAGATTCAAAGTGGTATGAAAGCGGGAGTAGGGTAAGCCAAAGTTGCCTATTCGAATTGTTGATATTGGGAGGTGTGTCAATCTAATCTATTGTGTACTCTATGTCTATTCAGCGAACTTTTTGTCAAAATTGCAGAGACCATTACCAAGTATGCCGAGCAGTTTCCATAGGATGTGCATGTCGACGAGAAGATCAAGAAAAACAAAGACTATACAGATAATTTTTAATCATCCTTTTTCGCTTGTTCCTTTTCCTTCTTTTCTTCTTCCTCCTCTTCTTCCGAGTACGCCATGAGTTCCTTGAACTCTCCTTTCGAATAGGCACAGAGTAGAGATGATCCCAAACAAGCTGGGACTAGGTATAGAAGCGCAGGCTGTGCTGCTTTGAATTGAATCATGACAAACAATGTAGTGGCAAGCCCCATAAAGTACGCAATCATGGCCGAGTGAAAGTATGGTTTGGGGAAGGAAGTGTAAATGTCGATATCCTTGGTTGGCATTTTTGCCTGGTGGGCATCGAATCGCAACAAGAGTGCCAAGAAGAAACCTACAAATAATAAAATAAAAAGTACACGGGTCAGAACCTGGAAAATCAACCACAATGATCGAATCCACTATAAATCATCAATACTCAATACGCACCTGGAATCACAATATCACCCAATCCAAGAAGACTCAATTCGATCTTTCCAGTTTCTTCGTTTGGGATCAAAGTACGTGGGAAGAGAAGCTTAATTGGACCATCAATGCTCTTGGCAACTGTAACCATAACATCAGTTCCAAACACCCAGAAAATGTCGTAGAAGAATAGCCCAACCAAAAGAATGGCTCCAATCTTGTAGGTTCCCAAGCTAAAGTTTTGAATTCCTTGCAAGCAAAAGCAAATTCCAATAATATTGTTCAAAGTCCAATGCTTGGCTTGGAAGTATCCATAGAGAACTCCGGCCGATCCAACAAAGGCAATCACATCTGCGGTGGTGAATTCAAAACCAATGGGCAAGGGAGAAGGCAGAATCCAATCGGGAAGAGGATGTTCAATGCTCTTTTTGAAGCCCATCTTCTTTTCGTTGGTAGAAGCAGGCAAAAATTTAGCCACCAACGGTGAAAGAGTAATGGTAATAGCTCCACAACCGACCAGTCCAAAGTAAGCACCAATCAAATAGTTGACCCACTCCTTACCCAAGAACTTGATAGCCATGTACAATCCAAACAGTGACATGCTTCCAACCAATGGAAATTGATAAGCGTCTTCTGCCTTCATGGTTTCGCGACTGGCATCTGGATCGTATCCTTCTTCTCCCTCCTTGGGGATTTCTTCTCGCAGGACCAACGATTGATGGCAGGCAGCGTAGAGGATTGCCATTACCAAAACCAACAAGTGGACGACATAGGGAATAAGGATGACTTGAGATAGTCCCCAAAGAAGAGCTATCGTTGCATAGGATCCGATTATAAGAGGATTACCGGTAGACATGGTTTGAATTTTAGTAAGTTGATGGTGATGTGGAACCACAAGTTTGAAAGTCTCGGTGCATTGCTTTGGAACCGTTAGAATTAGTGATGAGTCGAACTTGTCGTTTTTACGACACATCCGACATTCCCAAAATTCGCGCAAGCCGCGTTCGTTTTGAACCTTCCATCGCAGCCGTCGCAACAACATCGATGTCACTCACTCGGCTCCGGGTTTGTTGTCACTATCGTAGCGAGAGGAACCTGGAGGTTTCTCACATTTTTGTTGGATTGATTGCATCACCAATCCATAGCAACATAATCAGAAACATGTCCAACCAAGGTGAGGAAGACGACTACGTCCAAAATGATAGCGCCAAGTGGGCCAAGAATGCTTACGGGCAAAAGACTGGAAAGTTCTCAAAAGAAGAAAGTGAAACGGTTCGAAAGGCAGTCGAAGAATTTTGCACCTTGAAGGAAATCTCCGTGGCTCGATTGTGCAGTGAGTGCGATCACAAGGCCGAGCTCAAGGGCGCATGGATGGAAATTGCCAAGCAACTTCCGCATCGATCTGTCCAGTCTGTTTACAGACACGGCTTGCGTCAGTTGCACCCATTCAAGCGTGGTGCGTGGACGGATGAAGAGTGTGAGCTATTGGTCAATTTAGTACAGCGTACAGGAAAGAAGTGGGCTTCGATCCAACAGAAACTAAACCGATCCGCAGATAGCTGTCGCGACAAGTACCGAGAAATGAACGATGATTACGTCCGTGGAAGATGGAAGGAGAATGAGACAGAAACCCTCAAGAAACTCATTCGGGATCATCTCGATGCCGATCCTAATGCAGATATCAAAATGTTGGGCAAGATGGTTGAAAACGAGGGCATCAAGATTCCTTGGTCCATTATTAGTAAGCGCATGGGAAAGCGATCTCGGTTGAGTTGTTTCAAGAAATGGCAAAAAATGACTGGTCTCTATGCTGCCTCGGACCCGTACAAGAAGGCAATTGCTGCCGACAAGCAACCCCAAGATGTGGACGATGTCAAGGCAGGGCATGCCGCTGCAACCAATGTGGCTGTTGCTGCTGCTGCCCATTTGGCCGTCTTACCCAATCCAGTGCCTCCTTCCCATCAACAAACTACCGATTATGACACCTTTCTTCTATCCGAATTGGCACAACTCAATGTGACACGAGCCTCCGAAATCAACTGGGACCTCATTCGACTGGAAGGTGCTGAAGAGCGTTGGAACGAGTTGGTGGAAGAGTGGCAAACGAGCAATGTCATTGATGACTCCATTCTATCAATGCCACTCTCGGAAATTGCTCAGTTCATGCTGGAGCGCAAGACACCTGCCCAACGAGCTGCCGAGACAGTAGAAGCCGTTGATCTTCCACCTCCAGAGGCATTGAGTACTCGGGAAGTGTAATCACTTTTTTTTGGGTATGTGTGCATCACCAGTGTTCGCAAGGGGATTTTCAATTAGGGTGCATAGCTCTGCTTGCAGAGCAATTATTGGCGCCTAGTTCTATGTATCTATCTATACACATTTTATAAGACTTAGTAAATTGGTAACAAAAATTATCCTTAAAATAACCGGCTGCAGCTATCAATGAATTTCAACATCGATCCCAGAATCACAAGGATTTTGGTTTCGGTTGGATCATCAATGACTGGATGATGCGGTACAAGCTGTAGGCTTGTTGTGCCCAGGAAACAGCCAACCATGTGTGCAGCAACGTGTTTATGGCCCCTAAGGACCAGTCCGTGTACTGAATTAACATTGGGTACAGTGGCAACAGTGGTATGTGAAAATTCAATCCCAATATTCCCCATATTCGGGCATTGAGGTTGGTTTTGGGACGATCCATGAGGAATAGGACAGCCATCATGTAGTATGAGGGTGGAGCTTGTGTTACTGCTGCAACAAAAAGATCACATGCCGGGCGCTGATGCGACATCCCGCCCCAAGCTGTAGAAGAGAAACAGCATAATCCGTAAATGTACCAAAAATATTCTGGGATTATTGGAAGCTTCTGAAACGCTGAAGAACAGAGTCCTTTGGGTTGAACTTTGCGCAAGATTTCAGTGGCACAACAACCCATCCAAATGTTGCCCAATGGGATAGCTCCCACACATAATGTCCACAAGATTCGAAAGGAGAGCGAATTTCGAGACTCAACAGAGGTGTAGGCTTGGTGACATATTCCACCAGCGGCGACTGACAGCATACAACATGATGCTAGGACTGCTACCCGTATACATAATTTGTCAGTATTTCCACGTTGCGAGAGCGCGAGAACCGAGGTTGAGTATGCAACCATACCGACTGCAATCACATAGTCTGTCCAGTATGACCAAGGTGAGTTATCAAAATGTGAAGTAGCTTCGTCGTAATGCCAAAAAGCGGGTTCATATGTCTTTGATGAGGCTTCCGGAGTAGTCACAAAGGGCGCCCAAAGCCCAATGCCCAACATGCCTGCCGCCAAGGATATGGCGGCAGACACAACCGATGAAGTGATATTGACATTTTTCATGAAAGGCTCCCTTGAAATGTTCTATTTATATACTCGCTTTTGAAGGTACGAAGATAGAATGCTTTTTACTACAAAAACCAACGCCAAAGTTGATGGTTTTGATTGCTCGTGACTGAATGAGTCTTGAAAGTGGGGACTAGATGAATACTATAGTTTCCAAGTTGAGTAGTTGTGTGTCACAGATCTCGATGGATTGCACCAGCTGCTGTAGTCCCGTCTACAAAAGATTACATCACACTGATATTGGAAACAAAACTAGTAGTAGTTTATAGTCGTCTGCAATTGAAATGAATTTTTGCAACGAAAACTTATGCGGATTTTGGTTTTTTCTTGATCAGAAAGGCAGACAAAACGTTTGCAGAGGCCTTGGTGGAAGCGTCTTCTTTGGGAGGTGATGCCTTCTCTTTTGGTGGAGTCTTTGGAGACTTTTCGGTGTCCTTTGCCGTCTTCTTCTGTTTCGAATTCTTTGGATTCGCTGCTTCACCGGATGATGTGCGCTTCTTGGAGGTAGATTTGGTTTCCTTCTTGGGTGAGGTGCTCTTGCCCTTGGATGCCTTTTCTGGCTTCTTGGGAGGCTCGTCTTTGATCTTCTTGCTCTGAAATATCGTTGAGATCTTGTTACAATTATATACTTTGCAAGTCAAACGAAATCACATGAAAAGAAACTTACCAACACCTTTTTCAAGTCGAGTTCCTGCAAAACGGAACGCTTCACCTCCCAATAAACCCCGGTGGAGTGGTTGAAACGTTGCTTGACGGCAATATTGTCGAGTTTACGCATTGCCTTAGCACGATTGGTGAATACATCGGGGTGGTTCGTACGAAGATCCTCAATGATCTTCTCCTTCGAGTTTAATTCACAATGGTGGACATAGGTCGCCAGTATGCGCATCTCATCCATAGTGTATTCGTCCTTTTGTGCATTGGAATCCGCACTTGACTTCGCAGGAGCACTTTTTTCGACTTGATTTTCGTCCACCAGTGGTGGTGGAAAGGCATCCAGACAAAGGTTTGGAGAACACAGCTCAATTCCCTTGTGTATAGACAGCTGATTCACTCCCTCTTCTACCTCGTATCCTTCCACCACTACCTTGCTATTGTCAACGTCAACTGCAGGTAGACCTCCAATGGCTGGAGCAACAATGCAAACTGAATGTCCAAGAGCTGCTTCATTTTCTCCCTTTTGAAGCTTCTTCTTATGCAACGCTCTGGTTTCATCGTCCACCTCGTCCTCAGAATCCAAATATCGGTCATCGGAAATACAGAAGCCATCTTCGTAATCGTAAATACGAGCATCACCCTCGTCATCGTCCTCTTCACCCTTGGACTTTTCTTCGTCTTCGATATCCTCTCCAATCTCATCATCACCCTCTTCCCATTCGCCTTCACTATCGTAATCATAGTCCAAGTACTTGGTATCCTTGCCAAACGGTGTTCGCCCAGTCACAATATTGCTACTCTTGGTCCAAGTCCCATGATAAGCAGGACGGCAGTCCTCATGAAAGCTTAGAAAGCGATAGCGGTTGGAAACCGTGACTTTTCGTTGCTCGGCAAATGGCTGCGCATCAAATCCGAAACCTTCCTCTGCTTGCACCGTCATGTATACAGTGAGGCCAATCTTGCCGGTGGGGCGCTTACGATTGTTGGTGGTTGGGGCGACCGACTGTCGCTTGGACGAAGCATAACCACCATTGATCATGGATCGAAATTCTTCGACTTTGAATCCCCCAGATTCAGTATTGTTGCTCTTGGAAGAAGCTGGAGCTGCCTTGGCCCTGGACTCGTCTCCTGAACTTCCTTCCGAAGACTTTCGACTCTTCTTCTTCGGAGGTCCAGCAAAGAACGACATGAGACAAGACTTTTGTTTCGTTAGATTCTTTACCTTTTTCTCTTCCTCCGCCTTCTTGGCCTCTTCTTTTTCCACCTTTTCAGCTTCTCGTTTGCGTTTGGCTTCGTCTCGTGCCTTGACCGCTTCTAGTTTCTTGACTTCGGCCTCTTGTTTCTTCTTTTCTGCCTCCTGCAGTTTGCGTTCCTTTTGAAGCTCTTTTTCCCGCTTTTTCATTTCTTGCTCTTCTTGCTTTCGCCTCTTGGCTTGCTCTGCCATGCGCTTCTTTTCGGCCTCCCGTTCGAATTTGAGGACCTTTTCTTCGCATTGACTGACCTTGGCTACTTCCTTGTCGTACTTGGGCGACTTGCCGGGATAGGATATGGCCATTTCGACATTGGACAGAGCTTGGATCAACCTCGAAGTTGCCGCCCAATGTGAAGCAATCTTTTTGCGAGCAGATCGTGCCTTCTTGACATCGGAAAGGACTTCACTGGGAAAGATATCCACAATCAAAATTTCCCATCGCCAGATGCGAGTGTTGGAGTCATCTTCAAATACGTCCATAGTTGATTTGTCTTTGGTGCTTTTCTCCATGTACGGCTTTCGCTGTGACAGCAACTTGATTTTGGTCGCAACCTCTTCCGAATCCCAATCCTTGGAGTGGCACGTAGATAGCATCCTGGAAACCTGTTCGGTCAATTTGGAAATTGGAAGAGTGCTGAAAGAAAAAGACAAAAGTCAGTTCGAGTAGCCGAAAAAGCTTCAAACCACAGTCACATTCAGAAGACGGAAGTCTTACCTTCCCTCAATCAACAAAATCATGTTGGCTACTACAAAATCCGGGAATTCATCACTGGCAATACTGTCTTCTACCGCCTTGGTTTCGGGGTCGGGCATTTCAAACTGCTCCTCGGGCAATCCATTGTAGACTTCCTGGAACAATTCATCTGCCTTGGTTTCAAAGCGCGATTTCATATCCTTGTACTTTTGCAAGGCCTCTTGACGCTCCTCGGACAATTCAATGGGAGGCTGCTCCTCGGGGGGTGGCGGTGCTTCCACTGCCTTCGACTGTGCCGCCGCCTTGGTGGACTTTCGTCGCTTTCGTTTGGGAGACACTTTGGCTTCCTTCTTTGATGACTCCTCCTCTTCGATCACTTCCACATCATTCTCCTCCTTGGTAGGATCTTGTTCAGTTTCTTCTATCATTTTGTTTTCTGCAGTAGACGACTCTGGCTCGGCAGCAGAAGACTCGGGCTGTTTGGAGGCATTTTCCGCGACGTCTCTAGTCGTTGACTCCTCGCTAATGGTTTCAGTAGTTGTTTTCTTGGCAGCGTCATTGCTGGTTTCTTTCGTTTCTTTCTTTGGACTTAACGTTTCTTTCGTGGAAACCGATGAATCATCGGAGGAATTGAGTTCAATCGGGCCTTCCATGGTCCCTTCTGCTTCTTGCGCCTTTTTCGGTGCTGGTTCCTTGGTGGCCGTCGATGCCGATTTGGACTTGGATTTGGCAGAAGTCACTATTGGAGACTTTGGTTTGGTTGGCGATTTCGTAACGCCAAAGAAAAAGTTTCCAAGAGTCATTTGATTGACCTTTTTCTGCTGCTTTTGCTTGCTGGCGCTATGTTTGCTGCCATCCTCAGACGAAGCATCAGTAGGAGTGACTTGCTTTGGAGTTTCATTGTTTCCTTGGGTTTCGTTATTGTTTGTATCGACCAGATTGGAAGATTCAGGCAATTTGTCCACAGCATTGGTATCTTCCAGTACCTTTGTTGGCGTACAAGATGAGGATGCTGGATCCACCACCTCTTCAGAGTTCAAGTCGACGGTATTGTCATCGTCACTTAGTGAGGCATCCACGACATTTTGCACCACTTCTAATGTTGGCATGATACAGCTAGTAATGATAGATTGCAGCAGTAGCGTCAGAATCCAAGTTTGCGGGCAATGATAGATCGATTGCACCAAACAACAACACTGGAATGATGTTGCTTGCAGCTTTGGTGAGTTGAGTCGATCAAAACTAATAATGAGTTCGGTGTTATCTCGCGTAGATTCTTCCTACTATGTGTGGGCATGTGAAGCTCAGTAGACATTCTACAGCAATATTTTATGGCGCCAATTTGACAGAATCGACTAGTCCGACATCACCGAGTATTGGATGCACCATTTATGCATACTGTTTGGCTTTGATTTCTGAAAGGTTGCAAAGTTGAAGCTCTCGAGTGTGATCTATTCTTCAATAAAGGCACATGTCAAATTTACTGTTGCGACAAGCATCTGCCCTGTCCTTGTCTTTGCGTCACGAGTTGTTTCCATGTACTAACTACCCGCCGCCCTATTCACTATAGGATGTAGGTACTAGATATGCGGAAGATGACATTTGCTCGTCAATCATCGCCTCGCCAATAGTGGATCTACAGCATAGTTGTGGTGGCAACAAATTCATCCAGGTTGCTCCGGCTGGGTTGTTGTTGTTGTTGCTGGAAAATGAGGCAACCAACCAGGCAAGACCATGCTGTGAAGATTCATTCATATCATTCCACATCTCATTTACTCCTCAGCCGACGCCATTCATTCATTCATTCATCCATCCATCCATCCATTCTCATAAGTTATTCTCCATCATCTTTGCTTTTTCTCAAAAAGCTTTGTTTCGACCGAGCTTCCTTGATCAAAAAGTCCAAAATATACGAATGATTCTCCGATGTCAGGGAATGAAATCCTTGCGAGGCTTTGATTTCTTGTTGGATTCCTTCATTGATCCACGCCCGCGGTTGGCCCCGAGGGTGAGCATCATCCCTCACGTAATAGCTAGACGCCGAGGAATAATCGATTAAGTCTTTTATTTTGTCAAAAAAGGTTTCCCATTCGTCATTCGTCAAGGTTTGTTTGACAACGGATCGTCGGTCGAAACCTGGCAATTCGGTTTTCATGGCCGTATGCAATTTCTCACAATCATCATTTTCAAATTCGGGAAACCGAGAATAGCAGAGGGAACTACTGAAAGGATGCGGAGAAATTTGGAATTGCTTGGCTGGGATTCCCGTGGAAGACATTTGTTCGTAATTCTTGGTCATGCGTTTCGTCAAGATTTCATCCTCCTTCATACTGACAAAGACTGTAGGAATGGCCTTGCCACTCTTTTTCTTCATGTTTTCTTGAAGAAATATTTGATTTGTATTGTACAAGGCCATGCTTTTCAACTTCAAAGTGGAAAAGACAAAAAAGAGATAGGAGGCTCCCGAGGAATCCCCCATTCCCATGCGTGGCAATTCGTTCAAGTCGTGACTGTAAACCCATTCTTCCACAATTTCTTGAATAGTGGGCAAATCCTTTTGGGTCCAGCAACCTGATTCTCTATCTTTGGAAGTGGGTGCAAAGACGGCAACTCCTCGTTGCAAAGCGTCATAGGCAATGATGCGATCTTCCGGGTATTGAAAAAAGGAGGACCCAGATCGATGGCAAGAATGAAAGAAAATCAAGACTCCCTCTGGTCTTTTGTGTGGTAATAAATAGTAATGTTCCATCCCATGAATCGTTATTGCTTTCGGGCCAAGTGGGACTGTCACCACGTCTTCCATTTTGGCCATGATGGTACCATCCGATGCTCTGGTATAACCCAAGAAGTTTGGTCCAGCGGACCATGTACAGATTACTACCAAGATAATGATGCATAAAATGCAAAAGCATTTTTGGATTGTCGTAGGTTGAGGATCTCGTTTGAACCGCGTCCGAACGCTGGTAGAAGAAGACATGGAAGGGTTGGACGACAGCCCCCCACCAGTATGGCGGGATGACGCCATGAATGGGAAACCGAAGAAGGAAGGGGAAAGTCGGCTCTTTCGTGAAGTGAAAGGCTCTCCGTTCGTCTATTGTCGGATTTCTGGTAATGAGAGATACTGTGTAGTCTGTTGCGGTGGTTTGTCAGGAGGGGATGGAAGTGTCATGTGTTTTGACGGACCCTAGTGACTTGTGTTTTCGTCCATACGTGATGGTCACGCTTTCACTTCCTGTCCCGTCCCTTCTTATCAATCCAAAGCGGAGTGACTGACTCGTTCGATTTGTTGATGTGGACGACTCATTTGACTTCTGCAACGTCGCGTTTTGCGTGACTACAATACTGTACGAGTGGATTTATCACTGTTGCGTCAGCCAAATTCACACAACACAAGAAAGATTCACTTCTACTGTCAGCTATCCAATCTCAAAACAACCACAGCAAGATATCTTCATTCAAATGACAACGGCATCAAACCTCACACCGAGAGCCGAACGGGTACTGGAATCTGTGGAAAGCTCCATTGCCCAAGCCTCTAACATGTCCTTTGACAACGACAACGTCAACAAACTCTACAATGATCATTGCACTTATCTACCTGCCATGTTGGGATGGTTCTTGTTCTCGGCACTCATCACTTCCTACAACAAATATGTCTTTGGAGAAGGGCATATGGCCTTTCCCTGTCCGCTGTTCCTGACCTCCCTGCATTTTGGGGTCCAATGGTCCTTTTCGCATTATGCCTGTGAAATCTTTCCAGAGACGTTGGGGACTCAAATGATCAAGGATTTGGATTGGAAGACCTGGGCTGCAATTGCAGTCCCATGTGGGGTGGTAACGGCCATGGATGTGGGACTCTCAAATCTGTCACTAGCGGTCATTACGATTACCTTTTACACAATGGTCAAGTCTTCGACTCCAGTCTTTGTGCTTGGATGGGCTCATATTTTTGGAATTGAAAGGATTACCTTACAGTTGATTGGAGTGGCTGCAGTTATTGCTGTTGGAGAATTTGTTACAGTATATGGGGAGATTAATTTTGTCCTCAAGGGATTCCTCTTGTGTCTTACCGCCAGCGTTCTTTCGGGGGCTCGATGGACCTTGGTACAACTCAAACTGCAAAGCATGGAACCACCTTTGAAAACGACAATTGCCACCATGAGACTACTATCACCCTGTATGTTTTTCATTATGCTATTGATGAGTCTTGTGATTGAGCAACCGTGGAACGATTTTCCGAAAATGAATTCCAGCGACCTGTGGTGGGTCCTTATTCTTGGTGCTGGCGGAGGCGCCATTGCGGTTTCAATGATCTTGTGTGAATTCTACCTAATCCTTGAGGCATCAGCGATTGTATTGATGATTGGTGGCGTCCTCAAGGAAATGGTCACCATTGTGATTGGCGTTACCCTGTTCGGTGATGACTTGAATGGAACCAAAATATTTGGCATGTGCATTGTCTTCTCAGGAGTAATCTTGTACAAGATTGTATTTCACCTGGAGAAGGAAGAGAAAGCAGCGGGAGGAGCCTATCAACCGGTCAACACGGAAAATAATGCTGCAAACGGAGAAGACGTGGAGGCAGAAGAGATGGAGGTGGTTGGAACGGGTACCATCGTGCGACATCGCCATGAGGCTGGGGATGAAAAGTTAAATTGATCTATTGATTCCTTCGACTACAAGTTTGTGCGGCGCACAGACAGCCCTCCTGAACCTTTTTTTTCACAACGGATACCGATATTCAATATCATTGTTGAACACTTTCAACTTCTGCGGTTGAACGAAACACCATCCCAAGCAAAATAGCTGTTGCTCACCATTGTTGGTATCAACAATAAGACAGCCGATTAAATGACAACGACACAGCGCCTCTCACCGAGGGCGGAACGCTCGCTGGACTCTGCAGACGACGCTCTCTCGCAAGATGATTCCTCGGACATTTCAATGGAACCTGACAGCCTGAGGAAATTCTACCATGAACATTGCACATATTTACCGGCAATGTTGGGATGGTTTGCCTTTTCTGCCCTTCTGACTGCCTACAACAAATATGTCTTTGGAGATGGGCATATGGCCTTTCCCTGTCCTCTCTTTTTAACGTCCCTTCATTTCTTGGTGCAGTGGACCGTTTCGCATTGTGTCTGTCAATATTTTCCGGAGACAATGGGTAGAAATTCAGTTAGTGATTTGGATTGGAAAACCTGGGCTCTCGTTTCGATTCCTTGCGGGTTTGTAACTGCATTGGATGTTGGACTTTCGAATCTATCACTGGCGATCATTACCATTACCTTTTACACCATGGTCAAGTCTTCGGCCCCAGTCTTTGTTCTCGCATGGGCATTCGTTTTCAGAATTGAAAAGATTACCCTAAGATTAATTGGAGTCGCTGCTATCATTGCCCTTGGAGAGTTTGTCACCGTTGCGGGGGAAATCGATTTTGTTTTGAAGGGGTTCATCTTGTGCTTAATAGCAACGTGTTGTTCCGGAGCACGATGGACTTTGGTCCAATTGAAATTACAAAATATGCAACCACCCATGAAAAGTTCGATTGCTACCATGAGACTGCTATCACCGAGTATGTTCTTTGGCATGTTGGTTATGAGTTTTGCGATTGAACAACCATGGAATGACTTTGCCCAAATGGATTCGAATGCCTTGTTGCAGGTCTTGCTACTAGGTCTTGGTGGAGGTACAATTGCCATTGCCATGATTTTGTGTGAATTTTATCTGATCCTTGAGGCCTCGGCCGTCATTATGATGATTGGTGGTGTGATCAAAGAGATGGTCACCATTATGATCGGTGTCTCAGCGTTTGGGGACGACTTGAATGCAACCAAAATTATTGGTATGTGCATAGTCTTTTCTGGTGTGATCGTATACAAAATTTCATTTCATCGCGAGAAACAAGAGGAAGAGGCTGATGGAATCTACCAACCGATTGTGCAAATTTCTGAAATTGAAGCAGAAGCAGAAGAAATGGAAGAGGTCCGAGACAGCTCGGCTCGAATAACGTGAAAGAACATCAGCAACTTGAAAGAAAAATACTATTTTTGGCCAATTTGAGATGCAAACGGGAGACTCAATCCAATAAAGAAGTACGAAAATGTGCTGTAAGCTGAATGTAAAGTAGCATGTTCCTTTTGTTCCTAGATGACTCATCTTTGAATAGTTCTGAAACAATATGAAACAATCGATCATTTGCGAGGAACATTATAGCAACAATGTTTATAGTAAAAGTCTAAGTGTTTATTTTAGTGTTGAATTCATGCTCCTGGTTGTGTATTTGACATTCTTTCTACAATCTTTTCAGCAATATCCTTGGGTCGCATCGACTGCGTAAAGCAATCAGACAATTCACCACCATCATCGTGGAAGTATACTACGATTGAATGATCCACCAAATAGTCTCCATCCTCGGTTTCTTCTGCCTTACTCACATAGACACGGTATTTCTTGGCCATTTGTTGCACTTGAGTGGGCGAACCAGTCAAGAACACAAAGTCTGGGTGAAAGTCTTGGGCATACGTTTTCAAGGCTGACAAGGAGTCTCGCGCGGGATCCACTGAGACGAAAAGTGGGACAATCTTGGAGGCCAACTCGGGATGAGTCTCCTTGAGTTGATCAATGACTCGGCCAATTTTGAGCATTTCGGATGGACAAATATCGGGACAGCGAGCAAATCCGAAATATAGAAGAAGCCACTTTCCCTGGAAGGAGACATTTGTCACCAAATTTCCGTCCAAGTCAATCAAGGACCAGGGGCCACCAATAGCTGGCTTTCCCGCTGTGAAAAGCAACCAAGAATGAAAAAAACAAATTGTGAGTTTCGAAGAAATGGTCAACAAACTTGTATGTACCAAGGGGTGCATCATCGGAATTAACCGTTGGCATATGGTCACCACGAACGAATCAGTGAATTTGAAACCATGGAGGTGGCTAGAGGAGGATCTTGCTTGTAAAATCTGAGTTGTGTACTTGGAATGCACGTGTTGCTTGCTATGTGGTCTAGAGTAGTCAAGTCGCCCATCTGTCCACTCGGGTATCCAATCCACTCATTCATTCGTTCATGTATCCATTTTAACATGACTTACAAGCACCAAATCCATCATCTTTGGGAAACCATCCCCATTTTGTCAATTCAAATTTTCGTGGCGCCATTACCTCTGGATTCGGTGACCAACCACCTGACTCACTTGAAACCACTCGTCCCATTGCAGTCTCCAGACGTCGTTCTCTCTCAATATTGTAGTACGCCACACAAGAAGCCGCCGCAATACTGACCAAGAAAAGAGATGGCCATGAAACTGGACCTCTGTCTTTGATAAAGGTTCCTGCAGCTCCTTTCCCACTGCCAATACCTTGGGTTTTGGAGGCTGCCGGTCCGGAAATCTTTGGTCCTGTTGTCGATGATGAGAGGTATCTTCGAATTGGTGCCTGAGAGGAAACTCTGAAGCGATTGAGTAGTGGGGTTGTCATGATTCCCTTTTGTAATGAATAGGAACGATGAATGAATCTATCTGCAATCGTACAAATAAATGAAAATGAGCCTCTTTTGGATGATGTGGATGACGACGAAGAATTTCTCCGACTCAAACTGGTGTTGATTGATTGATTCGACTCAAATATCTGACAAAGGACGTACGCGCATTGTGGAATTCAAAAAGTGACGATGATATTTTGGAAGGAAAGGGTAGCGGCACCTCTTGACCTCATCGTTCATTCCCCTCTGTAGCTTTGTCATGGTATTTTCACCACCCAGTACTGGCGTACCAACCAAGGTTGCAATAATGCCAAGCATCAAGCGTCGCGGCAAAAGTTCTGGCGTATCCAGTCCAAGTGCAACAAGTGCAAGTCAACGACTGTCGCAAGCGTCATTGCAAAAAGCATTCTTCTCAATGTTGGCGTGTGTGTCCGTTTTCTATTTTCTCTTGATCTTCTTCTTTTTCTTTCAGCGGCACGATTTGAGAGTTTATCGGGATCGGGGAGATTTTAATCATTCGATCCGAAGCCATACGGCTGAAGCTTGGAAACACCACTTGGAGAAGCTTTCCAGAGAACAAGACGAGAGACAACAACGACTACGTGAACAGACCGTTCCTGTCCAAAGTCACCACACAGATCATAAAGACTTGGAAGAGCCCGATATAGAAGAAATGATTCGACCAGAAGAGATACGAGGACGGAAAGACGGGGTGTCCAAAAACACAAGCGACAAAAAATCTGAACATGCTTTAACGGTATTTGCATCGAGCAATCTCGACAGTCTTCTTGATGCTGGATCCTTAAAGGAGATGAACTTTCCAACAGTTTCATCATGTAGCAGTCTCTATGAGTCCTTGGAAACGCAAAGCTTGGATGATCCATTTCTACCGAAACTACATAGGGTGGTTCCGTCGTCTGATGCCTCCTACATTTATATTGCAGCACAGCATTCAATACCTTGTGGCAACGAGACAGACTCAACGATAATAAAAAAGATGCATCTACAAGCAGCACTGTTTCAACCCATTTCGGTGAAGCGAATAGAAAGGGATGGAGAAACCAAGTATCAAGTGATTTCAGACAAAAACGACACTTCGGATGCTGTTCAAACTCGATTCCTATGTCGGTTCGAGCCAAGTGGAGACGAGACACTTTCTAATTTTAGTCAACAAGATGACACAAAGGAGACGTCTGCGTCAGACGCCAATTTATTCTTTCATTGTCCGGTGCCAAGCGATTTGATCCAAAACATCAAACAACAGATGGAAGATCATTCAGAGCAGCTCGACATTACATTAACACTGGTTCCCTTCCGAACCCCACCAAGCGCGCAAAGTCCAGAAGATGCAATGCCACCTTGCTATCTAAAGCCAGAAAACATGTCCAGCCATTTGCGGAGACAATCAAAGGGCGAAGCCGAGTATCTGCCAAAGATTGCCAATGCTGCTCGCTGGGAAAATATTCCAATCTGTTTGTCGTCTGCTGCAAAGCCTTCGTAATTTCATGGAAGTGAATGCAAAAGCTAAAAGGAAAGGGGCAGAAAGTCTCTCGCTGTAAGCAAACATAGGCTTCCCTTCTAGCCCATCCACCTCCGGATGAGTGTCTACTAGGAGAGGATTGACAGCACTCAGAACTACCAGATTGGGCCGATTGTGACATAGTGACAACAATTCGTTGAAGAGGATGATCGCACACGGAGCATTTGAACCGTGTGTTTGGTACTCTGGAGCATCTCAAGGATGTCTGGTCAATCACTCAGTCGAATTGCCGTTACAACATGATGGCTACAAATATCATCAACAAGCCGCTGTCGGCTTTTCCCATTTGGTCTCTCCCTTGTCATTGTAGTAATATGTCTTTCCTGTAGATTTGTCAACTGCTGATTTCCAGCCTTTTGGTAGCTCGTCTGAAGCTGTGGATTGGGCCTTGTCAACATTTTCAGGCTTTGTCCAACTTCGTTCACCAGTCGCTTGATTGTAGTAATATGGTTTCTTGGAAGATGGATCTATTGAAGCCGCCCAACCAGGAGGGAGATCTGCTATGAGCCCACTAGCTGCTTGTCTTCTTTGCTGTAAGATTGCGTGGACTTGCTCCATTGGATTGTTAGGATCACTGACGATGGTAGGTCCACGGTTCTTTTTTCGTTTCTTTTTCTTTGGAGCTTGTTCTGTTTCGTCCCTGGTTTCAGAAGTCGCCTTTTCCACCTTCTTCTTTGGCCATACTAATTCGCCTTTCAGTTCCTTAATGGCGTCCATTCCATCCCAATAGTATCCCGTCCCCTGATCGACTTTGGTAGTAAACACATAGTTGTACTTCCATCCTTCAAATGTTGGAGACGGAATAAAGTATTTCTTGTCGTCCGGTCGAATCCGAGCTTCAATCAGTTTGATCCGCTTTCGTTCCGCCGCTTCTTCTACTGTATTCTTTTTTTTGAATGTTGTGTACCCCGATCCAGTGGAAGTCTGTCCTTTTGCCTGTCGCATTTGATCCTCATGTTTTCGTTCCTCTTCCCAGCTGGAAAACCCGGTTCCCAACATGTCAGATTTCTTCAAGGGTGCCTTGGGTGCAACGCTCTTGTGATTGTTGATGGCTTTGTTGCCTTTTCGAAATTGTTGCCATCTAAACGAATGGATGGTTGGTACAGTGCTATGTTAGAAAATACCAATCACAAGAACAAGCTACATAACACTGATGGTTACTCGAAAATGGTGACTTACGAGTTGGCTCCATCACTTCCCAAGACGGGCTTTGACACCATTTCATCTACTTTCGCAAAGGCATCAAGGAATGAGTCTCGTTTGCTGTCGGGACCTTGTGACATTTTGCTTTCTCCACGGCTCGGATTGCTGGCAATCACTTTCGGAAACACACGTTTGATATAGAGTATTTGAATTTTGGTTGTAGTTGCTTTTCTTGATTCTCTTATTCTCCATAGTTGAAAGCTGTCCGTCAACCGGTTTTGCGTGGATGACAGATGACCGGAGGAGAGGAAAGGATATTCAACATTAAAACTTCTGCTCTTGATTGCCATCATGCAAACCCATCAGGATTATGACACTGTGGGGCGATCACATCTCTACGCTTGCATGCATATGATGGAATGAATATTCGATGTACAATAGGACTAACACATATCCAAAAATCAAGGAATAAACCGTCATCTTGCAGAGCATAGGATCCTCTTTTTTATACTACAAAACAACTCCAATCTACTCCAATTCCTCAGACAACTTCATTCTTTCATTCGTTTATTTATATTATTTTACGCTTGTGGAACTCCCATAGCCATTAGCGCTTGTTGTTGTTTCATCTGTAACATTGCTAATGCTCTTCCGACCATTGGATTGGAAGCGTTGGCTTCAATCGATTTTTGGAATTGTACTTGAGTCAAACCAATGGCCTTCAAGGAGTCTTCTCCTGCCTCATTTGCAACGGATGCGAATTTCATGTGCAATTCTTGGGCTACTGCAGGACTATTCAGATCCTGTCCGTCTTCCTTCATTTTCTCTACGAGTCCCTTCATGGCCATGGTCAGTGCATCAAAGTAGATTTCAGCAGCTTCCACAGTCTTGGACGGTGACAAAATCTCAATGGCTTCCACTGTTGCTGCCTTTCCAGGTCGCATGCCCACTACGACTTCTCCTGAAACATTCTCCCACAATTTCTGAAACCGTTCGACTGACTTTTTGACCTTGGGGAACTCTTCTTCCTTTTCCATAAATTCCCAGGTAGCTTCTTCCAGACAATCATAATCCATATCATATTCTTCCAATACTAGAGTTTGCTTGGCTGCAAGTGCTCGTTCGAATTCAGCCTTGATCATCATGCGGAGTTGCTTCTCAGGAATCACTTGACCCGACATTTGAATCTGCTGAACCATCTGCGAAAGCTGTGCCAAGACGCCTTGCATTTCCAAAAAGAGGCGGTCGAAAATTTTGGTAACTTCTTCCGACGTAATCAATTCAGATTCGTCGTATTCATCATCGTCGATATCTTTAATGGTACTCGTGCTGTCTGCTTTGGAAGAATAGAGTGAACTAGCAGCTGCGGCAGCAACCAGCAAAGCGGATCCGACCAGGACTGCGGATGTAGATGATGACATTCTTATTGTTGTTGTAGAATTTAGTCCAGTATATTGTATTGTTGGAATGAAACGCGTGCTATCTCAAAGAGGGGTTTCCTGCTGTTAAGAGAACTGATCGAATAAAGCGGGCGTTAGACTCTTTGCTGTTATGGTACAGTGCAGTATAGTTCTCCAGTGCAGTTGCAGCAATAATCCTCGGAAAGTGTGACGTGAAAAGCAACAAGATCAGAGATGAAGATCCTCTCGTCCGTGGTGTGGTGCTGAGAATCGACAGAAGTCGACCTCTTCGCCAATCAAAATGATTGATTCGGCAGCGGCCATTGTTGGCCGCACGTGCAGTCGGTCCGAATTTTTTGGAACGCAATCCGAACTACCGGTTGTAGGCCAGACATAAAGGACTAATGTAGTGTCGATTGGAGTTCAGCGAAACGAACCATATATTCCTTGAAGAACCAGCGATGCCGCTAATTGCGTTCCGCACGCAGGCCGAGGTTTATTTATCCGGTTCTGCGTATGATTTGCGTCTCAATAGTACGAAAACCCACGGAAAGATCAAGTGAAGCTGACAAGACGCCTTGAAACTCCGAGAAGTGACTTGACATCCTCACAATCTTTCCTTTGATTTTCTCGTCCCCCCTGTCAACTTGATCATCCACCATGTCCAGCACCTTGGAACAAGCCAAACAAGCCATCCCTGCCGAGATTCGCATGATCTCTGGTTGCCGTGATGAACAAACTTCTGCTGATGTCTCCAACGTTGCCTCGTTTTCTCTTCCGGATCCTGCTGGACGAGCTGGAGGGGCTTTGACATCTTCCTTGTTGAATGTCACCTACGCGGATCATACCAATACTGGAAAGGATTTGACCTATTCAGAAACTTTGCTTGCAGTTCGTGAACAATTGAAGAAGAAGGGCTTTGAACAAATCCCTCAGTTGTCCTCCTCGCGTCCCATGTCCGTGGATGCCCACTTTGATTTGGTGCCAGAAAACATGTCGGGAACTCGTCGTGCCGTCATGATGTAAGTTAAAGTCAATCAGCCAGCCAGCCAGGCAGTCTGACATGTGCAATACAATATTATGTTGCCTACAACCACCTTGTTTGGGTTAGAATGAATGATGACCAATTGATGATTTCTCACGAGGACCAATTCTTTTTTTCGCATTTTCACCCACACGACCATTATTATCACTTCAGTGGAATCAACTACGTCGGCCAACAAGGAGAACTTCGTGGATGCCACAATGATGTCTTGAATATGAAGGAGTACCTTATGGATGTCCACGGGTTCCAAGAGGGAAACATTGAGGTATTGATGGACGACGGCAAACACACTTCCCCTACCTATGCCAACATTGTCGCCGCCTATGATCGCATTGTTTCCGCCAGTGAGGCTGGAGATGTAGTGTTTTGCCACTACTCTGGTCACGGTGGAAAGCTCCGGGATGATAATGGCGATGAGAAGGATGGATATGATGAGGTACGTGGTTGAAACAGCTATTGTACTGCCAGTCCCTTTTATTCCAATGGACGACTAACATGGTTGTTTATTTATTTTGCTATTTCAGACTTTGATCCCACTTGACTACCAAAGCGCTGGACAAATTCGTGACGATACCTTGTACAAGGATTTGGTTGGCAAACTGAAAGAGGGAGTCTTTGCCACCTCTATCATGGATTGTTGCCACTCTGGATCTGTCTTGGATTTGCCCTACGTCTTTGTTGCCGATGGTGAAGAAACAGAAATGCATGTCGCTCCAGACTTTGACTTTGCTCCTCTTATGTCAATGGCACAACAAGTACTGCAACAACAAGGTGTCCCTCCACAAATGATTGCCCTTTGTATGGACAAGTGCAACATTATGTAAGAATTGGCCATATCTTGGTTGTTGCATGCAGTGTTGAGAAAATATAATGAGTGAATCATAGTCTTGTTCCATCATTGCCATTCCTGGTATCCAAATCTTGTGGATGTCACGGTGGCCTTTTCTCCGCTACTAGTGTATAAGTGTTAAAAATTCATGTCCTGTTCTGATTCTATTATCCCAGTGATTGAGTTTCATTATGGGTGTTTTGCTGGGAATCGTATTTTGAAAAAAAAGGATGCACTGTGCCATAGCCATCTTCTTGTTCTCAGAGCACGTTGGCGATCGATAACGGATTGAGCTCAGCTTCAGTCACTATCAGATTATTGTCACAGTATGCATCATATGCATCATGTATGATATATCATGATCATAAGACTCTACTATCATTATCTATCTCTCATTTCTCTCCTTTGGCAGCTGGACAATCCCCCCAAAGTCCAACTCCAATCGTCACTAGCAGCTGACATGCTTAAAGATCATCGAGCAATGAGGTATCGACACCATCTCCTATCTCATCTGGCGGATTTTCGAGCAGGGATATTGAAGTAGATCTCTGATATTCATCGGGCCCATTCGAGAGCAAGGATATTCGAGCAGATCTCTGAGAATCGTCCATGTGTGGGTCACCACCACCACCACCGATAGTCAGCATCTTGGGGAGGGTCACGGTTGGGCTACCCGGAACTAGAGGATAATCAGGATCCTCCGATGCGGCTCCTTTGTGTTTTGCGATTTTCTGAAGAGCCCTTGGAATGGTAATGGCCGAAACCCTGGAATGATGGCTACGCGCTTCTTCCACATGAACATAGTCAGGTGCTACCACCGGTGGAAGTTTCTTTTTCTTCTTATCTTTGTCCTTGTCCTTTTCTTTTTCCTTTTTATCCTTCTCCTTCTTGTCCTTTTTGTCTTTCTTCTTTTTCTTCTTTTTGTCCTTCTTGGTCTTCTTGACCTTCTTTTCCTTCTTCTTGGACTCCTCAGAAGATATGGACCCATCATCTTCATCATCCTTCTCATCAATCTTTTCATCACTATCCGCGTCCTTTTCACTGGAGTCATCCGATGCCGTCCCATCACTTTCCTCCTCGTTTAGTGGCTTCTTAGCTCCAGACTCTGCTTGATCTTTTTCAGACGCCATGTTGTTTTCTTGTGGCATGTTCTTTACTTGTTTCAATGGAGTATCAGATATGTATTTGCTCTAATGTTGTTGAGATGACAAATAGGAGCAGTGGCTGTATAATGGAGATGAAAACAGCTCAAGATTGAATTATCCAGACGCGTCACGATGCCACTCCCTTGCTGACTACGATAATAGACTCTCTGCTGAAGCAGAGGTTTCTGTCCACGACTTCGCGACAAATGAAATTACGAAAATGACTGGCCTCCTCTCAAACTCGGATTAGTCGAATGCCTCTCACTCGAATGAGTCGTCAGCAGTCGAGTCTGTGCGTTGGATTGGTTCTTGGAAGCAAATTTCTCGACAAGATTTAATTTGTGTTACGAATTCCTGAAGCCAGGATGGTATCATCTCACCGTCATCCCTAATTGTCCATCAAGATGATGAAATCAATCCTACTCCTTATAACTGCTACCAGTGCATTTGCGGGCAATCGTATTGCTGGATATGATTCGCACACACTCGTCATCGATCAGAACAAAATTGATTTGGATCAGCGCGACATGGAGCAACAACTGGCCTTGGGTTCGAACGATGGATACGATTCGGCAATCAAAATTTACCAAAAGGGATCCCACTGTGCATCGTATTCACTGCTAAAGATCCAACCACTGGAAGCAGTATTGACGGCTGGTGATCAAGTGACTGGAGTTGCCCAAGATGGATCGATTGTCAAAGCGACAGTGGCTGAGAACTATCCCAAGGGAACAATAGAGATTGAAGTGGTCTACAATTTGGATGAGACATCTAGCTCTTTCTGTCACGTTGGGGGAAACCCAAGACCGATAACAGATGGATGTAAGTATGAATTAATACTCAATCACGCCCCAAAACTGCAGATTGTTCCCGAACCCTCCACCTGACACCTTTCTTCGATCAACAGGTTTTGCTGATTCTGGAAGGCTCGCAGTCAATAGTGGTGATCCAGGACTAAAGTACTCGTACAATGTTTTTACCGATACATTGAATGGTATTTCGATTCAAAAGTTGAGTACCGAAAAACGAACCGAAACTTCCTACTGGTGCGATTCCTGTAAGAGTGACGATTTTGATGTGTTTTACAAGTTGTATGGGGAGCATGACTACGCCGACAAGTGGTTTGAGGCTGCTCGACTGGGCACGAGCACCAATTTCTTCTTTGGAGATGCTGACTTCAGGAGCTTTGGTCTGGATGGAAAGTTGGAGGCCATGACAACAGCAACCTTGGCGTTGCACATTTGGATGCACGTCGTTTTTCTATTGGAAGATTCCGTGGGCAAATGTCGTTCCAAGTACGGCGATCATGGGATCAACTCCTGGGACAAGGCCGTCGCTTACTACACTGGTTCCATGGAAGGACCTGAAAGCGATGTCAGTCAGGAGGGATTTCTTCTCAAACAGCTCGCCAATAAATTCTGCAAAGCCTTCAAGACTTGTGGTCCTGACGGCGATGCACAATCTGGGGAAGCATATGTCAACACGGAAATTCTCCGTGCTTTCAAGAATGGTTTGACAGCCCTCAAAGATGGAAGGTGTAGCTCTGTAGAGACCAACAAGGTGTACATTGCTGAAATGATGCGTGTTCCACTTGTGCAAGGTCTACTGGTCAATAGTTATGCTCAACAACTTGCACCCCAACGATCCGAGAAGGCAGAAGCTGCTGGAGCCACCTTTTTGGCTGCTGTAGTGCCTTTTGTTTACAACTGTAATCCAGCAGATGCAGCCACTTTGGTCGAGCTGATGGGAGCTTCTAGTTTCCGGGGCAATACCGATTTTCCCAAAGTTAAGGCCATTCTAGAACAAAACTACAAGTGCATGCGGATAAATTGTGCGGATATCGGAGGCATCTGGAACTCCAACTCAAACGACTATTATCCAGATAGCCTCGCCTGCGAAGGAGGGTTTGTGAGAGTTGATATGTTTATCCTCGGGATTACACTCGCCGCTGGTGGTGCTCTGATGGTTTGCTTGATTCTTGCATGTACATGCTGCACCAGCAGCAAACACAGCAAGGTTGACAATGTTCCCGATGAAGACGAAGAAGGTGTTGTCACCGAAGACCTAATGCCAAAGGTTTCCTAGTCAGCCAGTCGAGTCGCACCTGTAGAGGATATATATATATAACATACTATAGGTGTTCTACTGTACATTTGAAAAAAAATTGGAGCAATATCGTAATAGTTCATATTGAGTTTATGGCGCGCTAGCTAGTAGCTAAGAGTAGTGACAGGACGGACAGACGACACCACAGTCGAAATCAATCTCGTAAGTCAATCTTGAATCGAATCATGGATCATCGTTGTCATCTCAAAACAACACGGCAACACCCACCCAACTGTAGTTGCTAGGTTCGTGCAAACCAGGGCATTAACATGAAAAGTCCAAACGAGGGTAACGTAGAAGTCTCGCATCGGGTAGAGGAAGACGGTTCCTCAGTGGAAAATGATGTTGAAATGGAAAATGTGGAAGACTCTTTGGTGGCCAGCAAATTTAAAAAGTCCAGCAAACATTACCACCACGTCCCAAAGATCTTTCGAGACTCCATTTCGGTTCTTGTTCCCATCGATGTTCGAGCTGATCTCAAAATTGCCATTCAAAAAACTCGACAAAAGAGAATTCAGGGCATTTACAAGCAGTTTCCTTCCCTGCGAAAGGAACCGGAAAAGGCTTCACAAGAGGAGGGCATGGCAGCCGACGAAGATGATGACGAAGGAGAAAAGGCAGAGACTAATGAGAAAGAAAAGAAGATCAAGAAGCAAACCGACTCTGATGTTCCGGCGCAAGTTCCCCTCAGAGAGCAATACGGGTCAGTGATTGATTATTTGGAAGCCAAATATGCCAAGGGGGTCATGTTGGAAGATGAAGATGAAGAAGAAGTTGTAGACGACGGGTCAGGGGGTCAAGGATCGGTCTATTCTGAGGGAAGCTTTTTGGACGATACTGGTCTGCAGCGAGATGTGGCCGAGCAAGTGATGGCAAACACCACTTTGACAAAGTTGGAATTGGAAGAAGACGATGCTGACTTTTTTGTCAATGTTGGTAATCTGGAAGTGGAAGGCAATGACTATGGTGAAAACTATGATCCAACCCAAGATAAAGACAGCCGTACTGCCAAGAAGCGCAAAAAGCCAACCGCCAGTTCGTCTGCCGCGGCCGGCACGAAACAGAAGAAACTCAAGCCAGACAGTGTCTCTGACAACTCAAAAGGCAAGAAGACTGCTTCATCGACCGGAAAGAAGGCACCAGGGGATGTAAAGGGAGTTTCTGCACCCGATGAAGCCACAAGCGACCCAGAGGCTGCGGCAAAGGCAGCCAAAGACAAGATTGATGGACTTTTCAAGAGGATGGTTGCCATCATCAAGAAGATCAGGAAGGAAGACTTGCCCAGACGGAAAACTACTGCAAAGGTTTCCCTCGTTTGTCCCGAAGACAAGAAACCTGGCGATAGCATTACATTTGCGTGAGTACTTGTATTATTGTGTCGTTTTGACAAGTACGATTGGAAACTGGATATTATGGGTAAATGCTCACGTGTGTTTGTCTCCTCTCTTGATAATACTTTACAGAAATCCTCATGATCCAGACCAGCGTTTGCGAGTTCAGGTTCCCAAAGACTGTGCTCCTGGAAATGATTTCAAAGTTACAGTCCCGGTCAAGGCACCTGAAGACGATGGCGTCGATCACAACAAGTTCCCCACCGAATTCAAGGATTTGCTGGACGACTATGCTCGATCTTATGACGATTGGTGCCGGGCTCACCACGTTGTTGAACCCAGTTTCAAGGTTTTCAAGGAAAAGCAAGCCAAGTTTGAAAAGCTGTGCAAAGAGTTTCCTTCTACTCTAGTGACCAAAATTGACTCGGATTACTTGAAAAAGATGGTCAGACGAGTGCGACAATACAAGATCAAGAAACGAAAAAAGGCAAAAGATCAACAGCAGCAGCTGCAGCAAGAAGCGCAGGAACAACATGTCAAAGAAGAAGAGCCAGAAGAGAATGACGATTCCGAGGAAGTACAAGAAACGCCAGCAGCAGTCCAACAAACCATCAATATTCCCTCTGCTGGAGTCGAATTTCCCACTCTCACGTTTTCAGCGGAAGACTTTGAATATATTGCCGATGAATAAAGTTCCCAATATACACTATACAGCTAATCCATGTTCCAGTTTTATTTTGATGGAACAAAAATCACGAGATATAATTGTAGTGTAGCTGTCATCCTCTTTTCTCTACAAAGTAGGACTAGTGCAGCAAATTTTATTTTGTCATTATTATATTATTAAAATATCATGATTATCGTTGGTGTTGTTGTTGTTGTTATGGTTCTAGCGAATATATTTGTAGGCCACCCTTGTTGTTGCCCGCCACTAGTCGTGGAGGATCTTGTAGAACACTGGAAGACCATACCGCCCCATCCGACGAAAAGGTATGCATGGCCCGATCAATTTGACCCACATTCCACACATTTAGTGTGGAATCCACCGACCCCGTGACAAACCGTCTAGAATCCAACATGACTGCCAAACTTAAAATCCAACTTCCATTATGCGCATCCATCACGTGATGAACCAAGGCAGGGTTGGGTCGGGAGGTATCCCAAATGGCGATCATACCTTCGTCACTTCCAGTCACCAACAAATAACTATCGGGAGTAAAGGATAATGCTCGGACTGGTGTATGATGCATTATCAATCGATGAGGTTTATCTTCCAAGTATTCGACAAGGCCATCCTGTCGTCCAATCGCCAAGAATTTCTTGGATGGATGCCATGCGAGACTCATGGCAATGGATCCAGGCTTGCCCCATGTTTCCAGAATGCTTCCAGCAGGCTTTGGATCCTTGGTGGCCTTGGGTGTCACTAGACCTGTAGCAATACAAGCCACTGTTCCATCCAGTCTCGCCACTGCCACACAGACGTCGCCCACACCGGCAATTTTGGGTGCAACAATCCGCATGCAGGTTCCAGTGGCTTGTTCGACATCAAATTCTTGCAATGCTTTTAGTGTTGTTTTTTCATTACTGCTGCTAGATGATGATTCTCCATCCGCATCTTCTGATATCTGCCATATTCTAACGCGGCCTGCCAAATCCATGGACGCCACTAGCAAGTCTCCCGCCGAATCGTCGTCTCCCACATAGTTGCGAGCCACTTCGACTTGGGTGCATCCTAAGACCATTGGCTCCTCCTCGCTTTCTGGTGGAACTGTTTGTTCCTTACCCAAAAATAGAGTGGTTACAGTTAACGTGCAAGCAGAGGCATCTAGTGTATCGCCTTTTTCCTCCAAGGATTTTTCTCCCACCAAATAGCCTCGGACGATGCCATCACCACAGGCTGCAAAGATGCGCCAATCATTGGATGCATTAGTTGCCGATGATTTCTTTTTCAATGTAGCACTTGCTGCCAAACTCCAGATTGGGTATTTCCCGAGTGTTTCTCGATGAAGACTCCGATAGCCACTCATGATGTTGATGATGATGACGATGACGATGACGATGATGAACGAGGAAAAAGAGTTTGTTTGATTGTACTCGTACAGTTCATGTCTGTTGTTCAACCGCATTATTCAGTCTGTCTCTCAACCGCACAGCATGACGCCATGCCTTCTTAAAAAGGCAGCTGCGCGACCAAACATGCAGTGCTCTCGGATGTTCGACACAAGTTCGAAGCTACAGTGTTACACAGCACTACTGTACTGTAGGACGGGTACGAGTACACGTACAGTACTGATAACGCTGTCAAGAAGCATTTGAACTACAGAACTACAGTACAAGAAAGATTGAGCTGACAACCAAACTTCAATTATTATTTCCTGTCTCGCATTCCGATTGAGGGTTCGTTCAGATCCATCTTATTATTTTATACTGATCAGATACTGTATATTGAAACCGATCTTCAGTTCGTTCGACGGATCGTTGACCAACATTACAAAAACAACGATCAACTCAGAGCAAATCAAGATGGAATCATCCTCTGAAGTTTCCTATGACAACCACAACCCCAACCGCAACCGCAACCACAACAATAGCAATAGCAACAGCGCAACCAACGAAAGCCCCATCGTCAAATGCCTTCCCCGATGGAACTATGTTGGACCAAATCCTGTTAAAAAAGACGCTTATCTGCATCACCTTCCCAACATTGAAGGAATTGATTTAGGAGATTACGTTCGCCGTGAGGTTACCAACGTTGACGGAATGGGCCGTGAATATTTTGATGCTGGACTTCGCCTGATGCTTTGCTATCAACACGAAATGGCAGCCCGGTGTTTCTTGGCGTGTCTGCAAATGTCAGAGCATTGTGCCTTGGCGCATGGATTATTAGCCTTGTGTCACTCTCCCAATTACAATTTCAAGGGAGAGGCCTATTACGAATCAGCACATCATCCTGAAGAACAAGACGTTCAAGATCTATTGTGTGTCTTTCCTAGTCAACAAGTCGCGGATCGACACTCCAAAATGGCAATTGAAAAGATTGAAGAAATAAAAAAACTACACAAAAAAACCTCCAGCAGAAGCAACAAGCGGGGCAGGGGAAAGAACAGGAGCAAGTCAAGATCAAACAGCAACAACAACAACAACAACGACGACAATTCCAAAAATAACAGCAATGGCAATGCTGCCAATGAAAATGGTATTGTCCATGAAGCTGATCTTCCACAACTGATACCCGACGTGGAAGCCCAATTCCTAGTGGCCATTCGGATATTAACCGGTCAGCCAGGATTGGAACATTCCTTGAGCGTCGACATTGTCGGACGACCTTACGCCCACGCCATGCGCAAGATTTACGAGAAATATCCCGACGACAGCGAAGTGGCCTACTTTTTTGCCGAATCCCTCATGGTATTGAATGCCTGGCAACTCTTTGAATTTCCGACAGGGAAACCGGTGAGTCCGGATGTCAATGAAACCCGGACCGTTTTGGAAAAGGCGCTCTTGGTCCACAAGGACCATGCTGGACTATGTCACATGTATGTGCACTTGTCGGAAATGTCAGCCTACCCGGAAAAGGCACTGGATGCCTGTTTGCCACTTCGACATAAATTTCCACATGCGGGACATTTAATTCATATGCCGACGCACATTGATGTCTTGGTGGGAGACTATGAGAGCTGTGTGGAATACAATTGCAAGGCCATTCTGGCAGACGAACGATCGATTTATACAAGTCCCGGGACTGCGGGAATCGAATCCTTTTATTTTGGATACATTGTGCACAATTATCACATGGCGGTATATGGATCTATTCTAGGAGGATTTGAAAAAAAGGCAATGGAGTTGGCAGATAAATTGACCAAGATACTGAGCGAGCAAATGTTTGAGGGATATCCAGACCTTACAGCCTACCTAGAATCATACTCGGCGTTGGATATTCACGTCATGATTCGATTTGGCCGATGGGAAAGGATACTGAAACTAGACCCGCCCAAGAACAAGGCATTAATGCTCTTTCGGGCGGCAACCATCAAATATGCTCAAGCATTGGCCTATGCTAGCTTGGGTAGAACAGAAGAAGCGAAACGAGAGGCCAACAACCTAGACAGCCTCCGGGGTGATCCAGAAGCAGAATTTCGAATCTTGCACAATAATTCCGTCGCCAATTTGCTTTCCGCGGATAGTTGCATGGCACAAGGTGAAATTGCGTATCGAGACGGAAACTACGACGAAGCCTTTCAGCTATTGCGGAAGGCAGTTCACATGCAGGACAATTTGAATTTTGACGAGCCATGGGGTAAGATGCAACCGATACGTCATGCTCTCGGTGGACTGCTGTTGGAACAAAACCACTTGGAGGAAGCGGAAAGCGTTTTCCGAAAGGATCTTGAATTCCATCCTCTCAATCCATGGGCAATGGTCGGTCTCATTGAGACACTCAAGAAAAAGGAACAGAGTTGTTGTAGTACGACAGCAGAGATAAAAGATTTGGAAGACAAATTGCGGCAACAACGGCAAACTAAGTTGGCGGACTTTGAAATCAAGGTTGCTTGTGCCTGTTGCACTAAAGATGCTTGATCAGTGCTTGCTTTACACAGCTGCTGATTCAGAAACCATCAATAGACTAGAATTAGAAACTAGGAGTTGCAATTTTTAAAATACCCATGATCCTAAATTACAGCAACTTTTGAAAGTACAATATGATAATAATATTTATGTCATTACAGAGCATAAACTACAACATTCCTGAGAATGCAAAAATCACAGTCGACACGGTCGAAATAGATTACTTGAGTTCCGATAGCATGGCTTCGACCGCTTGGGTGACGGAAACTTCATCTTCTTCGCCACAACCAATATTGGCAGCTTGAAGTCTTTCCAAAGTCTCAATGCACTTAGCTTCGTTTTCAAAACCCATCTCGCGCATCATGTACAACTGGGAAGCCCAGCGATTGCGTTGTGCTTCAGAACCATGAGACCCCTCAGTTCCAACAGATACGGACGGAAGGTCCGATGGAACACTGGAAGCTGCCGACAGAACACCAGAGTTGGCCGACCCCATGACTTCAGAACTGCGCATGTCGCTATTGAACAACACGGAGCCTAGCATTTGTGTTGCGCTAGCAATATCAGTTGATTCGTTGGTGTTTTCATCAACAACTTGCCAACCATCGACCTCTTCTTTGGGGTCCTCGGTAGCTTCCTCGGAGCCGACGATCAGTGCACCAGGGTCAGTAATGCCTGCTTCTTCGGTTGCATCGGCTTCGGGTTCCACAACCTCAGGCTCGCTCTTTTCCATAGTGGAGGCGATCACTTCGTCGAGGACTGCAGTGGCGTTGTGGGCATCTGCCTCGGTAAGCATCTCGGAGATGACACCAGCAACAATATCCAGTGTTGCACCCATTGCTTCTGCGATGTCTCCGTTACCCACGGCATCCAATGCGAAAGAATCATCAGTATTCGATCCTGGAGTGTTAGCCTGTGAAGACTTTACTGATTTTCGCTCTGGTGTGGACATGCTGGTCTCACGATCGACAGCAGCAAGTTTCATATCAAAATCATCACGCATCATATCCTCAGAGTCTACAGACATGTTGTCTTCGGTCATAGAATCAAGGAGGCGTTGTTCGTCGACCTCCACCATGGAAGAGCTAGCTCGGCTCCCCTCTTCCGTGATGGCCAAATCCTCCACAACCTCAGCTTCTAGTGCGCTGGTGGGGGTATCTGAATCGTTGACAATATTGGTTGCTCCACACATGGTAAGAACTTCCTCTTCGGTGGGAGCTGAAGGTGCAATGATAGGTTCTGTTGGTTCGAGCATAGGTTCTGTCGGTTCAAACATCTCTTGGATCTCTTTGGGCATCGCATCTTCAAGTGACCTTCGAATGGCTTCCTTCAAAGCACCATCAAAGTCATCAGCTGGGTTTGTCGTTGGTGCACTTGACTGGATAGGAATCACACGAGCTGTACTCTCTTGTGCGGGAACACTTGGAGGAGGAGTGGGAGTGGGTTCGGGATTTGGCTGAGAAGCGGGTTGAGGACGAGGAGGTTCCAGAGCAAATTCTGGACTCTTCCGATCACGGCATCGGCGCCCTGGTCTCTTTCTGTTCATCTTATCAATACGTTCGCGGCGGCGGTTCCACCGTTTCTGGAATGCTCTATCACGAGCTGTTTGTATCATCAGAATATCGTTAGTACAGTGTGAGTTTCAAACAATAGAATTCGTTCGAAAGGTACAACTTACACAACTCAACAGCCTCGAGTTGAATCTCTGTTCCCTGGTAGTTCGGGTAGCACTTCTCGCACAAGTCGTAATCCTTCATATTGATTGCATGGTATCTCTTTCCAATAATTGGGTTCATGAGGCAGGAGTCGCAAGTGTGACGTCCATGAATGAAAGGAAGACTGTTCTCTATAGGGCATGGAGTGGATTCAGAACTAGGACCAGGCTTTGATGCTGGTTCAAATGCCGCAGCTTCTTGTGCAGCAGGATTGAGTACGTCTGCTAGCAAAAGTAGGCCCGCTTCTTCCTCACTACTCAGACTGGTGGAACCATTAGCTCCATCCTGAATGACATCAGAGTTTTTGCGAACGATCTTGTTTCCAGTTGGATACGTAACAAATTCAGTTTCCTTTCCAGAGTAGTTCGGATAGCAGTTTTGGCATAGATCGTAATCAGTCATGTTCAAAGCATGGTATCTTGCCCCAACGATTGGATTCATGAGACATGAGTCACAGGTGTGGCGTTTATGGACATGTGGAACGAGTTGCTCCTTGACCTCAGGCTTCTGGCTCTCAGCGAATTGAGCCACAGCACTGAATTGCGGAGCAGACTTGATAACTGGCTTTGCAACCTTCTCGGAACCCTTGGGATTGTTCTCGCTAGATGGGGTAGACGCAGAAACAGCAGCGGTGTTGCTCGCAGAATTTGCTGCAAGTCCCTTCTCCAACGAGCTCACCGCAGTGACGACAACACTCGCAAACGACTCCAACACGATTTGGAGATTCGCTTCAAGACTTTCGGGCTGGGTTGAAGTTCCACGATCGGCAGTTCCGCTGCTTGGTTGCGAACTTTGGGTAGTTTGAGGAATAGATGCTCCAGCAGAGGTCTTACGTTTGACCTCTGTGCTGATTCGCAACACCTTCTTGTCCACAAATTGCTCCACTGCATCAACTAGTTCCGACGTGGAAGCAATTGTGACCGTATCCTCGTCTTCGTCAAAGTAAGTCAAGACACAGTCAAAGTTTTCTGGGGAAGATGAAGATTCAGCTGGAAATGTGAATGTCACTACAAGGCCAACAAGCTCCTCGTAGGAAACATTACCAGCTCCGTCGGCAATACGAGGGAGACGGACTCTTCGAATCTGTGATGTTCCTGTTGTTTGAATGGAAACGGAAAGCATAATGAGATACCTGAATTTAACACACGTCTCAAATCGAAGACTCGGCAAATAAAGGAGTTCCGGGGCTAACTCTGCAATAACCCTGTCTCTTTTATCTTTCCTACGTATTGAACTATCACTACATACCATCAGCAGCCTTTATTTTCAGCTTGAGGACGAAGTCCTCGTATTGGTCCACCTGAAAAGGCGGCATGGTTCAATTTGTTCTGTTGTGAGCATGATGATATTCTTCTTTCATGAGTGTCAAATCGGGTAGTACGTGACCATCGTACGAGGATCTACGCAGAACTCTGTACTGTACAGTAGTGTATGAGAGGATCGGATAGGATAAAAGCACGAGTCACCATTTTGACTCGATGGAGTCGAAATGATTGTCAAAGAAACCTCTCCACGATTTAGAGAAACAATAACAACTCCTACCGGGTATAGCAGGACAAAAGGGAATGAATTGTTCAACGTACATATGAAATGATGTGTCAACGGTCCAAAATAATGCATGTCGGAGTTCTTTCAACGTAATCGTCCACAACATATATATTCCGGATCGCTGAGTTCCGCTTTCTGTGTAGCAAGCAGTCCTCTTCCTCATCCCACGTCTTGACTGCCTACCGCTAACGTTGAGTATGGTTTAACATACTTGGTTCAAGATTTCGGCTGCGTTTGGAAAATATCGATCACGAGTCAACAACATATGAAAGCGCTATGAAACTAGCAACACTGGTTTTTTAAAGTAACTATGAAAGACTTAGTGTATCAAACTTGTAAGTACAAGCATCATATCAAAGGCTTCAGCATAACCCTAGAATATCTAGTAATTTGCTTCGGGGATAGTCCAGCCAGCAGCCTGCAATGTTTTGCCAAGATACTTCAAACGCTTTTGGTTGACACCCAAGTCGGAATCACCAACACGGCTAGACGATCGGACTTGGACAAGACCTGTGTCTTCAATCTCCAATTTCAAGTCATCAACAAAAGGCTTGCCTCCGTTGAAGAAATTGGCAAAGTTTCCAACTCCAGATTTGTATTCCAGACGGGCTTTTCCGCTGCTGAAATTGTCCTCAACCAATTCCCATCCACCAAGATCAACCTTATCCTGGCCTCCTTTGGGGTATGATTCGAGGGCCTTCTTCAAGCTGGCGATAGTACCGGCCTTGCTACTCGAAGCAGGAGGAGTCCAGGTGGTTCGAATACAGTTCTTGGAGCCCTTTTTGCAAGCTTCGAGGGCATTGGCTGGTTCAGCAACAATAGCAGAGGCAATTCCAGTGGCAACAATGGAGCCGAGCATCTCACGGCGGTTAAGCGGAGATTGCTGTGTGAGTGCTGCGGCAGATGCCACGAAAACGGTGAAGACGGTAAATTTCATGCTTGAAATGTTGCAAGATTCTTATTTGTGACCTTGACGGGAGTCTTATCTATGATCTTGACGATGGCTTTTCACGCTTTGCCGATGGCCTTTGACGCTTCCGATAAGATCGGGAGGTGATGTTGATGACGACACTCGAATGACTAATTGGATTTCAAAGGAACCCGGAGTGTGAAGATTTTAAAAACCTCAAATGTACTATTTTTCACTAGCAATGGCTCCAATGCCTCCTTCTTCCTCAAATCTAGTTCTTTGAACATTTTGTACCTGCACTCTAGCTCCATCGTTGTGTTTCCAGTCGGCCAACCATCCAGACCAGCTGTTTGGGATACCATCCGCCCGACTGATAGTTAGGTTCACAACTTTGCCCACTAGAGCACTGGTCATCGCTCTGGTTAGCGAGGCTCTTAGATCGGTGGAACTCTCCATCAACTCTTCCAAGTCGTCATGCGACCAAGACATGACCTTGCAATCTCCGTCTGCTACAATAGAGTACAGTGAGATCCCCACGCCCTGCTTTCTAGACGAGTCATCTAAACCTTCGCCTCGTTGAACTTTTCTCCCAAACACCTCCAGGAATGTCATTTCACCGACCCATGCGCCACTATCACCTCCAATTTTGTTATCTCCTTTTGTACCTTTATTCGTCGAGGCTGCAGAAAGTTTCCTTCCGAGAATGTGCGCTTTTGTCGATCCTTCTACCACGAGATAGACATGATCCAGCTTTTCTCCCTTGCGGATCACGGAATCCCCAGATTTCAAATTAAACTTTGCCGCCTTTTCTTCGATCTTCTCAAATTGTTTCGGAGTGACACCATGGGGCATAAAGTGTTCTACAAACAGTTCTTCTTGCTCCTCACTCATATGAACGTCCACATGCCTTTCATGAAGAATTTCGAAAATTTTTACTGCATTGACACTTGCGAATAAACACGACCAAGCCACAGCAGGCCAAAGTATCGTCTTTTGAGCAAGGTTATAACCTGCAAACATAAATTGCCCCGTCATGGCGAGACCCCTAAGCTCAACCACATCTGTCAAAAAGTGAGAGGACGAATTTTGTGTTTGCACGATAGCAATCTAACCTTCGTACCCGATCTTGAGAAACCGACCAAAATACAAGCGGAGCCAACATTCAGGCCAATCACGGGCAAGTTTCTCCTGAACCATGTGTACAATCGTTTTCCGTATCCAGCTGAGTTGGAGGATGAGCCCGACAGTGGACCTGGTGTAGGAGGAGGTGGCAAAGGCTTGGGTGTAACATTGGCAGCTCGCGCCGCTTGCTTCAGTTTAGGAACCTTTATCAGAACTTTCGACATATCCTGAATTTTATTTCTTTGGGAATGGAATCATAAGTCAAGCGAACGGCATCATACCATTTCAGATTGACAATAGCTTACACAGGCACTCCTTCCTCTGAGAAACATCGTCGTTGGTGCAGCCGCCGTACACGTGATTTCGAAGCCCATAACTGTTGAAATGATTCCAACACAAGCGGTGATCTCTTTTGACTAAAGACAGTCGCTCGTTGGAGTACTGGTATTATCTTCCTCATTGTTATTTGTGTTGAGGATTGGCGATATGTGTTTGTTGGTAGTGGAGTGGGACGCGGGACCTCTCACAAGTAAGCGGGATCTGCCCGAAAAGACACAGGTATCCCGCCAAACGGGTTACTTGCGACACGGATGGTAACAACGACTAACTTTGAATTGCTCTATTTTTAACTTCTAGACCAACAAGTCAAACTTGATGGCAACAACTAATTTACAGTGTTTGTGTTTTGATGCTTCACTAAGCGCCCAGCAATTGATCACGGCGACGTTGCTTCGCAATATTCTTGAAGAAGGCAGCATCTTGACTTTTCTTATCTCGGTTGAGAACAAAAGCCATCATCTTTTTTATTTTCTGAAACAGGACAAGCGCCTCAGTTAGAATGATTTGATTACAAAAGAGAATATTGCACAACTACACTCACCTTGTGGTATGATCCGTTCTTTCGCGGTGTGTATCCATCATCGTCAAAGCAAAGCTTTCGGTATTGTTGGAGCAGCGGCTTGGAGGCGTCCAAAGCGTTGTATGTTGGACAAACCCGTTTTGCCAAGGATTCAACGCACAAAACGTTGACGACCAAAGTTGCATAGTTGGAGTCTATCCGGACATGGTGGTCCCGAATCAATCCCAGAACTCCTCGTAATACTTCACCGACATCTACGCCCGTTCCGTAGCCTTTGCAACACTTATCAAACAAAACACGCATGTCTTCTTTGAAAAGTTTCTTCTCCTCTTCGCTTAAGTCGTTGTCAATAGAAAACTGCAAAGCGAATTCCGCCGCAGCTTCTCCGTTACCCTCACCAATGGTTGTCAGCAAACCAATGAAGGTAGAACTTTCTTCTTCTGTCAGTTGTGCGACCATGCCAGCATCTACAAGTGTAATCCGGATCTTTGCATCCTCTATGTCTTGGTTCTTCGATTGCATGACATCAATCATAATATTGCCTGGATGCAAGTCGGCATGCATAACATTGTCGACAAGCAACATCTTCAAATACATCGACACACCATTTGTTACAAGAGACTCGGCCATGTTCAATGGGATCAGGTCATGACCTTTACCAGGCATACCACGACTTGAAGCCTCTTCGTCAAACTCGTCCAAGACATCAGTACAGACTCGTCCAGTTTCGAATGTCTCCATGATCATTGCCGAAGACGCAAAGAAAGGCTTCGGGAACTGAACGTTCTTCCATGACCCAAAGTTATGATTCAATACTTCCAAATGGTGTGCTTCGACATTCAAGTGCGCTTGTGCTGCCATAGTGTGACTGAACTGCGATACTGAATCCTTAACATTTAACCATTTCAGTCCAGGGATACTCTCCACCACCGAGCCAAGCATCTCCATCAGACGAAAGTCCATGTCGATTAATCTGGCGACACTTGGATGTCTGACTTTCACTGCAACCAATCCTCCATTATGAAGACGCGCCTTGTGAACTTGAGCGATGGAACCAGATGCAATTGGCTCGGGATCAAATGTATCAAACACTTCGAGGAGGCCTCCCTCTGGAATATCCAAACTAGATTCAACTTGAGTTTGCGTAAAATTCCACGAATGAGATGGCGCTGAGCTGTGTAATGAGCTTAGTGCGTCGCAAAGTTCTTGTGAAAACATGTCGGAGCGCGTTGCAGCCCATTGGCCCCATTTGATGAAAGCAGCCCCGCTTGAAGCGAGGCACCTTGCGAGCCACTTGTACCAAATGTCGTTTCGGAACTTCTTCGAAATAGTCGCAATGAAAGCAGTCGACATCAATGGTCCAAAGACCAGCGAAAGTTTCACTGCTCGAAGATACAGTTCAAATGGAGTAGCAGGCTTTTCTATCAACGGTCGAGTATCGCCATCATAAAACGACAAGGATCGACCTGAATCATGGTGGAAGTTCAGATTCATACGATCTGATAGGAATGGATCGTCTTTCCTCCTCTTGACGAAGACTAAATCGTTCTCCAGCTCCAGTTTTTCGAGATCACCCGCGTCAAAGTTCACGTCGCCACCATGCATCGAGAATATTCTTGGCTCTCCGCCTTGGGTTTTGACCCATCTCCCAAAGTCCTTTGCTCGCTTCCCTTTCGTAACATAGTGAAACCGATCGCACAGGGAGCTTCGTACGTATCCAATTCTAGCTCTTCGGTCATTGGCAGATGCGGCCGTGACTAGTTCTCTTGATGAGGATTCAAAACCTCCAGGTGCTGTTGCCAGAGCAGCTGTAAGAAGTGTTAGAAGTACGAGAACCGTCGGCCTTAGTGTTGCTTTCGATTGACTTGATCTCATTGAATTTGCTGACGAATATATGATGGAAGTGAGATTAATAAGCTGTGGCGTCAACTTATGAGGTTGTAAAATGGTAAATTCAGTCGTTCTACAGTATGTGCTGATGTGGTCGACGGTGGGATTTGTTGTATTCCCGCGGGGGTTTTCATCGTCAATCGTACTGATGCATTTTTCGGCTTCGTGTTTATTTCGTGACGCGCAGATAGTTCATAAAAACGTCGATGAGTGATGTCATCAACAACACGATTCATCTGACTCAGCTTTTCCACCACTCTCCCGCCAACTTCAACCATCACAACATGCATCAAATCCCTTCTTCTCAGGCTTTGATAAAATTTCGCTTCTGAACCGAAGTTGATGGTGGGGCGAATCTACCACGATGAACTCGATTGCTTCTTCTGTTAGCAGAAGACCGGATGTACTTGTTGCAGGTCTTGCAACAGCAGTGTATCTACAAAGACAAACTACAAATCCGGCTGAAAAGCGAGTTTTGTGCGAGGCCCCTGGAGCTTCAGCTGATCCATCAGAGCAATGGAAGGCACCAACAAAGCCGCCATCGTGGATCCGCAAAGAAGTGTTGGCTCGCATTGGAGTGCCTCTTCCTATACCTCGAGTTTTGACGCCAGCCGACTCGGCGTTGAAGTTGCCAAAGTGGTGCATTGCCAGACGAAACAAGGACGAAGAAAAAGTGATTGCATTATTGAATACAGCCCCTACACTGAAAGGAGACCCAGAGAAGATACAGAAGCTGGGAGAACAGATCTTTGAGGTAACCTACGGAAAAGGCGTCACTCCGCAAATAAGAGAAGATTTCCTCATCAAATATGGATGTACTGGATGGACGGACGAGGTGCTCTCGACAATTATCGATAAATGTCAAACGCGCGGAATTGTCGAGCTAGGAGCTGGGCACGGACAATGGGCTAGAGCATTAACGGAAGCATATGCTGAACGAATTCAAACTACAGGAAAAGAAACGAAACGAATTGATTTTGTCCTTGCATACGATGATATGTCCAGCTTGCCTCTCAATACTCACATCTACAACCAGTACACTCAACCACATCATGATCATTTCGGGGATGTCAAGAAACTTGAAAGCAGAACAGATACGACTAAGGTTCTTAGGTCATGGGCATGTCGTGGGCGCGCCTTGCTACTCGTGTACCCCTCACCCGGTGACATGGCCCTGTCTATTGTCCAGGAATACGTCAACGTTGGTCCAGAGAATGATACAATCATATACATAGGGGAAGGTCGTGGTGGAGCCAACGGAAGTGAAGTCTTCTTTGATTACCTCGAATCTGGAGCATGGGTACTATCAAAAGTCCTCAACGTGAAATCACCACCAGGAAACAAAGGGTATGAGAAAGTGTACATACTACAAAGGCGAAAGAGTGATAGAATCTAGAGCCCTACAGTAGCTTTGATCTAATTCCTATAGACACTTTCGCAACTTGATGACCTAATTGAGCCATGACTTTTACCATGGATTGGTGTCGTCAAACTTTGTATTTGCGGCTTCAAGGAGTTGATCGTGGGGGACAATATCCATCGTTGTTCTAAATGATCTCGTCGGAGATGACAGTCCCATGTTTGAGGCTTTTGAAGTATATAGACATGCATAGTTCTCCACGTAAAAGGCGAAGCGAGATTCTTGGTATCCTGCATTGAACATTGCGCCCCATACAGGATGGAAGGCGGAATGCCATTTTTCTGCAAGAGTAGTGAGCACCTCCTTGATTGCGTCATCGTCGGCCTCAAACTCTGCCAGCTTTGCTTTGACCGATGCGTCGTTCATATCTTCTGTTCGGCGGATGAATTCGGCCTTTAACTCAAGCTCTTCTCGGAGCTCTCTCAACTTCGAAATTTTGTTCCTCAACGGGAGTTCAGCTGCGAAAACTCGCAATTCATCGTCGAGTTCCGGCATGATGAACAGCGATCGCCAGCCCAGTGTTCGTTTAGATCTCAAAACATCCGAATACAAGTGATCTCCGACATATAGGATCTCATCTCCAGATTTTACACCCAGCATCTTATGGAGATGTTGCCAGTTACCTAAGATCACAATTGGAAAGCATGAGGTCTCGACACTCATCGCAAATTATCCGATCCAAGACATGTATACTCACCACCTTGGAATATTTTGCCCTGCTCTAAGAACTTTGTTGCACCATCAGGACCCAAAGCATCAATCTCAAAGACGCCATCCGTATTCTTCAGCGATCCATCTTGCATGTTTACCCGGAAAAGTTGAAGATATGGGTCCAACATGAATGCAGGTTTGCATGATCCAGCGATACTATCAGCACAACAACATGAAGGTGAGATACTTCAAATAAACAAACATTGACGGGGTACATCACTGATACGTACACCAAATCAAAGAGCTCGATCCATTCATTCTTCTTCTGCTCCTCATCGTTTATTCGCTTTCCGTGGTACAAATAGTTCATGGCGGTTGATGTGTATTCCCAGAAAGAGTTTGTGAGAAGAAAAAGTTTAACACCTTGCTCCTTGTATCTCTTTAGCATGGGGATCATTCCTTTGTCGTCCACAATGTATTTGTCTGGATACCTTGCAACTTCATCCTTGATAACGCCATCTCTGTGACACAAGTCAACACTTTGCCGAATCTGCTTGTAGATTTCCCCGTAGGTCTTAAAGTCCAACATCTCGTGTTCCCCCCCGTCTTTCATTTCCACGAGCAAAGCAAAGAGGTGGACATCAACAAACTGAAAAAGCGTATCCATGTTCACATATGACTTTTCTGAAAAACTTTCGACCTTGTTGAAATTCCTTGCGTAGAGAATCTTTCTTGTACTGGATGAAATCTCTTCGAAACCATGGTATGCAACCCGAACATATTTATGCCTATCAATCTTCAACACATTTCCTCTTTCCGTATCGATGATTAAGCCTCTTTGCCAGCTCTATCATAAAGACGACGGGACATTGAAAGACACATAATGGTCAGAAGATTCAATCTATACAAAGAAAAGAAAGCTTTTCAGGACCCACCTTATGGTCATATTCAAAGTCTAGCACCTCTTTGGGATAACCCAAACTATTCACCAGCTTCTCTTTGGCCCCATTGAAAGCCAGTTCATCAAATGCAGGTTGCTTGTATTGCACAAGTGTGTAATCCTGAAAGTTCACCAAACATGAGAAAAATACGCATAAAATACACTGCAGGCCAAACAAATCCATCACGCACCATATCAAAACCAATTGCAGTGATGGCTTCTTGCTTCAGTTCTCGGTTGCAAAAGATGTCGTAGCTGCTAACAATTCTTTCTTTTGGGAGGCTGTCCGCCTGGTTCAACTTTCCATCCAATCCAACAGATGCCAATACGTCTGCGTATCGGTTGCTAGCACCGCCGTTGGCTTGTTTCCTCACAACGACTGATTCAGGGATCGTTCGTGCTGGATTTCCTTCGCCCATTCTTTGTTCAGCGTCCTCATCGCTGTCCACTTCATACGACGACATCATGGGCGAAGTCGGCGGTGACAAGATACTTGGTCGTCGTGGCATTAAATTTCCAACAAATGCAACGGATGTGCCTATCAATAGGTACGCTAGGAGCAGTCTCTCGTGCATACCTCTACTTTGTGATACCATTAAATGCGCTACTGTTTCTATAAAATGAAAGGATCCTCGTGTCTTTGGAGAATCAGCTTCAATACGAAGCGAATTGTCTTCACGAACGTTCGTATGCGGAAAAACAACATCACTCGCTCGACTCATTCGACCTATTATATCTCGAAAGACCAAATGATGTAACGAGACGAAGAATACTCGGGATGGTAATCCTCCTCTGGAACTCTTTTGACATTCTTGAACTGTTTCGGTATGTTTTCTGCACAGTATGGTGTCCCTTCCCGTTCTTTACATACACCGACAATAGCTCGCGTATGACCTGTAGTTCCAAACTTGTGTATCATTTCCATAACACCGTTAGAATCTTTATTGGTCAGCGAGCAGTCAGTCACCACAATCAAATCAAAGATAGTATCTTGACCTTCAGCAAACATTGACTCCAACGTTTGATTAGAGTTGAACCAATCGAGTTCGCAACTCGTGACTCGACCTGGTGCTGGAGTCCATTTCTCATCGTCACCAGTTGGTACTTCAACCTCGTTGTCAACACAGTTCTTCTTCAAGAACTTTACAGAGCTTCCATACTCAGTGCTAAGAACGGCTGCTCCCAATTTGGCCAGACAGACACTAAGAAGTCCGGTCCCAGCTCCCAGCTCCAGAACTTGCAAAGGACGGTCCACATTTGATGGCAAATTCAGCGGAAATCTCAGATCTGGCATTTTCCGGTCTTTCATTGCAATATTTTCCAAGCATTTTGCTGTAAGGACCGAACAATCCCAAACTCTCGTAGAAATCATTGAGCAGTCTTCGTAGATAACGACCTCATCTTGTGATCCTTCAGCTGTCGCAATTTTCAAACGGTACTCGCCGAAATCGAACATCAAGCCACGACCCTTTTCTCTTTCCCATGTTGTGTTTATTGGAGGAGATTTCCTGCTTGCTAACGCCTTCTCAAGGTTTCCAAATTGATACCGCTGGTGCATTGCCGTCATGGTGGTTGACAAAGCATCCGATGAGGACTGACTCGTGGAGCAAGTCTCAACGTTTTATTGCGGTCATCAAAAATCCGAAGTGCGATCAGCGATGAGTGACGAAAGCCATTACAAGTATTCTTCAAACTCCGAACACCGTTAATTCAACCGCGTACTACTATAGCTTTTATGTTGTAGCGGGGTAGGAATACGTCAAATAATGAAAGATATCGATACTACTGCATTTTTATCCAGGCATGTAGAATGGAGTGGAAAAGGTCTCAACTTCGTCCCCGAGTGATTCGATGGCTTGCCTTATGCCTTCATTGTTTGCCAATACTGATTTGAAATCCTTCAATAGAACCTTCTTTGATTTCCTTGAGGTTGGATCGCTTTCAAATTCTGCTTGCACTTCTAGCTGCGCAATCTTTTGCGCTTCGATAGCGACGTTGCAGGCACGGTGAAGAAATTCTGCAACTTGATCAAAATCATCTTCCTTCAAACCACGGGTCGTGAGGGCAGGTGTGCCAAGTCTAACACCACCTGGGTTGATCGCGGACACGTCTCCAGGTAGACTATTCTTGTTTGCTGTAATGTGAACTTGCTCCAATACAGTGTCGACCTTTGATCCTGTCAAACCGAGAGGTCGAACGTCCCAAAGCAAGATATGATTGTCTGTTCCTCCTGTGGCAATGACATGACCACGCTCCACCAGCCCTTTGCCCAAAGCTTTGGCATTTCGAATAATCGACAGAGCGTAATTTTCAAAGCTGGGTTGGGCTGCTTCTTTTAGTGCAACTGCAAGAGCTCCTATTTGGTGATTGTGTGGGCCGCCTTGCAATGAGGGGAAGACCGCTGCATTGATGGCATCCATGTACTGAACCCTTCCAAAGATCATACCAGAGCGAGGACCTCTCAAAGTTTTGTGAGTTGTGCTAGTGACAACATCAGCGTATTCAAATGGACTCTTGGCAACTTTACCAGCGACAAGGCCTGAGATGTGGGCCATATCTACCATCAACTTTGCTCCAACCGAGTCTGCGATTTCACGCATTCGCTGATAGTCCCATTCGCGTGGGTAGGCAGATCCACCAGCAATCAAGAGCTTAGGCATGAACATTGTAGCCCTCTTCGCCATGTCATCATAATCCACCAACCCAGTTTCCTCCGAGACAACATAAGGCAAACTTTCGAAATAGACACTTGTCGCAGAGACTTTTTTCTTTGCGGTTTGGAATCCATGAGTCAAGTGGCCACCAGACGGCAAGTCTAGTCCCATGATACGATCATGAGGTTGGAGAAGAGCTGTGTATGCCGCAAAATTTGCTGGTGATCCAGAATACGGTTGCACATTTACCCCCCATTCATCTTCCTCCAACCCATACAAATCCAACGCTCGCTTCATACATATGGTCTCTATTTGATCAATGAATTCATTGCCCCCATAATATCTTCTTCCGACTGTAAATAAGACTTCACTGAGATATTCATGTTTGCCTATTTCACTTCCTTTCACGTCCACAACTATATCTCTTACCTCCACCTTCGCTGTATTTGTTCGTCAAACAGCTCCCAAGAACTTCACGAACGGCTTTGCTGGCAAAATTCTCGGATGCAATCAATTCAAGCCCCTTTCGTTGCCTTGCATCTTCCGCATTCACTATAGCTGAAATTTCAGGGTCGAACGAACTCAGTGAATCATCAGCAACGCCAACGTCTTGACTTTCCATGGAAACCATTCTCGGGCAACTCGCTGATGATCGACGATATTGAAATTGCAAGGATCGGTCGCTCGTGGAAATCGACCATGCAGAAGACTGCTCGATAAAGAAGGCCAAGAAGGCCAGTGCGCTAATGAATTGCTTTTCCGTCATTTTGAGACACGGCGTCCAACTTCGTTGTCAAACAAAAAGTGAAACGACTATTTCACAGTAGGTATGAGGTGTTTCTGTTCGTCGGTGATGTGGGACTTCTTTAGCTTTCTATTTCAGCGGACGAAGCGAAAGTTCACAAGACATTCCAGATTCCATCCAAGCAAAAAAGCTTTAGTGGTACCGGTACCTGGTACCAGGTACTGTAGCAGGTCATCAGAACGGTGGCGTGTGGATAACGTTATGGGTCTTCCCATGTGCCACTCCTCTATGTTATAGTACATCTTCATTTTTTATAGCAAAAGATCAATCGTAGTACATACAGCGTCAGTCGAGAAAAACCAAAGATTTCTAGAGAGATTTAACACATCTACAATGTTCCAAACATACTAGATTTGCACACTCCGCTCCAGCTTTGATCAATGGAGTGAGTCTTTACAGAGCGTCTGTCTGAAAATTTAGCTGCTGTTCCAGCTATCTTCGGTATATCCGAGCTTGGTGGCGGCATCTTGTTGGGCCGAGGAAAGGTCCTTCCACCATTCATCACACTCATCGGGCTCGTCATCATTGTCCCAGAGCTCCTGGTTGTAGCCCAACAACTTGGCAGCTTCTTGAATATCAGCTGGCAGCTCTTCCCAGTCGTAGTCTTCGTACTTGGTCATCTTCTTGTCTGTGAAACACGAATCAATCAATCAGTCAATCGAACGAACAATGAGAGTAAGAAGAACAGCATTGGAGTGAAGAAGTGAGGTCGTCAATCAAACAGTTCCAGGCCGTATCTCATTAATGAAATTCCAGGGCATGACCACCATTATAAGCTCTCGCACAGTCGCTAGCACTGGCACAATTCATCTTGATACAACAAGAGGCAAACTCACCGTTTGTTGTCCGGTTTGCGGATTGTGACAGATGGTGTGGGGTTGGTCGTTTTTCTATGTTTATCGTGAACACGTGCCACAAATAGATATTTTACGTTACTCTGGTACTTAGTCGGTTGGGCTTGCTCTCAACTGTTGAAAATTCGAGCCGTTGGGCAATTCCAACCACGGAGAGTATAAAAGGATAGTGCGCTTGTACCTCTGTAGACATGCTATCTTATCGCAAATGATACACTCGCATCTAGATATTATCTATAACAGGGTTTAGACTAGTATCAATCGCTAGCTAGTGATACACGAAAACATTACAGTCGCACTCCTCGTCCTTCTTCTTGTTAGCTTGACTTCTTGCTGACTAGCCCAGAAGCATCGTACCAACTCCCTGCCTTCGGTAAAAAGTCAACATTTTCTCTAGTGCCTTGGAATTTTACTCGCACCGTAGGTGCTATTGGATCCGAGCTGCGAAAGGCAGAAAAGTGCAAGTGTGGTTCTGGTGAGAATCCGACACTGCCACTTGCCCCAATAACTTGACCTCGAGTCACCCTATCCCCCTTCTTTAAATTTGCCTTTTGTATGTGAACGTATTCTATATATAATGGGTCATTTGCTTCTCCTCCTCCTTCTTCATGATCAACCTTTATCATGATGCTATTCCATGAAAAGAGGTTCGAAACTGCCACTCCTGTTAATGTGTTGTTGTCATTTGCCTCCATTACTACTCCATCCGCTGCAGCAAGCAGTGGCGTTCCTACATTACATCGAAAGTCAATTGCATGCAAATTGCCGGAAAAGAAATGAGTCAAGGTTCCATTTTCGCCTTGTGTGCATAGAAAAGGGCCGCCTTCCAGTGGGAAACCTATTCGTTGCGGATGTTCGTCAGCGGGATCTGGATGTTGATTCCAATCCCTCACGTCACTTTCTATTCGTATTGATGTAATATCTTGATCCAAGGGAACGTCCAGGTAACAGAGGTGACAAAACACTCGTGGCGGGCATAGAACAATAAATGTCACACATTTGTGTTCCTTTCCAGTGTTGTCTCTGGTGTATCCCATTGGAAGATCCTTTCCCTTTGCGTCCAATACGGCTGTCTCATAAACTGTGATGTATGCAATCTGAGTTAAGTCGCGAATATTACAAAGTGACAATGTCCTTTCTTCCGTGTCCACAGCAACATCAGGAACTTCGTCGCCCTCAAATTCAGAAGGATCGACGTCCTCCCATTCAATCAGCCATGAGGGAGAATGGTCTCGGCGAGCTATATAACATCCCGGTCCCGCTTCTGTAACAAAATTCGTATCTGGCTTGTTTGTTTGTGGTTTTCGTTTTCGGTTCTTTCGTTTGTTATTCTTGCCCATTGTAGTTCTTGGTTTTGATTTGAGTTGTTGATGTTGTTGTGAGAGTGGTTGTCGACATAGTATATGGAGGAATGGCGAATAAGGTGAAGAGTAGCTACGGTATACGGAACAGTAGATTTGAGGTGGACGAGTCTTTGCAGACAGTTCACTGCAACGCCATCCATAATATATACACGTATACTCGTTTGTAAACCCAACATGTATTATTCTCATTATGTACTATTTGTCATGTCGTGTAGCAACATGGGACAGTATTTTTAAGCCCCACAGTTCAGACACTCTTCCTCTTCCGTTAGTCCCAGAGCCGCACTATCGACCAATGGCTTGACAGCCTCCTTGGTTCGCGCCTTGGCTTTCAAGTCCTTGGACAACATTTCTTGGTCCACGGTAAAGGCAATGGCATCGGCCTTTGGCTTTGTTCGCAAGTAGTACATTCCAGTCTTTAGTCCCTTCTTCCAAGCATAAAAGTGCATCGATGTAAGCTTGGACGAGGTTGGCTCCGCAATATGAACATTCATGGATTGACTCTGGCAAATAAAAGGAGCACGGTCGGCAGCCATATCCAAAATGATACGTTGTGGAATCTCCCAGACAGTCTTATAGACATCCCGGAGTTGTTGAGGAATTTCTTGGATATTTTGGACGGAACCACGGTCCGCAATGATGCGGTTTCGGATGGATTCGTTCCAGATTCCCATGGAAGTAAGGTCTCGCAACAAGTGCTTGTTGACAATGGTGAACTCTCCAGCAAGAACACGACGGTTGTAAATGTTGGATGTGAACGGTTCGGTACTCTCGTTGTTACCCAAAATTTGGGCAGTGGAAGCAGTAGGCATGGGAGCCACCAATAGGGAGTTGCGGATACCGTACTTGGCAATTTCTTCCTTTAGGCTAGCCCAGTCCCATCGGTTGGTGGGTGTGACTCCCCACAAATCGAATTGAAGCTTTCCTTGACTGACTGGAGATCCTGGGTAGCTCTCGTAATGTCCATCCTTCTTGGCAAGTTCCATACTGGCAGTGACGGCACCAAAGTAAATGGTCTCAAAAATGTCACGATTCAACTTGGAAGCTTGTGGAGAATCAAAAGGAATCTTCATCATCATGAAAACATCGGCCAAACCTTGAACACCAATTCCAATGGGACGGTGTCTCATGTTGGAGCTGAGGGAAAGAGGAAAAGAAAGAGGATGGGCGTGAGAAGACTGCGTATATTCCAAACCAAAATAATAGTGGATCACAACAACAGTCAAACTCACTTTTTGGCTTCTGGGATGGGGTAATAGTTTCGGTCAATGACTCGGTTCAAGTTCTTGGTGACCACCATGGAAATTTCTCGCAGCTTTTCAAAGTCAAAGATGCACAGAGCTTGTGGGTTGTCCTCCATGTTCTTTGGCTTTCGTACTAGCATGGACAAGGCAATACTGGCCAAGTTACAGACGGCAGTCTCGTCGGGAGCAGTGTACTCCATAATTTCGCAACACAAGTTGGAAGACCGAATGGTTCCCAAATTCTGTTGATTGGACTTGAGATTGGCATGATCCTTGTACAACATGTAAGGAGTTCCAGTCTCGACTTGAGCGTCCAAAATGGCAAACCACAATTGTTGGGCGGGAATCGTCTTGCGAGCCTTGCCTTCGCGTTCGTACTTTTCGTAAAGGTCCTTGAATTCTTGTCCGTGGACACTGGCAAGTCCTCCCGCCTCATTGGGGCAAAAGAGAGACCAATCTCCATTGGACTTGACACGTTCCATGAACAAATCAGGAACCCAAAGGGCATAAAACAAATCCCGGGCACGGTCTCCTTCGTTTCCGTGGTTTTTGCGCAAATCCAAAAAGGCAAAGATATCCGCGTGCCATGGTTCGAGGTAAATGGCAATGGAGCCCTTGCGCTTGCCTCCTCCTTGATCGACATATCGGGCCGTGTTGTTAAAGACCCGCAACATGGGAACAATTCCATTGGAGGTTCCATTGGTACCCCGAATGTAGGATTGACTGGCGCGAACGTCGTGAATGGAAAGTCCAATGCCTCCGGCGTATTTGGAAATGACGGCACAATCCTTGAGCGTCGAGTAAATCCCGTCAATGGAATCGTCCTTGGTACTCAACAAGAAACAAGACGACATTTGTGGCAGAGCGGATCCAGCGTTAAACAAAGTGGGTGTCGCATGGGTAAAGTACCGATGCGAGAGCAAATTATAAGTTTCAATGGCTGTATCGATATCCCATCCGTGAATTCCCAAGGCGCAACGCATCAGCATCATTTGGGGACGTTCGACAATGGTGCCGTGCATTTTGAGCAAATACGATTTCTCCAAAGTCTTGAATCCAAAGTAATCGTACTCAAAGTCTCTAGTGTGATCAATGGCCGCGTCCAAGACCTCCTTGTGCTTCATGACAATTTCGTAGTGTTCGTCGGCGACGAGTGGCGCGGGAAGGCCCGTCTTGGGGTGAACGTAATTGTGAAATAGTTCGGTGAGTTCGGAAAAGGAGGCAGTGGTCATTTTGTGCAAGTTGGAAACGGAAATGCGGGCGGCCAAAATGGAGTAATCGGGGTGTTGCGTGGCGAACGAGGCGGCAGTTTGGGCGGCGAGCCTATTGATTACATGGGGGAGGATAGTGTAATAGTGTGAGTGGATGCAAATAAACGTCAACTATTAGTTGGAAATCATTCGAATGGTAAACTCACTCATCCAATTCCATGGTGGTGACACCGGGGTAGACACCTTGAATGACCTTTTGGGAAATGATTACGGGATCAATGTGCTAATAGGGAGAGAGGGAGTGAAGGATGATTAGGTATGAAAAATGATACAACAACAGCAACATGACAGGTTTCATTCCGGCCGTGTCATTGAATTCGGCGTACCTTGGCATCCAATCCTCCGCACAATTTGGCAATTCGACTGGTAATCTTGTCGAAATGCACCGATTCGGACTTGCCGTTGCGCTTTTTAACAAACATTATTGTGTTGCGTTGTATTGTATTGTATTGTAGAGAAAGAGGCACAAAGAGCAAGAGTTTGCTTTTTGGTTTGATCTTGGTGTGAAAAATGAACCATTCCAAAATGACACTCGTTGAAAAGCAGTCCTCTCATCTGTGTAGAATTCTACCGTCAACCAGTAGGAAGTGGTCAGGATCATCTGGAAGCGGTTCGCGCGCACTAGAGCAAGCTACCAAGTTTACGCGTTGCTACGGCATTTCGGATTTGGCGCAACTTTGGTCACCATCGACTCAGAACCAACGAGTTTACAGAATGGCGCGAAAAAAACGACAATAGGAAGAAAGGCATCAAGCATGGAAGAATGAATGGAAAGTGTTAGCACATTCCGACAATAGCAGATAATAATAATAGCGATGGCTTCTTACACCATTCGTGGTCGTCGAGACAGAGGAGTTGCTCCGAAATCGGCGTGGGCAATGCTTCGTCAACAACAACAACAACAACAACAACAATCATCGTCGTCGTCGTCATCCACTCGATTGCCCTTGCATTTGGCCAATCATCCTTCTTTTCCTCTCCATTTGGGCGTCAATGCCTTGGCGGGACCTGCTGGATCTGGCAAGACGCAGCTTTGTCTCTCGCTCGTGGCCGATTGTGTACTGTGGCGGAAGCAAAAGGCCGTCTTTGTGTCGTTGGGCAAGGATACGACGGTCCGGATTTCCCAACGACTCCATTCCATGCTCAAACATCGGACATTCAAAGAGAACAGGGTGACACCAGATTTGAACAATAGCGATATGGACAAATTCATCAAACAAGAATACCTGACCAAAATCTTTGTCAATTGGGTGCGGAATCAAGATGATTTGTTTCACATGCTTTGTTATGGTTTGCCCAAACTGTTAAAGGAACAACAGGATGGTATTCATGATGCTTCTTCTAATTCTTCTTCGAGAATATCGCTAGTGGTCTTGGATGGGATTGCTACCTTGTTTCGACAAAAGGAGAAAGGTCAATCTTGGGTGGATCGATCGGCTCATTTTTTTCAAATTGCCAGCATCTGTCAACGCTTGTCCCATGAGCACCAGGTGCCGTTTGTGTTTACCAATGAAGCGACTTGCAAACTGAGTAATAGTGACAGTAGTATTGGGGGGCTCCTAGCCTCCTCCCAATTGGAACCCGCACTGGGTCTGTCCTGGGCACAATGCATCAATTCTAGCTATTTTGTACAAAAGCAACAAGGCTACGACCACCACCAATCTTCCAACAACAACAGCTACAACAATAGTAACAACAACAACAACAACAACAACAAAGATAACAACAAGCGGGTTCTGAAATGTATAAAGTCGCCGCACATGGATACGAATGTCAAAGCAGAATTTGCCATTGAGCAGCGTGGAATCGTCAGAATCATTCAATCATAATCAATTATAATCAATGATAATCAATAATGACAATAACAATAATAATAATAATAATAATAATGCAACATCCACTTTGTACTCGATATTTATAACCATTCTAATACTGCAACTAGTCCTACTACTGTAGTACTGTCACGTAATGGTCATTCCTCGAGTTTTGTTGGCCCGAATTTGTTGGGGCGAAATGTCCGTCTTGAGGACCCAATTGCCCATCATGCAGCAACAATCATCTTCGACTTGGATCGAGGCCACGCTTCCACGTTTGTACATCATTTGATTGATACCAGTAGCCTCGCGAAGTTCGCGGGGGGCAGGAGCCACAATCGAAGATTCTTGGCCCGAACCAGTAAAGGGATTTTCAATCAACTGCTTAAGTCCAGCTTCGTCGGCCATTAGGGTCATGACAAATCGCTTGGGGCGAAAGGTAGAAATGACATTGCTGACGAGGGACTTGTAGGATCGGACCTTTTGGTTGGTTTCAAACGATACATAGCTCGAACCACTTTCAGGAGTAATGTGAATGGTGGAATACGATCGAAAGAGAATGGCATTCATGGAATAACCGCAGGGTTCAAAGGCGCGGGGATCAATGACAGCACCAGGGCAAAGTTCATTAATTCCAGACTGAAGAGTTTGCTCCCGAGAAATACGCATGATTTCATCTTCCTTTTCTTCACCATCCAATGTCTCGTAATGATCATACTGAAACAGCTGGGCAATGTCCTCATCAATATCAAACATCATCATGTTCAATACACGATCGGTATCAACCTCCAAGGTGCGGCTACGAATCGTTTGATCGGCAACAAAGACAAACCAATGGTCACTGGTCAAGGGACCAAGAGAGTATCCATTTCCATCCAAGGTTTCACAAAGGTTGCGGTGGCTGTAAAGGTATTCCAATTCTTGGTTGAAGGACTGCAAATGTATGTACATAGCGATCATGTGTGTGAGAGAGAGATTGAATGGAAAGTCGTGTGGCGCATCGTCAAAACAGAATACCACATACCTGGTGTGGAAAGGCTTGATCGGTGGGAAAGTTGAAATTCTTTCGGCTGTATCCAACCCAATCAATCTCCAATCCCAATTGACGGCCAAATTCAATCACCAACGCCATGCATCTTAGTAGAGTGGTGGTTCCACAAGTTTTCAAGACCAACATGTACGGGTAAATGAAAAGCGAGGATTCCGACAAGACATATGCGTCCAAATACTGATTGGAAACACTGGAAAGGATTGTGCACCGAGCTCGTGCACAGATACGACCCAATTGCTCCATGGTCAATCGTCGCAGACCGGCCTTTTCTCCTGGTTCGGTCGGTTCTGGTCCATCCAAGTCCTGTTTACGAAAACAAACCTCCAAGGTCTTTTCAGGTCCCTCGAACTGTCCAGTGTACTCGCGAATTTCACCACTGTCGTCATCATCTGGAAAACTCATGGACGGAACTGCTTGGGGTTGATCGGAATTGAACATGACTCCGGCAATCTCCTCGGGGACATTTCCCTCGCTGCTCGAGTCATCAGTTCCTTTCTTGGAACTATAGGGTGCCATAGTGGTTGCAGTTGTTGTATATTATGAACGATTGATTGATTCTTTCAACAGTACTTATTGTCCTGTAAACGCTGTCAGATAACAAAGAGCGCCTCGGCGAAGTGAAAGTCCAAGACACTGGGGAGAGTGAAGATAATTTTGGGAATGGATTCGCACTGCATCAAAGAAAGAAGAATGTACGCCATTGTCAGCTGTGCACGATTAACAAAACAGAGGAGAGTAACTGACTAACAAGCCCTTACAAGCATTAAAAGTGCTGCAGTTGTTCTGTTACGCGCCTGATGCAAATTACTTGCAATAGACAGAAAGTAGTAACACGAAAAGTGAAGAAGAAGTGCAGCCTTTGGTCGTTAGTGCAGTACCGGTTTGCAAGTGCGTTGTCAATTTTCAAACAGACAGATTGAATGACATCGATTGAAACACGGAAACTGTATGCCCAAAAGTTTGTTCCTTGGTCGCTATGATTGATGGGCCCTGTGCAGGACAGACGTATGGTCGAATGAATCAATCAATAAAGCCTCCAAATTCCGTCTCACAGTCGAAGGAATCAATCAACAACCACCTGCCTGACGTCAGTAAGACCATCCCAAGAGATCCGCTTGTTCCACGGCATACGTACTCGAGCGAGTGGCGTTTGGCACCTGACCTGCGCCAATGGTGAATCTTGATGGCTGTTGAATTGACCGATCATAGTGAAATTTAAATATGAAGCTTTCAGTTGCCGTTACCTTCTTGTGCATTGCTGCTACCTCAGCATTTGCCCCATCCCCTGCCAACAGAGCTGTGAGTTTGCCTTGGACGAGTGACAGCAGAATAGTCAACTTGGGAATGATTTCTTGATGCAGCCAAATCATTTGCAGCAGTTATCTTTGTGAAATGGGTTCTCATAAAATTTTCTCTTTCAAATCAACAGGACACTCAACTTTTCAACGATGCAAACCAAAATGTTTTCGGAACCAAGTCTCTTGAGTGGGGAGGAAATGATAGTGATCCAAGTGCCAAGACTGTTCGTCTGCGTGATCGTTTGAACGAGGCTGATACCGAACGTAGAAAGGCCGAGGAAGAAGCTGATCGTCGCGAACGTGCTGCTGAAATCGCCAGAGAAGAGCGTCTTGCCAAGATCAAGTACATGCAAGATATGCCTGATTCTACCCCCGCCGGAACTGGTGTGTATCCCTTCGTAGCACTTTCATCTATTCTTATCGGAGTTCGCATGTCTAACTCCTTTTGTCTCTGATAGTTGATGAATTCATGTTCAAGGAGGGTGTTCAAGATCAACTTGACAAGCTCGACAAGGAGCTCGTTGGACTTGTCCCTGTCAAGCAACGTGTTAAGGAAATTGCTGCTCTTCTTGTTCTTGATAAGATGCGCCGCAAGCTCGGTTTCGAGACCGCTGTTCCTTCCCTTCACATGTGCTTCACTGGAGCTCCAGGAACTGGTAAGACCACTGTTGCCGTTAGAATGGGACAAATTCTAGCAAAGATGGGATACTCTCGCCGTGGACACGTTGTCCTTGCCACTCGTGATGATCTTGTTGGTCAATACGTTGGACACACTGCCCCTAAGACAAAGGAAATGATCAAGAAGGCTATGGGTGGTGTGTTGTTGGTCGATGAGGCTTACTACTTGTACAATGCTGCCAACGATCGTGATTACGGACAAGAATCCATTGAAATTCTTCTTAACGTTATGGAGACACAACAAGATGATCTTGTTGTTGCTCTTGCCGGATACAAGGACCGCATGGACACCTTCTTCTCCTACATTCCCGGTATGATGTCTCGTATTGGTAACCACGTCAATTTCCCTAACTACAGTGCCGATGAGCTTGTCGCTATTGCTGCAGTTATGGCTGATCAATTGGAATACGACATTGACCAAGCTGCCTACCCAGTCTTCAAGTCTTACATCGAAAAGCGAATGGAGTTGCCTTTCTTCTCCAATGCCCGTACCGTCCGTAACGCCATGGATCGCGCCCGTATGAACTCCGCCATCAGAACTTTCGAACGCTTCGCAATCAATGGAGAGAACGGAGGATGCTGCACAGTTGAGGACTTGAAGGCCATCACTGCTTCTGACTTCCAAGTCTTGCTCGATGACATTCTCAATGCCGATTTGGACAATCGCATCTTTGCATAAATGTACCGATCATTACAACAGGCTAATCAAATAGAAATATCAGGAAAAACCTTTGGGTGTAGCAGTAAATACTTGTACCTACTCTAGCTTTGTAAGAATCTCTAGCGGCTGAGACTTTCATTCTCATGGTTTTCGGTGCACGCACGGACGGCCAAACGAAAAAAAATGGGAGGAGAAAAAAACAGACATCAACGGTCGAGACCATTCATCGAAATCTTCAGATATCTCTCCGCAAAGGCCAGTTTCTTTCGAGCTTTGAACTATATCGAATCATCGCTTCGAACGACCATCACTATAGTTCATGGGTAAAAAGAAGTCGGCGAAAAAACGTCGCTCCTCAGTGAAAAGTCAGGCAGAATTGAAGAGTTTACGACGAGTTTCATTACTAGATTCGGCCACCCCGGAACCGAAGGAGAAGGCGAAGCTTTCAAAGGGCACTTCCCCTCCATCACTGCCAGAAAAGCCTGTCAGTGATAATGGAAAGTCGACACGACAACGAATAGCTTTTGTCCTTCCACGGGTCCCTGGAAAGAAACCACAAGCTTATGTTTTTGACAAAAAGAGGCAAAAAGACAAAAGCAACAAGGCCACTCAGCCGACAATCCAAGAAGATGATGACGACAACGGAATTTCAAACATTTTGAAGTCAACTGAAACCATAGATGATATACTGTTTCCAAACAGACGTCGAGATTCTTCTGAAGATCGCCAATTACTTGGGGCCGAGCCGATGGAAACAGATGCTTCTCCCAGGAAGGCAATGATTTCAGGTGGTAGATTCATGCTTACGCAAGCATCAACTTTCAATGAAACTCAAAGCACAGTAGAAAAGAGACACGAGTTGAATCTACAGTCTCCCAAAAGTAAGGAAGATCGAAATCAACGGAAGCTGTCAGATCCAACGTCTCCCAATAGTTTGGGCAAACTCTCTGGTCTTTCAGTTGAAGACGCAGTAAAGGACAAGTATGGTCTTCGCCCTCGAGCGAATTCGACTGATGGAGAGCTCAAGCTTCCACAACGTGGACTATGTGATGAACGAATGGTACTTGAATCACATCGGTGGAAAGAAGATCAAAATTATGTCCATCAAGTTGTCCCAAAAGGCTTCATCAACTTAGGGAACACCTGTTTTCTGAATGCAACCCTCCAGTGCTTGGCATATTTGCCACCCTTTTGTCAGTCGATTCTCGCGATATCTGAAAGCAAACAGCGGCTATCAAAGAAGATGAAGAAGAAACTAAGCCAGGGACAGAGAATTACAACGATTCTGTCGACGTTGTACAAGAAGATTCACAGCTTTGATGAAACGAATCGGGGCGATGCAATTGCACCGCATGGTATTGTGAAGACACTCCCAAGTATTGGTACTTGTGGTTCAAGAAATGGATACAAGTTTCGGCCAGGGCGACAAGAAGATGCGCATGAGTTTCTTGTCCATTTGTTAGACGCAATGCACGATGGGGAGTTGAAAGCTGCTGGTATCAACCAGCAGGCAAGCGGTTGGCGAGATAGACTTCCTGTTCCTCGTCTGGATGAAACGACATTTATCCATCGCATTTTTGGCGGCTACTTCCGAAGTCAAGTCCGTTGTGGATCATGCGGTTACTGCAGTAATACCTACGACCCTTTCCTTGATTTGTCTCTCGAAGTCAGCAAGAAAACATGCAGGAGCATCCTCCATTCCCTTGCTGACTTCACAAGCAAAGAAACACTCGATTCAGATAATCGATGGAAATGCTCAGGATGCAGCAAACACGTCCGTGCCACCAAGCAACTTACAGTCTTTCGGCCTCCGCTCTCGTTATGTGTTCAGCTGAAACGATTCTCTTTCGAAGGTGGATTTGGAGCTCGAGGATACTCGGCGTATGGAACTCGTGGCTGGAAGTACGGAAAAAGCAACAACAAATTCGGTGGGGGTGGGAAGATAACGAAACCAATCGAGTTTCCAGGCCATCTGAACGTACCATTAAGCGATTCCCGGTCGTGCCAATACGATCTGACTGGAGTCGTGATCCATGTTGGAGGTAGTGCGAGTTCGGGACACTACACTGCCTACATAAAGAAGCCCGGAAGGAGAGGGAAAGACCAATGGTTCCATGTTGATGATTCCTTTGTCGAGGCTGTCCCGGAAAAGACAGTGTTGAGACAACGAGATGCCTACCTTCTATTCTACTGTAGAAAGGAGGTCAAGCTTGAGTTTCCCTCTCCTCCACCTCAAGGAATGTCTGCTTCTGAAGCAATGAAGGTTATGCGCGCACGAGCTAAAGCAAGGTCTGATAGTTTCGGCAAAGAGTCACCATCAGAAATCAATTCGATGCAGGAGAAGGAGACTACATCTTCCGTTGCCAGATCTCCAAGCGTATTTTCCAAAGGCATCATAGATCAGTCAGATTCTGATTCCTATGACAGTGATTTTGATCCAACAAAGGTCGCTGATTCATCTGAATCCGATGATTCTGTCAGTGTTGATCCCGAGATTCATGAGAGAATTTCCGAGGGCACCACGACGGTTATGAAAAGAACTGTAGCAACGACCCACCCATTGTCTAGCCCGCTCCTTACGAAGAAAGGCAAAAACTTGGGTAAATCTGAATCACAGCTTGGGCAAGCTCTTTTCAAAATGTCTCTGCCAAATGAGAACGTGAATGAACTAGAGTCGGATTCATCTGACAGTGATTTTGATCCGAAAGACCGACTCAGTGATGAAGACTCGGACTTGGATTCCTCCTCCGTTGAAAACAAAAGTACTATCAACGGATTTGGTGGTAGCAAACCTTCCGCTTCAAGCGGTAGTGATGACTCATCGAGTAGCAGTGACTCGTCATCAAGCGATGATGACTCATCAAAGAGTGGCGATTCACAAAGTGACGATGATGGCAGTGACGACGCTTCTTCTGAAGCTGAATCGAGTGCCAAGATGAATGTCCCACCTACAAATCGCCGCGCGGATGTGGTGAATCTGCCTCAGAGCAGGTCTAACGACGGATCTATCAACAGCAAGAGCGATAGTGAACAAAGTTCCTCCAGCAGTGATTCCGATAGACCGAACGAGCAAAAGAATTCGAAGCAGAATCCCTCGGAATCTAGTCCTATTAAAAGCATATCCAGTTCAAAGGCATCAGTTGAATCATCACCATCAGCCGAAAAGGCCACTTCGAAGCGTACTCGAGTGATTCTTGATCGCAAAGATGCTCGAGAAAAAATCCAAGTCATGATGGGCCCAAAGAAGAAGAAGCACTGGCAGTCAAAAGCAGCAACCGTTGGAGCGAAAGGTGATGGCTTCGATCTATTGGGTAATCTTAGCGTGTCGAAATGGGACGACGAGGACGATACTCCAGTGGGTGATTCCCAATCCCCAAGTAAAAGCTCAACTTCCGCTGAACGTCAAAAGATCATTGCGAAAATCCACAAACATGAGTCGTCAAGAAAGCGCAAGCATCACCTTGATCGATGGGATGCTCATCTTGACCAAGGCAGGCTGAAAAAGACGAAACAAGATAAAGCGAACAAACAAGCATCAATGTTTGGACAATTTCCGAAAAACAATGTATTCCAGAAGATCCAGAGCAGTGTCAGTCGAATGAAGAAAGGAAAGCCCAAGGGTTTTTTCCAAGCAAAAGGACGAGTCACAAGTACTGCAGCCGGCCATCGAAAAAAACGTTGAATGAATCATGGTACCAGCAAAATCAACAGTATGATTTACATATTATACAAGCTCTTTAATCTGCAATGCCGTTGATGATGCAATCCTGACACTGAACGGGCCCACTTGCCCAGGATTGAATGTTGAAACAACTATGGTGTATGTTCCCGCTGCAACCTTTGCTCTGTTTGTTACTGCAAAGCCATGCCTGTAGTTTCCAGAATCCAAGGCAATCTTGCCGTACTTCATTGATGCTTGACGAAAGTCATTGTTCCCTGTTTTCTGTACTCTAATAAGCATCACATTCACTGTCGACCCGAAATAAATTAATTAGTCGTCCATTGACAAGCTTCTCAATCACTGATACCGGCCGCAAGAACTTACCAGCAAAGCCTTTCATCGTACTGCATCGAAGCTGAAGTGTCGAATCTTGTGAAAGCGTCATAACATACATTGGATTAAAGAAAAAGGCCTCCTTCCCGACAGGTCCTTTAGCGTTTTCTGCTGTCCACTTCGCATTGACTATTCGCATGTTTGGCAGCTCGCTCTCCATGTGGTCAAGCGAAAAGCTCTCCGTACAGAAGCAAGATAGAGTGTAACTCAAATCCTTGGTTTTGTTGTGTTGAGAAAGAACTAGAGCTATGTATTCGTCCTCTGGGCCGCTTACGTCATATCGAATCAATCCATGTGGATTGTTGGTATAAGCCCCGTGGACAAGAGTTGTGGACCTTTGTGGATACCAAACTCGCTCCTTTTTCTTTGAGTTCTTCATAAGATGAATCGTCAAAAAATCCGTCACCTTCGATTAGAAGAAAGTTAGCATGACTGCCGCCCTCGGAGCATTGATTCGAGAACTGCAGAACTCACCTCAGCTCCCTCTTGCTCTTGTTTCGTGACGTGTCTAGATATTAGTATCCATATCGCTGCTTTCTTATTGATAGCATCCTGTGATAAATGCAGTACATACTGTGGATTCTCCCCAATATTGAATGTATCAACCTAGAAACATCATCAACGGGAACATTGTAATCAGAAATAGCAACAACAAGAAGCCGACAACATCAAATGAATATACCTGGGGGCCAAGTGTTACAGGCCAGAAACCGTGAATCGTTGATCTGGACGGGAAAAGTTTTGGATTCCATGATAGTTGAATGTTTTGGAAATATTTTAGCACATCATCCCAACAGATCCAAAAGACACCATCATCATGTTTAGCTGCTAGCTCGACGTCGTATTTAATTTCAGCAGCAAGCACACTATTTTTCCAGCTTGCGGGGTCGCTAGTAGAATACTTTCCTTTCCAGCTCTGCGCCAAGAAGTTTACAGACAAGTGAGTCGAGACAACACAGTTGAAGAGGGCAAAATAGATTCATTCCTTTCTACCTACATCCTTGGCCCATGGATTTTTCATCTGCATCGAACGAACAAGCAATGTGAGCAAAATATCGAAGGTGGAGGACCATGATATTGATGGATCATACCTGTAGTAACCTCGTGCCGTCACTGACTTGTACCACATCAAGGACGGCATATGCGTGTCCAATAAAGAGTCCTAACTGTTTAGCTCGGGCTTCATTCATATCTGGAGTCGCTGAAACAGTGATCAAACAGTCACCAAAAGAATTGGCACTGTAGAGACGATCCCATGCCCTTTCAGGTTCTGTCTCGAAGTCCCGAACCTTGCTGGTGTTTTCTGGAAAGAAGATTCTTTCGGGAATCCATCCAGTCAGTGAAAACAAGTCTACACCTGAATTCGATCCAGGAAAATCGTAGCCTCCACAAAGTTTCATGTATGCCTTTTCAATGACAGATACCCATAGTTCAAGCACATCGTTTTTTGGTCTTGTGTCCGAGCATAGCAATCTGCCGTAGGCATCCACTGGGAACAAATCGTCAACAACAACCTTGCGAGCAACTCCATTGAGCCAAAGTTTCACCGTGTATTTGCCCGCTGGATTGTACACGGGGATGCCATTTTCATTTTGTGGGTAGATAATAGAAGTGATGAGCCGCCGCCGAAACCGTTTCTCGTATGCGGCGCAAATGCAAAGGGAGGCAATGAAGGAACAATCTGTAACGTAATTTTGTCGTATGGAATAAGGGCTGATACTCTGTATCAATACAGGTGCTTGTTGTCTTCTCCCTGACCGCTCTCGCATGGCCATGATTTCGCTTGGACGAGCCCATCGAGAGAAGTGTTGCTTTTGCTTTTCGGATAATTCCAACAGTTCTTTGTCCCGAAACAACTCAGTCGTCGTTCGTGATAATGATGATGACTTCGAGGACATAAAATGCTCATCTTCATCCGACCACGGTAGAAATAGACCCGATGCAATCAAAGAACTTTTCATCAATATTTTCTTTTCATGTGCACTGAGCGACGGAGAGTTGATTTGTTTTTTCTGTGTCTTTGGAATATCCCGAGAAAGCTTGTCCTCTGACATAGTTTTCTTCAGAACTTCGACTCTATCGAGGGCTCCCTGAACAAATCCCTTCAGCGATACTGCCACAGATGAGTTCGGCATTGTCTCAGCTATTCGAATAGCGTCCAAATAGAGCTTTGCAGCAGCCAGATAGGCATCAACAATCATATCTTTACTTTCACCACTTTCGTCAAGATCCATTGCTCGTGAAAGCCTTGAATTCGCATTTGCAGCCAAGCGATTCAACTGAATACTTTCCTTTGTAGCCTTTTGGATCAGGGCACGGCTGGGTTTTTCTACTTGCTCTTCGTTAAAGAACTTTTTCTCTCCCATGACAGGCGACCTTGGATCTGAAATTATTGATGGTGGAGCACTATTGTCATCAAAATAAAGGCGAGAGGCGGATTCAGAATACAGCATTATTTTTTGTTCCAAAAGATTTCGAATAGAAATGAATTGTTGTGTTTGAGGAGTGCGCTGCAGTACCTCTTTCATCAGATAGACAGCTTCATAATACTATGGACGATGAATGATTGATTCGAATGACGGGTTTGAGGGCGAAAACTCAAGGAAAGACGTGGTAAAAAGCCAATAGTTGCATACCTTTGTGGCCGCTTCGATCCGATTAGATCCATCCTTCTCCAATAGTGTTGCTTTCTCCAGAAGCTCGAAGGCAACATCGATCCGAGGGTCCATGATCTCCAAATTCCAAAATGACATTGATGAAATTTGAATTCAAAGCATGAACGACACGACTGAAAGTGTGACCTTCGTCCGTCTCCAGTATTCCTAGTAGTCGAAAACGTCAAACCGAAACACAAACACAAACACAATACCACCACCCCTTTGATCCTCAACTAGCAATACAAAGCGCACACCGCCCACCATGAAAACAGGCAACAAAGATGTACCTGGGAAAGCCGATATTGTATTTGGAATACGAAAGAGCAAGGAGTTGATGGAAAAGTTCCCTCGGACGACGGAGTATTTCAATCAGAGTTTCGAGAGTTACAGGACTGCCATACCGAAGGAGAGGGTCATCGTGTCGGAAGCCTTTGTAGCACAGGCAAAGAACTGGAAACCTCCAGCAAGATTCTTTCAATATAATCAAGATACTGGGTTTCATCCAATAGATGAAAAGCAAGCAAAGGACAAGACACATGAGGGTTTGAGGGGAATGAAGAGAGCTCACGATCGCCGTGAGTCTACGAAAGCACTCTCTGATCGTCCTCAGCCTGCGAAAGCCAATCATCCTAAGCCTGCAAAAGTAATCCCCAAACTTGTCTCTGATCCAAAAAATTATGTCGTATTTGCGATTGGCAATAACCCAAAGATGCTAGAAAAATACCCTCGAACGAATAGATTTAGGGAGCTAGTGCACAGAAACTTTGAGGCTCATTTAAATGGAACTGCGGAGCGAAGGGTAGCGATTCAGGAAAATGTGTTAGAACAAGTTTACAACTGGGACCCTCCAGGAGAATTTTGGAAGATGCATAGAGGTCATGGAAAGATATCTCCAGTGGATGAGAAACATGCAAGGAGAGAAACACAAAAGGTATTTGCATCATTGAGGCAGGAACATCGCAAGCGGGAATCCAAAAAATTGGAGGGAAATGTCGAAGGCTCGGAGGAAGACGATGAGATCTCCATCGCACCCACTACGACGTCAGATATACAAGAAAGCAATAATGGTGACGACGTAGGTGCACGTACCAACAGCTCCAGGTCGGGGCAATCAGATGAAGGGACGCCTGATTATAATCATGCTAAAGCGGTCGATAAACCTTCCAACAGTCGCTCTGAAACAGAGACTACAAGAACCCAGCCATCACAGAATTCTGAGACTCCTCATAGCAAGAAACGACTATTCATTGAAACTGCAAGCGATATTGATTTGCTGGAAACCGAGATGAAAAACTGGGATCCATCGAGTATCCGTTACAAATTACGTAAGAGGTTTCTCGCTCGCACAATAGTTGTCAAGCTTTGAACTTTGAAAGAATAAAATACTGAATCCAAACATGGGGCTAGGGGGCAGACTATGGGAGTCTGCTCGAATTTTGAATGCGGGACCCACATCTTCATCCGCGTGAACAAAACAGCAAACAGCTAGCGGGTGGTGGTGTCAAGAAATTTAAAAATCAACAAATTTCAAGAGAAAATCGATCATGTCCGCGAGCACATATTTATGCTCTGCACGACAGTGTTTCACCGTTGAAGATTTCACACCAAGTGAATTTAACCGCCAACTGAAAGATTGCAGTTTTACTTACGAGTAGTGGGGAACCCAAAAGTTCACGTTCAATTTTTACTTTTAATATCGAAGAGATTTTGCCACCGACAACAACACGAAACCGATGAGAAACGATGATGAAACTTGCCGTGGCACTGCTGATTCTATATGGCTTCTCAATCGACACCGATGCATCATCCATTCCACGCGGGAGTTTCAACGTAGACAGTGAGGTGCTGTTGGAGCTCCCGTTGACTCCTTCCGAACTCTCAGACAGGAAGGAAGAAATCCCAGAATCCAAAAGTGACATGAGATTGGTCGGAATTGAATACAGATTTACGCGAGAGCCGACAAAGCTACCAACATCAAAAGAACCATCGGATGTTCCGAGCCTGATTCCATCAGAAATACCGTCAGAATCGCCATCAGAGATTCCATCTGATTTTCCTTCTGTGTCACCATCAACTCTTCCCCCTTCGTCGCCATCTCCGACGCCTCACCCAACTCGACCACCAATACGGCCATTTACTCGTCCCCCAACACCCGAACCTACTAACACGCCCACTCGGCCTCCCAGTCGTGAACCAACTAGGAAGCCAACACCACAACCTACTTCCGAACCAACCCGAAAGCCATCAACTACTCCCCCACCAACTCGACGACCAACGCGAGAACCGACAAGTCGTCCAACACGACGACCGACACGACGACCGACACCTCAACCAATTCAGGCCCAAAGGGTAGAAAACGATCTTGTTACAAGGTTTGCTGTTATCGGAGATATTCCGTACACCCGTGATCACGAGAGTAGACTGAAGCGTCATGTTGATAGATTGGCTTCTAATTTGGAATTCTTGATTCATGTGGGAGATATTCGCAATGCGCGCAGTGGCAGCAAATGTACTTTGAAGGAGTATCAAAACGTCGCTAGCATCCTTTCAAAGTCTCCCATCCCTGTTTTTATTGTTCCAGGAGGTAGGTCTCAAGATTTTTTCAACTAGTTCTCGAAAAGATACGTGACTCACCAAACCTCTTGCCCCAATGATAGACAATGAGTACCAGGATTGTCCGAACTTTTCCGAGAGCTGGAGGAATTGGAAAAGAGTCTTTGCTGGATTTCATAGGAAATGGAACACCCCGTTCCGAGTCTTCCAGGATTCTCAGCGCCCTGAAAACTTTTACTTTGTTCACAAGCGAGTGCTCTATATTGGGCTAAATATCGTCGGAGGCACAGTCCACAGTGCGTCTGAATGGAGATCTAGGCTGAGTTATCAATGGCGTTGGACGAGGGGACTACTGAACACTTATCTGCCTTCGAAAGAAGCTTCAAGCGTTGTCATCATCGGCCATGCGGATCCAAGAAGTGAACACAACGCATTTTTTGACCCCTTGAAGAACTATATCAATGATGAGGCAGGCAATAAGGTACCGTTTCTATATTTCAATGGCGACCGCCATCGCTTCCAGGTATGTTTCTACTTTGCTTTGATTTCATGTCGCTTTCTTCAATTGATTGCTATCATGCGAAACTAAACATCATACTTCTCCATCAGCGTAACAAAAACTACAGGAACAGAAGCAATTTCCATAGGATTATGGTCGAAGGTGGAAGAAAAGAGAATCCGCTCCGAATGAAGATCTCTGTACCGAGTTCTCGGGATCATGGAAAACTCAGCATATCAGATATCTACAGCTACAACAGGTAATTCGGCGGGAGGTGAAAAGGTTGAAAACCAAACCTTTCGCAATTCATATTGCATCATCTGTACAATAGAGCCATGCTCTGCCTCGAGTATGATAAGACTTAGTAGATGTTTGCTACCAAACTTGTCCTTCTTTGAAAACACAGAGTTCATCAATCCTATCATTCCGTTACTCATCGAATGGGTTCCAAACAAACCCAATCGCTTCCAGCTGTCGCTTTCGATCGTCACTCAGAATACCCTTTCGATAAAGTCCACGTTGCGTGTTCACCCACATGCCAAAACGTGGGAAAGATTGAGGAACTAGACAATGGCCGTGTTCGTCTTTGAATGCAAGCAGTTGATCAAACCAGTCATCCCATTGTCTTTGTGTAGCATCTAGTAAATCTTGATACGCTCTTTCTCGTGCATTCGCAGCAGCGCCAACTAACTCCTATTGGTCCATACCACAAACACGTTGGAATCTAGGTTGGAATTCAGCATGTATGCATTTGGACTCACCTCCCGTTCGAGGCATGCCAGTACCTCTTCCTCAGTCAATTTACTCTCCCCAAGGTGCAGCATCCGGGCGACCGTCAAATTGAATCCCCGAATGGATGGAAAGAGGGATGCCAGAGCAATGTGGCAAAGAAGATGGGCCTTCCATGAGACAACCTTGTAATTTCTTGGGTCTTCTATTGAGCCCAAAGCACAAACTGGCCACGTATGATGTACCTCGCAATGTTTCTCTGGAGAGGCGTGTGATTGAAAAACAATGATCTTCTCGAGCAAATTAGCCGCTATTTTCTCCAAATCCGTTGCGTCCTCGAGTCGATTCACTGCCTCACAAAGGGCCATAAAGTCGCAAACATAGCGATCATCGGCCTAGGACTTTTTCAAACAAGAAAGGAGGAGAGACTGCTCAAGAGAAGTCAACCTTCCAAAATTCTCCGCTTCGAGTACATCCGTCCCAAGATTCCGCTTTTTCCACATTGCCTTCATAATTCTTGGCATCCAATGTGAGGCATTGTGAGTATTCATCCATTGGTCTGGTAGAAGCTTGTCAACAGTTGATTTCTTCTTGTCCGCAAATTGATATGACATGCATGTTTCCTTGAGCCATTTGGCCGGGTCGTCCGACCACGAAATCGTGTCGATTTCAATAATCTTGGTGCCTACAGGTGAAGATTTATCATCGCTTTCATCAACTGGTTTTGATATTGATGTAAATGTACGAAGGGTTGTACCAAAGACGTTGATATTTGGCAGGCGTTGTGAATAGTGACAAAGTCTTTGGATTTGCAAATACAGCTCGTCAGAGACTCGAATATTCCCAGGAACCGAAGGCATTGCTTTGGACATGACGAATCTTTTCCAACGTCCTTCCGCCACTTTCCCAAGGCCAATCGAGTTAGGATGCCTTCTGGAGAAGAGATGAAGAATCATCGCTGCCAGTTGCCAGTTTCCGACGTGTGGGTGATGAGCAAAATAAGGCTACCAGCTTCTCTTCAAAACCTCACATTGGTCTTTTGAAAGATTAACATATTTCTGGCATTTGATACAAGTATTGCATAATACAACTTTCCATTTCAACCGACGTTTCCAAGTTCAGCTCAAAGCACGGTATGACCCCTATCATCCATATCATCGATCATAAAGAATGGTCAAACGCTCGGGGATTGCGATCCCATGAACGAGTTATGGATCCCATGAAAAGTTTGACGATCGAAACGTTTTACTGGGGATTCATTCGGTTGATCAGATACAAGTGCTGCAAATTCCAGGGCCACTGATTTGTCTTCATATTTCGTATTGGTCAAAGTCGATGTTATGGAGACAGAGACAAACTCAACCCAATGATGGCAATGATATTGTAGTCATAGTGGTCGATCGGGTGTGACTTGTTCACAGGCGCCTCGCTAGTCGCTAGGTTTGCGTGACAGAGGAAAGAATAAATACGGCGTTCAATCATGCACACCAGCAGTTGAGTGGTAAAGTGATCCTAACAGGTTTTAAATAGTTTAGAAAGGATGTATTTATGAATAATTTGCTAGTGCAGATGATCGAATGCGGGATGCCAAATCGTCAACCACTGCGCTACGTTTCGTACGTAGCCGTTCAGGCCGATGATCAGCTTCAGGATACTCCACTTTCTCAAAGGATTTGGATGGCGAAGCATTCTCGGATGACACGGAAATAGGTGATTCTAGAGTCTTCGCTGTAGAAGCGCCACTCATGTCGTTGTAGCATCGATCGCAAACGCGAACCGGTATTGTGAGACCAACAGAAGGAACAGGCACTCGGCTCTTAGCGCAAGGGTCGCAGACGAGGCCTCCACAAGATCTACAGTTGTGCTTATCTCTCGCTTGTTGCGCCTCGCTATTGGAGGTACTGGCCCATGTAAAGCGACTGGCACAGCATGAACTAAAGAATAATACAGGTTTAGACTTCAGATCAATCCGGCTACGAAAGCAAGTTCATCATTTACTCACCATGTATTGTCTTCGTCAAAGGCTGTCCATCTAGGTGGTCGCTCAGCAGCTACTCTAGCTGTTTGCACCTCCAATAAGGCTTCATAGTAGGATTTTGTGCCGTGATTGGATAACATATTCCCAGCCAGACTGATTCTTCTTAGTTCTCGGAAAGCCCTGGGCACTTGTGCAATTTTGTATACACCCCGATGGGAGTAAATGTGCACTACTTTTCCTGGGATGAACATTCTGTGCAGCTTTGTTTCTTCCAGGAAGACAGCGGAGGGATCATTTTCTGTAGCTTGATCGACCTCTTCCGGATGTTCTAACAAGGAATTTTTCTTCTTTGGGCTTGTATCAAACGACCAGCTTTCGCCACCGGTCAATGCGCTTGCTTCGTCCATAATGGACTCCACTGGATCATGATAACCTCCAATAGTGGATGCGTCGTCTATTCCATCATTTTCCTTTTCCAACAAATTGCCACCAGCATCAAAGAACTCTTCTCCGTCGATCACAATGCCTTCAACTGTCGTGTCAGCGCCACCTAGGAACTCCAATACAAGTTGTGGACCTGGTTTCTCCATGTCAAACGAGTTCTTCTTCTCTTCAACTGCGCTGTTTCGGATTGGCGAAGGGCTTGCTTTGCCTGCGTGATGGTCACGGAACAAATCTTCGTCTTGCACAAAGGTCTCTTCAACATCGTTGACAGCCTTTTCGTCATCTCCGCAGGGGAACTTTTCCGTGACCTGTAGCAATTTCTTTCGTCCATTGTCCAACTGTCGCTTGCAGTACCGCTTAATGGACACTGGGTTCGCCTTGAGCGCAAAGGACTGCCGGAATCGAGGCGCCCAGACCTGTTTGGCGCGCTCTCCTACTGCTCGAAGATCTTCTTCAATGTGCGTCTTGACCCACGTCTCCCGAATATGCAAAAGGTGTTTCAACAAGGCTCGGCAACTCGTGGCCGTCAACCGAGGAAAGACGTCATCATGAAGAACCACTGTAGTTGTAAAGGTATCGACTGACTCGGCGAGTTTTTCATCCATGCACGACGGGGTTCCATAAGCATAAACTCGCAACAGGTCGTTTTCTTCTGCCACGCTATCGGGAGTTGCCGCTGAAACTGCTCGTGTATCCAGGTCAGTGTACTTCTGTAAATGGCGAAGGATCAATGCACCTATCATCGTTGCAACCCCACCTCCCAAACTGTGTCCAGTAAGACGCAAACGATACCCATCCTTGGCCAACAAGATCAACGAATCAATATGTTCTCGAAACAGATTGAGAGCCGCTGATGCCATTCCACAGAGTGCAAGTCCTTGCCCACGAAAAACGTCAGTCCATTCCTCCTCTTCGACGATTACCTCACTGTCACTACTATTCTCAGGATCAACATCTGGAAAAGGGACTGGAATCTGGCGAATATCTGTCACCACATCATTGATAGTAGCCGTTCCTCGGACCGCCAAACAAGCAATCTTGAGTTCTTCATTAACAAAAATGGCGGATGCTGGTCGATCCGTCAATTGATCAGCGTCCATGGATTGATCCAAGTAGGCGTATAACAACCGCCAACCCTGTTGGGCAGCAAGGAGCTGCATGTCCACTTCCTTGGTAGCATAAATAAAATTCAAGGCAATTGGAGCATAACGCACTAGATGCGCTAGAAGTTTATCGTCGACTGGGTCGCAAACGGGGTCAACAATGGACGCTTCCGTGGTGGCACTGTCTCTGAGGTTTGGCTGCGAAGAGTTACCATCTGTCGAAA